GGAACTCAACAAAATGAAAAATAAATTATGAGGAAAAACAGTGTTAAATGACAGTGAGAACACATTTAATGGGAGAAGGCAAGCTGACTTAGCAAAATGTAGTAGAATGTGGGTTTCTCAGCCTCCACATTAAGATCATTGTATCCTTAAAAATAGCATTAGAAATGACTATAACTATAAACAGCTTCCAGCCAGTCTTGTCCCATTTCCTATATTTAGGATGAATCAATTTTAAACATTCAAAACAATTCTCAGATTAGGAAATATGCAACAGCACCCTTTGAATTACTGGAAATTCTAGGACACAACTAAAATGAAATAAAAAAACATAATATTACTACCCTCAAACTCTACTTTGAAAGAAATGGTCTTACTGGCCAAGCACCACCAGTGACTTTAATTTCCTGCTCTGTTTAATTTAGACTGAAATAAAGGTCAGAAGTTGGTCTTGGCGTCTCTACAGATCACTAAACCTAAAAACAAGACACTCCCCAAGAAAAGCAGTGTCTTATACTAGCTCATGACCGTGGGGAACCTGTGCATGAGTTGTATAAACTGATATTATGCAATTGCATGGTCAGCATCTAAAATTCCAGGCCACCAGGGCACTCGATGTTCTGTATTGTTTTCTATGTTTAGACCAGCAAACCAAGACTGAAAGCACAGCACAGAGCTGCAGACTGAGAATTTGATTTTTAATCTTAGCAGCACTACCCGTTCAGCATTCACAGTAATTCAGATTCACTGTGAAATGTATCTCTTAATGTAGCTTTAAATCATGTCACATGTGCAGGCCTCCCTTTACACAACTACTTGCAATCGATAAACACATTGAGGTCAAAAGAAAGAAAAAAGGAGGGACTGGAAACAAATTTTGTTGAATATTACTTTGACTTTTGAAAAATAAATTATAAACAAAAAATGGTGAGTCAAACCTATCAGTGTATTGGCCATATATAATATGTATGGGAAGTGTCAGTGATTTTGATGTTCCAAACTGTATGTTCTCTGTCCATTGTACACGTACTGTATGAAAGGAAACGTCTTTCAAGAAATCTGATGACAATACACGTGTACTATCCATGAATTGATGATCTAATATAATTCATTACTTGGCTTTACTACAGGGAAATTAAACAAGTTACAGTTGAGTACAAACAAAGTATTAGGAAAACCGTGTTGCAAGCCAATGTCTTCCATCTGGCCTAATGGAAAGGACATGAGAGCATAAGGCAGACATCAACATATTCAAGTGGAAGAACCAAAGTGACTAAGCACAATGACAAAATGTCTGTTCCAGCCTCCTCGACAAACAGTCTGGAACAGCTTAAGTCTGGGTTTGCACAAAAACACTGCCAGTAACAGAGGTAAAAACACACCAACCTCAAAGAAACAAATATTTCGGGCAGTTTCCTGATGAATGGCACAAATGTGAACCGTGTCTGGACCAATGGAAAGCTGTTTATTCAGTAACTGAGAGGTGTATCAATTCTTTGCCCTTTAAAATGTACAGGGACAGAAAGTATCAAGGGTTATATTTTATCATTTGTGCACTTAAATTAGTGACTCTGCTAATCAATAGCTTAATAACAATGGATAAATGTGTAATGTTAAATGTGTTGCTCACAGTGATGAACCGACAGAGAATTATCATCCGAGTCTGCAGCTCCCTTAGCATTTTAACATCATTGTTTTGGTTTTATGACCCACAACTTTATTGTCTTGGTTCAGTCTTGTGCATAACAGCAAACAGACAAAGTTAGCAAATGGCTGGTGAGCACTGTGAATCATTTAGCAGCTAAAGACCTTAATAGGAGAGTTAATATTTGCCAGGTGGCCAGAAATGCAACACAAAATGACGGTATTCTGTTCAGCACAACAACTTTATAAGGTGAAAATATGTCCGTCTGGACGTCTACATCTTGTTGCGCTGTTCCAAGGTGGCTAAATAATCTATTACTGCAGGTTTAAACACTTTGTGTGCACATTTTTGCAATTAGTTGTCTTAAATTATATAGAGCCACTGCGGTATTAACTCAACTGGCGGGCGATAGCAGGAATTGCCTATTATTCTGAAACCCCAATAGTCCAAAAAATTTCCCCTTGGACTAAAAGACCATTTGTCCGACAGCCCATTATCCCAAAAACATAAGCCCACTGCACCAAAGGCCCCTTTCAAAAATACAGACTCTCCCAAGAGTGTGTGCATTGTGCATTTAATATCTTAGTGTATTTGGACATTGTGTATTTAATATATAAATAAATATATTAAGTACACAATAATAATAAATACATTGTTAAAGTTGTAAAACGGTTGCAGGTTGGTTAGGTTTAGGAAAATATCATTATTTGGGTTAAAATTAGTATGTTAGTTAGGTCAGGTAAGTTATGTACGTACGTTGGTGATACAAGAGTGTGTGTGTTTTTTGGAGCAACAGGCCTTCGGAGCAATGGGTGTTTGTTTTCAGAATAACAGGCTGTCGGACAAATGTGCTTTCAGTCCAATGGGACCATTGGGGTTTTGGAATAGTAGGCCATCAGAACAATTGTCTAGGGGGAATAGCATGCACGAGAGCAGGTACCTCACATGTGTTAAGACTAAATGTCATAGATCTCTCTACTCTCTCCCCGGTGTGGAATTGGCTATAATTGTCTGCGATGCATTGGGCCACAGAGTTGTCTGTAAGAGATCCTTAACGAGCCACCTGTGCTGTGTGGGCCTATACGACACCAGGTGTGGCTCATTAACTATAATAAAAGACCAGCCACAATTTGGCCTTCTACTATTTTTGCACTGTAGCATATGACAGTAAAGGTGTATATCAAGGGCTGGATATTTGAAAGTAGAGCCTTCTTTTGAATTTGAAGGACATGAATTCAACAAAAATGGATCCTTTGCAGCCAGAATCCAACAGTCTGTTGTGCACCAGTCAGATATTTTATGGAGAGTTCAGGCAGCAATCAGGAGATGTTAAATGACTTCCATCATCAGATGTTTGTGTCAAGATATATATATGTGTATATATAGAGTATCTCTAGAGCTAGACTAAATCCACTGTAAGCTGAAAATAATAGAAGACATGAACTCCACTGTTTGAACACACCATTAGTTTTGGGTCCAGGCTGCCTTCTTATGGTTTTAGTACTCAGCACTCTTTTAGTTACCAGAGACCAGCAATCTAAACGAATTGAGCTGAAAGCTGCAGAGGTGTACAAAGGGGTGTTGATTCTCAGTGAAATTAAGTCATATCATTAAAAATGAATGATTTATACATGTTTTTCCAAAATATACTTCTCTTTTCTAAAAATATAACAGCATCAGAAGAGTTTGCTTTCTAATGTTTGACAAGTCTTCAATACACTGACTATCAGATCTAAACAGGTTTTAACTCAGGGTTCAGAATTTACTCCTAAATTGTTCTCACATATTGTGCCTAACTAGAACCAATAATCAGCAGGGCCATGGTGCTTAAGGATCACCATTTAAAGAAACTTTAAGGACTATAAAACATGCAGGTTAAAATAAGCCCAATATCAGTGCACTTTGGTTTGTTATATTCAAAGGGAAACATTTAAAGAATATGATCATGTTCATGATACAATATGATTTTAAGGGGTTTCAAGATTTGTAGAGATTTTTAAAAAGTTTTTGGTTCTTAGTCTGTTGTCTACATGTGGTAGGTCACTTAACACATGTAGACAATAGACTGAGAACCAAAAACTAGGAGGCTCTAAACTATTGACCCAGCAACACTAATGAGTTGCTCATACGGCCTTTCAGGCATCTTCTGTGACTCACTGAATGTCAGCACAAAAAGGGAGTTATCTCCTATCTATTACTCAGAAATACAACGAATGCTGCAGAAAGAATAAAGAGTTGTGGGACACTTTTCCCCATCTCATAATGACAGTCTTGGATGCTATATGTTTGCTCAGATGACTGTTTGAAATTACTAGTTGCTTTTTCATTATGGAGGTTTTGAGATGCTTTGTGTACTCGTGTATTTAAATGACAAACCGTTTGTTTTGGTCTTCATACTGGTTGCTAACCACTTTTCCCATGTTTGAAAAATACGCTGTCTTCATTAAAGGAACGTTTCATTCTTTTTCAACCTCAGAGTTGGTGCGATCAGTCCTATAATTTCTAACATTTTACTCAGCAGATTTTGGAGGTACATGGGGAGTCTACAACAGCTTCCTTTTAACAAGCCATAGCCTTCCCTTCATGACTCATTGCTCTTTCATTTTGTCTATCTGTGTACTGTAATTTGCACTCATTGCACTAGGTTTACTAAGATTTCAAACCTATACAATAGCAAAAGTTAAAGTGATACATAAAACAGTAAGACATCTAGTGAGTAATATGGTATAAAAGCCAAATGGCCAAAGCTACACAATTAAAACCCAAACTGAAAACTCTTTTTTTTCCCCTTTTAAATCAAAAACACTCCTCAAAATGATGTTCTTAGAATGTTCTTAAAATTGGTGAGCAAGTTAATTAAAACATGACTGCAGATGCAAGCAAGGACATAATAATTCTTAAAAGGCAGTTAAATGACTCACATCTTTTCCTACATATCTTGGGAAATCAAACATCTTGAGTTAGAATGAATTATGAAAGTTTTCCACACACGAGAAATGCATCCAAGATGGTCTCTAAGAATGGTATGCAAGTAGAGTAACACATAGCACTGCGACCAATTAAATCCAGGTGTCAATTCCTGGCATGGCATGATGGTGTGATTGATGTCCACCAACAAATGGGAGAAACATTTGGCCATTTATGTCCCCCAGCCCCCTTCCTCAACTGCACATATCCAAAAAGTGGAATACCACCCTGGTCCATTTTGTTAATTTGTCTGTCTATTTGTATAAGAAGTATATAAGACGGTGGGGTGGGGGGCTGCAGGGCTTGTGGAGAAGAAAAATACAAGTACAAGAATGCAAGGTACAATAATTCATAGCAAAAACATATGGGATCAATTGGATCTGCTTCAACCAACAGTTACAGTGCCATGTCTGGTCAAAAACAGAGGAGAAGAAATGTTTGCGTCAAGTGTTATGCAAGTCTCCCCCGGCCGTCTCAAAATCTTTTTGTCAGATTTTCCAAAGCCTTACTCACAGCTCGAGAGGTACAGCTGAATTTCTTCTTCTTCATAACAGGCGTCTGGGTTAAATGGCTGCCAGAGATCATTTTCACATTTTTCCACCCATGACTTCTCCTACTCTTTTTGGTTTTTCCACAAACAGCCTACCAAACTTCAACTTTAGTTTTTGCTTGCACACACTTTGAGGTAGTTGTTTGGAGGACAATCACTAGAATGCACTAGAAGTGGTTGGTTTATAAATGTGACAAACAGTAGAAAAGGTGGAGGTTATATTTACAGAATTGTAATTGTAATTATCTTTTTTGTGGTGTAATATTCCTGTTCCTTATTGCACCTGCTCTTGGTTAGTTAACAGCAGTTTTTTGATGATGCTCTCCGAGACATTCATACTGATGACACCTTCAATTTATATGACAACCTGACTCCAGTTCTCTGAAGAAGCCTCCCCTCCTCCCCCCTCCTTTTTTCCCTCTCTGTCTCTCCATCTACCCTTCTTTCTCTCTCCTCCCCCTCTTTCCTTCTTTCCCTCTGTGTTTTTCTCCAGAGACTTCAAGTTTTTGAACACCACACTGTTCTTACCTACTGGCCCTCCACCCCACTCACACGAAGAGAGAGAACCACAGGTAAGCTTGCATATGGAAGCATGGATTTGTGATTTCCTGTTTGATTATTCCTCTTTATTTCTGTTTTCCGGAGGGATTATCAGCTGTCACTGCTAGGCTTATGGGCAGTGGCTAGTGCTGCAACAGAGAGAATACCAGTGCATGGAACAAAAAATAAGTGGTAGATTTTGATGATTTGCACATTGTTTTAAGAAAACCAGCCTAGATCTTACATGTTTATATAGATCTACAGTGCCGTTTTAGGACTGTTTCAAAGATTTCGGTGACTTTAGACTTTGGAAAACAATCTGTTGCACTTGGATGCAGTTTCTGTCTGCATTCTTCATGGATCTGGAATGAATCATTCTGGTTTTGCATTGTCTGCAGGGCTGATTTTGCACAGGCATGATCCTAAACTTGGTATATGAGTGCTTTTAGTTCCTTGTTGTATGTGTTTGCTTACAACGATATATGAAGGAAATCACTTTTTTTAGTCTTTCACATGCAAAACATACTTTAAAGATTGTTGTGACATTCGTGTATACACATACATTGTGAACTCTTAGAACATCTGTGTTCTATTATTGCCCCCATTGCTGCTTTATAGAGAAATGTTTCCTAGTTGATAGATGAAGTGGTGCTGGGAGTAATGCAGTTTGGTTCAAGCTGCAGCTGTAATGATGTGGCTCAACAAAGATAATTGACTCAAGGAATCTAGGACTCACTGGTTTCCCGTTGGTTTACATGAACTCTTGACCGATTATATAATACTCTGTGGAGTGGGTGTGGTGATATGGTGTATGTAAGTGGTTGGTGCAAGATTGACATATGTTTAGCATAATAGTTTAAAAGTCCTAGTTTTGTTTTATATACTTTATTTTATCAATAAATCCCAGATACGTGACTGATCTGAACATGAGTTAAAATTGTCAAAATCCCAATTCTTTCTACGAGAATTCTAACTATGACACGGGTTTGAACAAAACAAATCCATTAATGTCTCATTTCTGTTAATGGTTATTTGTGCCATTTTGTTGCTCTTAACCCTCTAACCTTTCTATTTTATCTCTTCCCTACCCTTCCCTTCTGTCTGTTGAATCCACAGAAGCCATGTTTCCTCTCCGTGTACCCCTGTTGGCCATATTGGTCAGCGTGGCCTTGTGCCAGTATTATGACTACGACTACCAGCCTGCTTCCATGCTAGGACCCTCAGGGCCCAATTGTAATCAAGAATGCGACTGCCCAATCAACTTCCCCACTGCCATGTATTGTGACAGCCGCAAGCTCAAGTTTGTTCCCATAGTGCCTACAGGGATCAAGTACCTGTACCTCCAGAACAACCAGATAGAAGAGATCAAGGCAGGTGTGTTTGATAATGTTACTGATGTACTTCGCTGGCTGGTACTTGACAACAACCAGATTACCAATGCAAAGGTAGCAAAAGGCACAATCGACAAACTCACAGCCCTGGAGAAGCTATTCTTTAGCTACAACGACCTGACAGAGCCAGTCATCCCTCCCTCAAAGTCCCTTGATGAGCTGAAGATGATGCACAACAAATTGTCCAAGTTCCCCTCTGGACTCTTGAATGACAAGGAGAATTTGACCTCCATCAACCTTCAGCACAATCAGCTAACCTCCGATGCCGTCTCAGGGGCATTCAAAGGGCCAAAGAAGCTTCTGTCCCTTGATGTGAGCCACAACAAGCTCAAGAAGCTGCCAGCTGGAGTCCCCAGTTCACTGGAAATCCTCTATGCCGACTACAATGACATTGATAGTGTCGGGGCAGGATATCTGAACAAGCTTCCAGCACTGCAGTACCTGAGGATCTCCCACAACAAGCTGGTGGACTCCGGGCTCCCTGCTGGAGTGTTCAATACGACATCGCTGGTGGAGCTGGACCTGTCTTTCAACAAACTGCAGTCCATCCCTGAGATCAACGAGCAGCTGGAGCAGCTCTACCTCCAGGCCAACGAGATCAACAGTGAGTGTCATTTGTCATTCTTTACTTATTGGTATTTTATGATACAATCTTAAAAGCATTGTTTAATTCTAAATGTCCTATTTGACTATTTTCTTAAAAAGGCCCAGTGGACTTAAAATTATGTTTACATTTAAATACTAAAAATCCCCTGTGTGTAACAAAAGTTGTATTTCTTTCCTTTCCATAAAACGTTTGCGAAGCCTACTTATTTCAGACTGTGCATTGTTTACATCCATGAATATGTCAATCCACAGAATAGCCACACTGTAAAGCCACAGTGCACATGCACACAAAAACAAACAGGGTACCTTTGGCCCCCCTATATAAGAGGGTTCAAAGGTATATAATAACTTAGTATTTTAATTTTTTTCCACCAACTTCCGTAACTTTCTCTCCATTTTTGATTCTTTGTAGAGTTTGACCTGACAAGTTTCTGCAAGTTCATTGGACCCCTCAACTATTCCCGTCTGAAGCATCTGCGCCTGGACGCCAACAACATCACTCACAGCAGCCTGCCCCCTGACTCCTCCAACTGCCTGCGCCAAGCTTCAGATATCATGTTTGAATAAGGACCTCCCTCAGATCTATGACCTCTCTATGACGCCCTTATGTACTACCATGGCACAGCTCAGCCCAAAGCCTTCTGGATTTAAATGGCATAGTATCCCTCCTTTCATAGTACTCACATGTCTTTGCACATAAGTAGTATGCTAATTTTGGGTACTGCCATGGAATCTTCATCAATTAAATACATATCTTGAGTAAATCAAGAGCTGGGCAAATTTGAAATGCAACAGATAGAAAAACAAACTATCAATCAATAAAAACTAGCAATTTTGAAAATCATTTTTAAACATATCTCACAAAACATGCAATAAGCTTGTTCAATTCATCAACCAAACAAGTGTTTAAAATATTTAGGTATAGATATAAATGAATATTCTCATTGCTGAAATAAACATGAAAAAAAAATAAAAGAAAAAAGTAAAAAATATATATATATAAAAGTAAAGGGCCAAAAAGTCTATGAATAAAAAAGTAATTAATTGTAAAACACACACTTAAAACATTCCAAACTTGCTTGATTTTATTGAATACAGACACAATGGAGTAAACAACAGTGTCTCAATTCAATCGTAGTGTCATTTTGTCGTCTGTCTTGTATGTTCATATGTTTAGCATGTATAATATAATGTGGGTGGAATAATGAATCCATTGCTGTGCAAAGGACCAGCATATAAGGACTGTGTACTCAGATTTCAGTGTATAATGCCTAGTGTGAGAAATGATGAGAAAATGTAAAATAGCAGTTACATAGCAGCCACGTTTTCAGCATCTCGAATGAATCAAAGTGGTTTTAAAGAGAATACCAGTGTTATTTACTCATGTCTGCCATTGTCCGCCTTCTAATCAAATAGCATGAAGTCCCATTGACTGGCTTTTTTGAACTATAAGATAAAAACATATATATACCCAACTAAGATATTTCCATTTCCATTTGGACATAACTTCCCAATTCCTTGAAGCAATTACTTTGAGCCCAATTTAAGTAGGACGTTTGTGAAGTACTTGGTGTTAAAAAGTGGAATAAATGACACATGATTAAAAGACATTGGTATTATAAACCTTGAGATGATAGTATGATGTTTTCTTGAAATCACGAGTCAAATTGTTTCTTTACTTTACCTACTTCCTAGATGTCCACTTTCATGCGTATTGCTGATTTGTATACAATATTTGCATTACTTGCATGCAACCAATGGTACCATTCTTTGATAATAAACTACAGCTTTTGCAGTTAAGGTGCTTTCATTGTTACGTTGTTGTTCACTATGTTCTTGATGATCTTCTTACCAATACAAAGTCAACTTGGCAGCAGTGTCAAGTTGATTGCAGTTATGTTATTAGAATGTCACATTTTGTTTAGGTAATTTTCCATTTCATCGTGATTTCTTTTGTGGCCTTTGATTCAGTAACTGGTTTTGAACTTGGATTTACTGTGAGTAAAACAAACACAGTTGAATAAACTTTATTTCCAACTGATTTGTATGATATCGGTTTTTAAGCCTGCTGTAATTAATTTCTAGCATGTATGGAAACAAATTTATAAAGCCATCTTATTTGACTCAGCATAGAAATTTTAGTTTCTGTGCCACTCACAACAAGCCATCCTTTATAAAGGGTTTATAATTTGCGAATAATGGTTTATTAATCATCAAATCTTACATTAAGTCTTTATAAATCTGTAATTAGCCCCTAATAAAGGCAGCTTTTGTTCGGCTGGTGTAATAGTTACACAGTATAAAGTATTTATATGTTTTAAGTATGTCTTTCTTTAAAGTTACTTAAAGCTCTTAAGGCATGCTGTAAATGAAGTTACTAACTCTGGATTCTCTGCTGACTGCAACAGTGAATTTAATGCAACCAACCCTGAGAATCTTACTGCTCTATAATGGTTCAAAAGACAAGTAATAAACATTAAAAACATCTTTCTTAAAGTCTGATTTTAGGAAAAAGCTGAAGCCAAGTGAGAGGAACCAACAAACAAAAGACCATACAGCTGACAGTCAGTCAATCCACAGAGATAATACAGTATATCATGCAGTTAGGATGTGTTGTATCAGATTTCACCTAGGCCTTACAACAGGGCGTGATTAGTTGTAGATTGCTACAACTCTGTGGAGTGTGGTGGGTCTTTTGGAATCTTCCTTACTGGCCTATTTCTTTGGCATGAAGTCATAATGTTTACTGCGATCTACAAAAGGATAAAACTGAGATTTTAGGATGAATGGAAAAGCCATTTATTTATTCTCCAGTGCCTGTTGTTTTGTTTGAGGTATACTGTTTACATTCATGGTCCAACTGTTTTCAAGGAGCAATACATTGTGGTCTTTATCTTTATCTTGTATTCCTCAGATTTTACTTTGTGTCTCTCAAGTCATTAATTTACAGCAGTGACATAGAGAACTCATCATCTTTGTTCTGTCCTATGTTTCAATGTAGCTGCGGAGTGAAGCAAAAAAATGCTGGTCCTGGAGGGATGCAGGGGTTGCAGGGTTTTGCCGCAGCTTTAAGATATTTTCTGTGTAAATCTACCCTTCCAACTGTCTTGGACAGAAACCACACACACCCCGAAGTATTTTTTTCAGTAAAGCTTCCCTGTGGAGCTTCAGTACAAACAGTTAAAGTTTCCTTAAGAGAGGACAGTACTGTTTTAAATAAGATACATTTCAGTCTGCATATTTGGATTGTCAGGGGATCCTCCGTGTGCGCATTACCACCATTGTGGTTAAAAATGATAAAATTGTTGTAATTTTTCTAAAAGTTTTCTCGAGTGTTATTTTACAGCCAGTACTGAACCATTTTGAGAAGGATTCATGCAGGTTCATTGAAGGTTTTTGCATTTTGATCTACTGTTTTGCATCTTAACAGGTCACCTGAAAAGAATTTTTTGAGAGGAATAAGAATTGCAGAGATTTCTGTTCAGGTTTTGGCTCCTTCATGAGGGTGAGCAGGTCTTGTGATTGGAGGAACCTGAGAAATGTGTGTTTCATGGTGCGCCAGAGGGAAATAAAACAATAAAATCAGCACATTCCTTTTGGTTTCTGCCCCATCTCTCAATAATCCATTCTACCAGTATGAAGGTTTAAGAAATCGCTAAATGGGATCAGTGTTTTATAAGATTGTCAATATTATTTGGTTTACATAATTTTTTAATTGGTAAAATATATTGTACTGCTGTCACATATGTGGTAGTTCACTCAATCGTGACTGTACAATCTGTATTTTGAATATTCATGAAAAGTTATAACAAATCCACAATGCAGTCACACATAGTGAATTTGGAGAATTTGTGTTGTCGAAATTTAACTGTAGCACAAAACAAGCTATTGTTGAGTATGGCCACTAAACTGAACCTAATTGTGCCTATGTCATCAGAAAAAGCCTTAAAAATCTGCTACTCATTATCAGTTCATGTGTTCCAAAGAGTGTCCAGTGTCCATAAAGTAGGAAAGCCACAGTAGAAAATTCTCAAAATACACAAGTTTATAGTACTCTTTTTGTAATCATAAGATTTGAAATGATGCAGTGTCTGGTCTCTCAGGTATGTTGCTCTCATCCCTTTCCTCTGCTGTATATAGTCAAAGACAATAGAGAGATAACTGTCATCACTGCTGGAAATGACAGAAAATAATATGCTCCCTTGAAACTACTTTACACTACAACCTCTTGTTACATCCTCTAAAATGTTCCTTGTGATATATGCACTGACACAGTGGACAACAAATCAGGAGCAACATTTCATAGTCCCTGTCTTTGGCTGTGTACTTCACTTGTCAGTTCTTTTTAGAGTATCAATAGTGCATTTGCAGAGCTGTGCATTAACTGTAAAAACTAACCGCTAATCCTGGCTTATGTGCACCACATGTGCTGGAACTACTAGTTTATTTCATGAGTGTTAGCCAAGAGGTCCTTATTAGAGCCGACACAATTTAAAGACAGTAGGTTAGTTGATTAGACATGTGGCATTCATAGTTATTATGTAAATGATTCCAGATGTCTCATTTGATTCCTGCTAGGTGTTTAATCATATCCAGCTGTAAAGTTCAGTTATTCTTCAAATTTGACCCACTTACAGTATGTGAATTAAAGTCTGTAGTAGGCTGTCTATTAGTTGTTGCTGGGATGTAATTTAAATACCCAACAGTTCCCTATGCCTCCAGTATAAGTCGGGAGGTATTAGCTAGCACTTCCATTACCATTACAACATGTTACATGTTTGCTTTAACAGCTTTTTTCACGTTTCACATGTTTTTATATGGCCATTTGTACCGATTTCCAATCTAGGACAATTTCCTCCTCTTCCTCCTGAGTCGCCCTTATTTAAATCCTGAGTGGAGCTCCTGCTGCCTGTGTCTAGACAATAAAGTCCTTTATAAAGCCTTAAGCCTCATGTCCTCCTGCTTGAGACGGTGAGTGAAAGTTTAATCAGCTGTTGCAGCCCAGCAGCCCAACTCCAAAGATCATCCTTTAGTGCAGACCATCTCCAGCTGTTCTGTCTCTTTATCTGTTTTTATTTATATTCTGTGTCAATCCACCCTTATCTGGTCTCTTTTCTTGAGATGTTCACTCAACTTTTATTTCAAACTCTCTACCAGTGTCTTGTACATTTCTATTTTTCTCATCCTTGTCCCCAAAAGTGTAGACATGGGCTCCAGATGTCCCATCTGTGCCCTTAATTCAGGCACACACGAAACTGAGATTAGAAACAGGGCAAGACGATGTGGAGTGGTGGCAGAAATAAAAAGTAAAAGACTAAAGTGTTAACCCAATCCATTGTCCAAAGTCATTCTTTGGATGTAGTAGAAGTACATTTGTGTCCTACAATAATGTATTCATATATTCTCCGTAATGCATTCAATGGGAAGCCAGTAAGGGATCCTTGTCATCCTTGATATGATCTTTGCAGGGAGGGGGCTAGCATGAACCTACTCAAAGTTCTTGGTCAACAGCAACAGAAGCAGTAGGGAACTGAATATCTGAAATTCGCAGAAAACAAAATGTCTATCAGTTGATATATTTGCTCTTTATTACACATCCAAGACAACATGACTAAGAGTCTACAGCCATGCTAGCAGCACTGTGAAACTGTATTTGGCAGAGCAGGGCTTTGAGCTAAATGTTAACTTTTGTTTTTTTCATTTTTATTTATTCAGAGGAGTTTCACTGAGAGCAGTGCTCTTTTTATCCAGAAGCAAGTGCTACCTTTCCACCCAGATTTATCCTGCCAGTCTGGGGGATTCAACCCCCAACCACCAAGCTTCTCTAACCTCAACTCTCCACCACAACTCTCTGATTACTGCAGCATGCTAATATGTTCACAATGCAAACATGCTGATGTTTAGCATGTGTAATGTTTATCATGTTCACATTTTAGTTTAGCGTGTTTGTATAATTTATTCAGAGGGAAACGTGACGTCAAACTTCATAGCAATGCATCCAATAGTTGTTGAGACATTTCAATCTTTTGCCAGGTTTACTGGAATCACGGGTGAGTCACTATAAACATGTTTTAACTTTCAAAAAGGTGGTTAACTTTAATTGTGGTCTGGAGCTCCTGCACTCAATAGACAGTGTTGTATTGTGAGGCTGCTTCTGGCAATGACCCTGTGTTAAGATTATCTACTGTGACGTCAGTCAGTAATATATTATCACTGATAGGCATGATGGGAAAGACTACAAAAAGAGGATGTGGGTTGTAAAAAGAAAAGGAATTTTCCTGTAAAAGTTGGGTGTGAATGTCTGAGTGCAGACCCCTCTAAACTCCTCTCTGACCTCACCTGACAGCCTAGTAAACACACCCCAAGGCCTATGAGCTGAAATGAGCCATAAACTGGTTGTGCACCCATCCCCCAGGCTAATGGGTAAAGAGCAAATCCTCCATTGCAGACCAAATGGTTAAGTTGGGTGGAGTGACAACAGTTTAACCCTCAAAACTGATGACTTAAGCTACTACAAAAAAAAAACTAAACTGACAAAACGAAAAAGGCGGAAAAAAACTGCTTGGCTGGCAGGAAAGTAGGCAACACAAACTCTGAAAGGACATCCCAACTCACACACAATCGTCCTCCCACCAACCACACATGCTCCATCCACTTGGTTCAGCCGGTGCATGTTCAAGGTTCAGCCTTGGGGGAATCAAACCAACAACAATACAAGTCTAACGGGGCTGGCTTGCAGCACTGACCACATCAAAGCAACTGACACCACGGACAATCATCAGAGCTAATCATTGGAGGAACCAACCTCACCTGGCTGCATGCAGACCACTCACACCAGTTGGAGAAGCAGGTAAAGATAATTTGTCTTTCTTTAGTAATAAATCTGTTTGAGAGAGGAGGAGTGAAAGGCTTTGACAAGGCAGGGTGCATGTATTTTTACCTTTGATGTGGTGCACCTTGCCAGCCTCTGTTTCAGAATGTACAGGTAGAAGTGGTAAAGTAACATTGCAAATGAAAGAGGGCTTTGAAATGTTTTCTGTAAATTTCTCAGTTGTCGTATGCAGTTTTGTCTGTATTTTTATTTTATGAATTAGGGTGCTTAATATCAGGATCAAGACAGGTTGATAGACACCTTTGTACTCAACCAATTTACTGTTTTACAATCAAGCTAACACTTGGCAATGAATGAACTAAGTAAAAAACAACTGTGGCTGTTTTAAGTTTGCAAATGACACACATCTTTGGAAAGTAACTTTTAGTGCCAAACCTATTTTTTCTCCACATAATAATTATCCATAAACACAGTTAGATTTTCAGCTCTGAATGCAGTAAGTCATGCAAACTCTTCCAAATGTTTCAAAGTCATGAAGTGGATTTCAGCAAAGCCATCAACTGGAACTGATCCCTCAAAACCCATGCAGTGCATATACAACCCGTTGTGTAATTAACATAGCTGGCTCAGACACAAAGCCCCTGGCAGGAAATTAGCATTATCATATTCCTCTGCATGTGTTTCTCCTTAGTCTGTCAGGCAGATTGTAGACAACATTTGTTTTCAGTAATATATGTTCCATTTTTCAGAGATCTGTGAAGCCCTGACTCACCATTTTCAACAGCTGGGATAATTGTAAATCTTGTCACACATTATAAATGACTATTGTGTTGTAATGAGAATGGAAAGGTACCCTATCGGTTATATAAGTCAACAACTATTTTTACGTAAATCAGAGCCAGTTCCAGTTTAATTAAATTAAAAATACAAAGAAGAGTAGCCATGGTTCAGTTCTTTACACATCGTTAACTGTATTTTTAAACTTACATTTCTGACTCATGTTTCTGACACCCAGAATAAATGTTTTTAGGAGCCTGTAAAAAGATAGACGTGTCTACCTTTGGTCTAATTGTTGGACAAAATCAGATGGACAATTTGATTGATTCTTGATTTCACCCCAAAACTTTTTACAAGGCTGCTGGTTGGCCATAGTAGTAGAAAGGCTGAGCGGAAGCACATTCTTAATGTAGAGGTTACGAGCTGACTGTCTCTTTGCTTAACAGACTGAGTTGCATGCCAAATAACTGTAAGGTTTCTTGCCTCTGCAGTCCGACAGAAAACTGTATCATGCTCAGAGACAGAATGTTTGTCTTTTCTAATTTACTAAGACCTAAAAAAGTCACTGTATGTAACTTTTACTTCAAGAACATGGATTAGGCATATCTGTAAATATCTAGAAATACGGCCATTAAAAGATCAAGGTAAGAGAACAGTATGCAAAGTAAAGAAGTCACTTAAGGCTAACAAGTCAACAAGCCAAGCTTGTTAGGATGAGTACAGTACAGTGATGCAAACATGTGTCCATTCATCTAGTTAGTAATTTGTCTTTGACGTACAGTCCCCATAAATGTCCTCAGGACTAACGCCTGGATGTGTAATTGATCATACAAGATTACAAACATGTGTGTAGAGGACTGATCACTGTTCACAAACGTACCCTGGCAAACACAGGAGGAGCTCTAATGGGATTGCATGGCTGATCACGGATAAGTGTTGCCCCTATCCTCACACAACTCAGCTGGGATTATCCTGTTGCATTCAAGCCTTTGCCGTCATCACTGGAAATTAGCGCAATCTCATGCTGGCATGTTGAAAGGTCAGCTGACACTAGCTAGCTTCTACAAAAACAATTTGCCTGGCCAGCGTAAAAATTAAGCCTGACCTCCCTCCCAATAACACTGTTACATCTCATGTCTGCCGACAATGTTTTGTTCTAAGTAGAGTGCTGGTGCTTTAGCAGTAGAGCCCGTACAGTGTGCATTTGCTTGTAACAAAGTAACATGACGTACTAAACAAAATTTTACCTTGAGAACACCCTGTTTGCTCTGTGCTGACTAAGAGCATCTTGCAGTTTCCGTAAATTTTTCAACTCAATATTAATGATCCCAAAAGTGTTTTGGAGTAAACTCAAGCCATTCAGAGTTCACAGAGCTGCCTTCAACCTGCTTCAAGTTGTAGAACTATTCGAAATAGGTTAAACTGTGGCCATTATTATTATTATATTATTATTTATTATCTGTCTATCTGTTTGAAACAAGGCATGGTGGTCCTCATATACATTTAGACCAAATCTGACCATGGCAAAAATAGTAATTTGGATGATCATGTGTTTACAGTTTTGGTAGACAGACTTGATGGCCTTTTGCTGGATCCACTTAAAACATAGGTGAGTTGTGCATTTGGAGACAATCATTTGTACTAAACAATTACACTGACCTGTATATTAGTTTATCTGACATTCTCTGTTGTCTCCAAACACTGTAAAACTATAATTCGAATAAAGCAGATTCATTCGTCTTGATTGCACCATGGACACCAGCAGCCCAAAATTAGCACAAAGGTCGCCAAAGGACTCCAAAGGATTTGTGAGTGGAGTTAATAGAGATCAAACATGCCAACCAAGGGAGGAAGGTTTTAGATGTAGAAGACAGCAAACAAAGAACAGGTAGGCTTGCATTAGCCTGTTTCTAAGTGGGTCATGTCAAGTACAGAAAAGTCTTAGTACACTATACACCACCATGGGATTATAACCTTTGATCCTGGGAGAATCTGATTGGCCACGAGAAGCTTTGGTGTCATCATGAGTGACAGCCTGGCACGCAGTGAATGAAACGTCTAGTGGTACAAATACAGGCAAGTAAGCGGTACAGCCTCATCATTTGGGACTACGCTTACACTACAATAACTTGCTGAAGAAGGACAAAGGCAAGAGGAAACTTACAGACTTTAAGGTAAGTTGAGTTTCTAGAAGGCAAGGATACATCTGGGTAACAGGGTTGGTAGAAGTAGATGTGCAACTTTAGCAACTGGGTTTTATTTTTATGGAAGCATGGACCATGCTTTTATCATTCACGCCACACGTCGCACCGCAAAGCTCGGTCAAAAAGCTTTGACCCTTGTATAGGAAGAAAGCAGGGGCACGTCTCTCAAAACAGGTGTGCCGGCTTTGTCTTTGAAGAGTGGCCATCCATGGAAAAGCATGGCCTACCCGAAATGAGTTCCAGACAAACGTGCATCAAGAATTTAAACAAGCACCAGATGGCGGCTGAGAGGAATCAAGTAGCACCATAAGAGATGGATAGAAGATGGTAGACCTGACTTTAGATTTTGTTTGCTCAAAAAAGAAGAGATGTGTCTTTGCGCTTCTCTGTTACATAGAATATATTGTATCCCAGCTTTTTCTTCTTTACTATTGTCAGGGGTTAGTCGGGCCCTCTGTCCTTTCCCTGAACTGCTATCTCTAACACAGGGAAGAATTCAGTTCTCCTCAGGTGAATGTATGCAATGCTTGCATATGTGTTTATTTGCATGCATCATTGTATCAACTAAACCAAAGCAATTTGACTTAGAGATGTCTGGTGGGCTTAGCCATACATGTTGCAATTAAAGCCTGATGAGCAGTGTGCATTTTACAACTGACATACAAGGTCTTCAAAAGTCTTCAGGTTTGAGCTGTAGGGTTGTTCTAATGAAATTAAAATTGACCTGGCTTTGCATCCTGTCTTTAAAGCTTTACATGTCATTGTCAGGCAAAGTTCTGGAAACAGCAGCTTACCTTGCTCCATTGGCAACTGCCATTGGAATTGAATGATAATGACATTAGTGGTAGCGTAGGCTACATACCCTGGTGGTGGCTAATTTGGACCAGAGTTTGGTTCTGTGTATTTGTGAACCCTTAGTCAGCTGATTTACTTGTTGGTGATTTATGGTATTTTAAGTGACCGAATGTTAGAGGCTAGAGGCAAGACTGATTCAGTAGTTATGAAACAGAGACAGGTTCTCAAATGCAAAGAACTGTATCAGCTACAGTGTGGTCTTAATTCCTGGACGTCCCCAATCCTTTGCAAATTATAACATCTTACCTGATCCTCTTTATCTCGGATGTCTAGAGCATTCAGATGCCTCATTGCCCTATATATCCATCCATCCATTACACAGCTGTTTATAATATTATTTTTTCTTCCTTTCGATCATAGGTTTGGCAGCAAAATGGCACTTCTTCATAGCCTTCTCTGCATCTTGTGCCTGGTTGGACCAGTTCTCAGCCAGGACATGCCTTATGAGGAATATATGGCCCAGATCCAAGCCTGCCCTAAAGAGTGTCACTGCCCCCCCAACTTCCCTCGCGCTGTCTACTGTGACAATAAAGGCTTGAAGAGCATCCCCAAAATCCCTCCACACACATGGTATCTCTACCTGCAGAACAATCTCATTGAAGTGCTGTCAGCAGATGCCCTGCACAATGCCACATCGCTGCGCTGGCTGAACCTAAACCGTAACAAAATCACTAGTGAGGGACTGGAAGAAGGGGTCCTAAATGCGATGTCTCACCTTGCGCACCTCTACATGGATGACAACCTCTTGTCTTCTGTGCCATCTCCCCTGCCAGCCAGCCTGGAGCATCTAAGTCTCTCTCGCAATCGCATCTCCAAGATCCCTGCTGGTGTCTTCAATGGTCTGGATAAGCTTAACCTCTTGGACCTCCAGGGGAACAAGCTGATGGATGATGCTGTGACTGAGGTGAGCCTGAAGGGCCTAAACAACCTCATACAGATCAATCTCGCCAAGAACCAACTGAGTAGCATGCCTCTTGGCTTACCAACCACCACCACCCAGCTTTTCCTTGATGGTAACAACATTGAAAAGATCCCAGCCGGCTACTTCAAAGGTCTGCCAAAAGTGGCTTTTCTGAGGCTCAACCACAACAAGCTTGGCAGCAATGGAGTTCCCAAAAATGTGTTTAATGTCTCCAGCATTTTGGACTTGCAGCTGTCCCACAACCAGCTGACTGAAGTTCCCCTCATCTCCTCAGGCCTTGAGCACCTTCACCTTGACCACAACAATATCAAAAGTAAGTCATATTCCCAAAGCACCTACTGCTTTTTTCTGATTGCAATGACTCATTTGAGCTGTAGATTCATGAGTGTTTCTTTTATGCATCTATTGAATAGAATTGTTTATCAGAGAAGGATTCTGTAGTGATATTAGAAATCTTATAACATTAAATCCCTTTGTGTATTTATAGGTGTAAGTGGCTCCAATGTCTGTCCTGTCGCTGTCGAAACTGTGGATGACTCCATCAATGAAAGTGTTCCTCGTCTGCGCTACCTCAGACTGGATGGCAATGACATTAAGCCACCAATTCCCAGAGATGTCATTCTGTGCTTCCGTCTCCTGAGGTCTATTGTCATCTAAAAACAAAATCATCAGCAAAGGCTAATTTTAATTTCATACAATGGATGACTTGGTAATGTGGACACTTTAAATTAGATGTGATAGGAATCTATGCAACAAAACATGGTGACATGAGATTTGCATGTTTTTGAAACTCAAATATTTGACACTAGTTGGCATCAACTTGTTTTATTGCTGTAACTTAGGGAACAGTTAACTCCAGTTCCAAATAACATAGATTTTCAGTGTAATTCTAATCAAATTTTAAAAGAAAGTACAAAATTGACAAGGAACTGGGTTAGAAGCTTTATTGAGGCTGCAATCTCTTGACCACTAGTTGTGCCTTATGTTGGTGTTAACATCTGCATGTACAATTCAGAATGAAAATCTGATTATAATTTAGTGATTTAGGCCAAGAGGAGGATAATATGTATTAATGACAAGTGAAGATCTTTGAGGACTATTGTCATTATGCTTCTTCGAGCAGGAGGCAAAGCTTATCAGTGCATAGGAAAATATCACTTTTAATTTTTTTCTATTGTTTCAGGAAAACCTTTGCTTTATACTTGTAGACTTGAAGCCAAATTAATGGTCTTGTGTCCTAGGTTTGGTTATATTTCCTTTTTTAAATTACTCTATTCTACAAATATGCATATTTACTGTAGGTAATTTATTTTTATTTAATACTGGAGAAAATTAGTATAAATCTGACAGTCCTGTGAACATTTATGGCCAATATTCCTTAATGTTTTGTATACAAAAGAAATGTGATAACTGTTTTTAAAAAATGCCAACACACTTTTTGATTCTGGTCATTATTTTTCTGAATGAACTGAGCAAGGGATTTCATTTGAATTGTCTTCAATTTGAATAAAACTTCTCAAAATGAACATTTGTTTTGCTGTAATTTTGTCTTTTTTTTTATAACTTTGCATGAATGTTATCTAAATGTAAATATTTGCCACAAATAATAATGATAATATTTGTGGTAGCCTGCAATTTTCATTTGGCAAAAGACTTTGACACGTCGGCTGCCTGCACACAGACTATTGATGTATAATGAAGTTGCTGAAGTGAACATACACTAGATCATCATCCACAAAATATATTTTAGTAGCCAACCAAACTCCAGAGTCTCATTAGATGAACTGTGCAGCTATGTCACAAATATTTAGTCTCTTAAATGACTTGTTCACACCCTCGTGAAGTATGAAACATGGATGGATCAGTACTTCTTACTCAGTCATTTCCTCTTCTCCCCAAGTATTTGAGTGTGCAGAAAGAACTGGGTTAAATGGCCAAAATACACAGATCAGCCATAACATTATGACCACCTGGGCTTGCTGGTGGTCATAATGTTATGCTGATCTGTGTATTTTGGCATACTGATCGGTGTATAATGGTCGGATGATCAGTTCTGAACATGTTTAATGCATCAAAATGTATAGGGCTTCTTCTGCAAGACAGTTAAAATGAGCAGTGCAGGGTTTAGTGGCAGATTGCAGCAGCAGATTGAAACCATTTAAGTACAGCTCAGCCTTCCAAGCGTGTAGGGGAAACTATGGTGGCTGAGAAAAAATAAAAATGCAAAAGGCCCTATCTAGATGAGGCCCATGTTTGGTTTGTCCATTCTGGACTACTGTAGAAATATGTCGGTTCAACATGGTGGACATGGTATAGAAGAGGACCGGCGCCCTCTGTAGATAAAAACGGCTCATTCTAAGGTAACAAAAACACAACGATTAATATTTTCAGGTAATTATAAACTAATGAAAAAATGTCTATGAATATTATATTCAATTTATGCCAATAGATCCTCCTAAATGTTACACACTGAGCATTAAACAATTATAGCATTAATAACTCAATATTCACAGACATTTTCCATTACATCACACAAAACCAAAATTCAAATTGATATAATTTATTTGATATATGCCCAGCCTTAGCTCCAGAATTAACACTCAAACATAATGTGTTTCTGCTGGCATGAAAATTTTATCTCACTGTCTTACTATATGAATGCTTCTACAGAGTGGACCCAGTCAGGACTTCTCAGGTTCTTTAAAATTCAAAAAGTCATATACTTTGCACATCAATCATTGTGTCAAGATATTTTGGGAAAAATGTCAGAGTTCTTTGCCTTTTGAAAATGTTTGGCAGAAGAAAAGCCCTGAATATAAATCCCATCTTATATGGCAGGTGCAGAAGGATGTCTGGCATTCCCACTACGTCCTTTTCCCCTCACTCATCAAAAGGTCTAGAGTTACCATGGGAGTGAGAGAGACGTGGGCAAGTTGAGACAAAATCATGGCCAAATAAAACGGACAGAGTGAAGCTACCCAGTGGCATCCTGTGTGTATCCTGTTTTTGGTTTAAACAATGGACACTGAAGACAGTTTATGAGTGCATGTAGCATCTCTTTGAATGTTCACCCACATCGGTGCAGAACATCAGTAAGAGACTGATAAACCCCCCACACACACATACTCATTCTCAGTCAAGTGAGACTGTTATGGTATCCCACAACTGAACTCGAAACGTTTAGCAAGGTGCAAAGAGAAAGCAGCTTCAACCAAAAGGGAGGGCAGAGGCCTTCCCCCAAGCGGGGACTTCCTCTCAGCACCATGCTAACAGGGGCTCCTCACAGAGGTCCCATTGTGTACAAGGGCCCTGTGGATCCCCCCCATACATGAAAGCAACACATGCCAGAGTTTCACCTCAGGAAAAGGCGGACAAATATTTCAGTCTGATTGAGCCACACTCTTAGAAAAATAAAGGATACTCTTGTAAGGGATAAAAAGGTATTTTGCCATTGGGGGGCCTTTGCTCTCTCTTTCTCTGTGTGTCTGCTGTCTCTATGTGTGTGTGTAGTGTTTGAGGGAGTTGTGCATGTGTGTGTACGGTGTGGGGTGGGTGCACTCCGAGTGACCAAAAGCAATCTGCTCTGGTCCAATCAGTCTCAGTGCCTACCTTCACACATAAGCGGCAGGGCACTCAGGTCTGCCAGAGCGCACAGACCTACACATACACACACACCTGCACACTTGTCACATTCACACACACACCTTTCACACACTTAACACACCCACCCTCCCTCGTCAAGGCACCCTGCGCGACCTCTCACCATTGGCCAAGTCCCGGAGCCCTCAGCATCTCCATCACGGCTGAAGGGACCATTCGGGAAAGCAGGAGACAGAGGTAAGCGTTCTTGGTGCTATCTATCATGCTGGCTCAATGCTCTCTGGTGCAGGGCATAGGCAGGCAGAGTGGCTCCACTTGCCCCTCCAAAAACACTGCTACTCAGGGTTTGCATAGGAGTTAACTGGTTGGTGGGGCAGCTGCTTTATTTTCACTCAGGGATTTGCTTTGGGAGCTTTGCAGGTGACTGAAATGTAGATGTCTTTGTTGTCCTTTGGCAGTCTTAGTGGTTGTGATATGTTGGCTGGCAGTTTTTTAAGCTTCAGTAGATGAGATTCAGGTAATGCGTGTTCGACAGGTGTTTTTTGGAGTAGTGACAACCTTGCTGATACTGACTTATTTTGCAGTTTTGACAACTGCAGCATTGTTTTCTTCTGATGCAATATCTAATCAAGCAAGACAAATTTTGACTCTAGACAGTTAGAGTCTAGAGGCTTTGACCTTTTTGACCAATATTGCAAAAGTTATATCTCTCAATTTTCAGAAACTGGGATAGGAATCTTATTTCAGTTGATATAATTCCTTAACATTTTCTCTCTGAACAGAATTATGTGCATGTATTACTTTTGCCACCTGCTTGATTGAAGTTTTTTTTTGTGTTTTTTTGTCATACAAATATGCAAGTTACCAATTTGTTCTGCAAGCCATATTAAAGGGACGTCTGTCAAGTTTGTTTATGGCTTTTGAGGAAGAAAGGTAGAATCACTGGATATCAGGAATGCCCAACGCAGAGCCAAGCATAACAAGGAGGTAGTCTAGAGGCTACACTCATACACACATACACAGTTTCCACACACTGTACACTGTGATGGCCTGTATAAAAGCACACCTCTGTCTTTAGTATAGTCCCTCTTTCAGTGTAACCATGCTGGATTTCATAGCCTCATGACAGAAAGTCTATTTCACTGGGGATGCAAACCAGTTACCTTTTCTCAATAGGGTGCACTCAGTTCATGTTGGACATTTCCAAGTGACAATGACTGGATTGATTTGCATAATTAGTCTATCCCTCTGATATCAACAAAGATTAGATTCATGACTTAAATAACCTGTGAACAGGTTTTTTTTTGTTTTATATCTGTCCTCATCCCAAAAATAGCAGCAGAGGTTTCTCAATTTTCTCTCTCTGAAAGATAGGTGTGTTGAGACAGAGTGTGCATCTGTGAGAGGATGTGTCTTTTTCAACGTGTGTGCGTGAATATCTGTGTGTGTGTGTGTGTGTGTGTGTGTGTGTGTGTGTGTGTGTGTGTGTGTGTGTGTGTGTGTGTGTGTTTGAGCAAGCTCACTGCTGAATGAAGCTTTTCCTTGCAGCCGTAACTCACTGCCATCCTGTCCACAAACCTCGGAGGAATTTGGAGTTTGAGTGCTGAGACAGGCAGCGACCGGGCCTCATAAAGACCCTCTGTAAAGGGTGAGGGGTCGAGTTAGCTTAGAAACCTGTCTCTCTCTTTCTCTCTCTCTCTCTCTCTCTCTCTGTTGCTCTCCCCCTCTCAGTCTTTTCCTCACTCTCTCCATCTAACCCTGAGGGCCAACATCTTGTCCACGTCTCTCTCTATCTCACTCTTTTCTTCTCTTCTTCCCTTCCCTTGCTCTCCATTTCTCTGCCCCGGCCTAGAGGACTCTCTTTCAACACTTCTGCCTTTTCTTGGACTTGACATCTTCAATCTCAGGCCAGCTGATATGTGGTTACACTTGTTATTAGTGTGCTATGAAATTCTCAACTGACTGATGATTGATTTCTAAGCTGAGTGTCAATTGTGCCAGCTAATTAAGATGAAATTAACATATGCTAATCTGACTAACTCTTCCCACTGGGGATTCACATGTATGAACTTAATTAACCTCACTAAGCTTAGCAGATCTGTGCTGCAAAGGAAATGAACAAGATCAGCTATCTGGGTCAGGGCAGTACATAGTGGATACACTGAAAATCATACATGCTAATTTTAGATTCAAGTAGAAAAAGGGACCCTCTTGTCTGCGCCCTCATTTCAAGTTTTTTGCCAAGAATTTTCTGCCAAAGCCTTTTTGGTGTGATTGAGAAAAAATAATTGAAGCCATGGCCAAAAACACAGGAATAAATTTGCAGCCTTAATAGTGTTTTTTTGGAAAAGAAGCAAACCAAAACCCTTCTCCTTCAAATACATTTAAAAGATTTCTTAGAGGTCTTTGGCCCTGCAGACTGAAGAAAATATTACCAAGATTCCTTATCAGATCAACTCTGACTTTTGACCTTTGACACACCACAGGTGAGCACTGATTTGAGCCAAGATGGCTGCTCCCTGGAACAGTGATCTTCTGGCTACAACGAGGCAAGGGGCCCTCATATTTCAATCCCTCGAGCTGTCTGCACCTCAGTAATGAATTCACTGACCTTAGTGGTGTGACCCAATGTCAGGCCCTGGTCTGTAGTACTGTAGATTATGCAGCTGATATCATGAAGACATGCCTTGTTGAAGTGCACCTACGTGGAACTTTATTTGAATACATAGCTTAATATACAGCATATCTGCGTTCCTTAAAGTTTGCCAGGTTTGCATTTCTAGAAGCAAATGTGTATTAATTAATAAATAATAGATTGAACGAGGGCAAACTCACCTTGTGAGAGTTTAATTTCCATGCAATGTCCTCTACTGCATCTACAGTTGTAAATCTTTGAATGGATTTTCCCCCTTTGAATTTACATCTATCTGTCCATGTCAAGGTGGAATATGAGGATGCTCGTGCGGCTCGTGTTGGGACTCATCGTCCTCAAAGCTGTGGTGGCCAGCCCCAGATTTTCCCGCCAAGTGGACTTGGACACATATGACAGTGCCAACTATGATGTGGATCTAGACAATTTAAATTTGGAGAACCAGGATATCTATGACTACGAAGATGGGCTAACAATTGATGATCCTCAGGTAAGAAACTGTGTCAGTCAGTAAGGACAAGAGAAACTGTTTGGCCAAAACATTGAAATACAGTGTAATGTTTATGTCACCCATGTGAAATTGAGTGTTTGCTCGAAAATGTATGGAAACAGACAGTAAATATAAATTATATCACATCAACATGATCTACAACTCACATTGTAAAACATGCAGTCTGTTACAATGCTCAGAAGTCCCAGTCAGATTGCACAAATCACAGCGGTAACTGTGTAATATTGGTAAATTGGCTGGTTTTAGACGGAGGTCAGCAAGTTCATGGAGCAGACAGACATCCCGCTGATACCAACTGCGGCCATTTGGAAAATACATGAACTGCTTTCCAGTTTTACGCACTGTTGTGGCCAAAATATTTCACGTTTGGCCATCCACCATTTAAGTTACATGCCCTAGCATTTCCACAGGCTGAATTATTCTGCTTCTGGAGTAGTTTTTACACGTAGAATCAAACAATATTTATGCTCCAGTGTTGGACATAACTTTTATTTGCCTGCAGAACTTGAGGAACTAACAACTTTTGATGACACTGAACATTTAGATTTTTTTTTCTTTTGATGTGCAGATTGCAGATGTGGCAGTAAGAGGTTCAAAGGAAAAATACAGAAAACACAGATGGAACATTATCTGCATGTATCATTTTCCCATACTGAATATAACATATACTCTCTTTTTAAAGCTGCTATGGAATCATTTATTTATGAGTGTAACCTGCTGTTACTTGTTACTCAAAATATGTTAAACAGAGTGAAAAATCTGTTGTAAAGTCAGCAAAACTCAAGGGCTGCTGTGTCTTCTGGGACTTCCTTCTTTTCTCATTCTACTCAGATTCTGCAAAGTACAACAGCTTTTAAAGATGAGTGGAGGACAGAGGCAGAAAGGGTTACAAACTGGATGATGGATTCCAGAAGATCTTTTAAATCAGCTCAAGTTGAGTGTGATGTGGCAAGCCTGCAGGGCACGCTGGGAAGGCAAGCTTTAGCCAAATTTCATGTTCCCGTTTATACCTCTTTGTAACAAGGAAATTAAGCCAAGGCAATGTCAAGATGGCACAAGGAAAAACGTCCGCATTGGATTTTCAAAGGGCTTCTTCTAAGCCAGCAATTTAAGCTAAACCTGATGTGGACACCACTACTGTTATCTAAGCCCAATCCCACAATTAAATGCAGATTTAGCAGATCGGACAAGATGTAGAAAAAGAAACAACATAAAGCGGTGAATTATTTTCTCATCCACCGAGGCAAAAAGGTACAACCACAGCCCTCTGCCTGAATTTAAAATTATTTAATTCTGGTGTGCAAAGCTTGCAAAGCTGGGCGTTACACATGATGGTGCTCAATGTGGGAAAGTTGTAATGTGTTGCAGGCAAATGGCTTTGATAATGTCTCTGTGTTTAACAAGCCTGGATATGACACAGCAGCACATTTCATAAAATTTTGTGGGAGTGTGTGGGAGGAGGAAGAGGAGAAACAGAACAATTAAGAGTTACAAGAATCTTTCTCATCCAGAGTCAACAAAAACGTTTGATTTGCAGCACTGAATGTTGAGAAATAGCATACTGCAAGGATCTGTCATTTTGCTCTGTTGACAGCACAGATAAAGGTGAGAGGGCAGATCCTCAGAATGGTTGTTCAAGAAGAGTGAGGATTAAATGGATTTTATTCACACACACATCAGATGTCAGGGGAGAAATGAAGCGATGATGAGCTCCATGCCTCTGGAATGCTGACTCTTTACTTTCCACATCCATCTGTTGGTATTTCTTCTCTTTCTCCTCAGGGCTTGTCTCTTTTGAAAGAAGTAAAGGCTCATCTTCAATGTTATCCGAGCAAATCGTCCTCAGTCTGCTGCATTCAAAAGTCTCTGCTAATGCTTTAATCACCAATTTTAGATTCATTTAGGCATCTCCTTAGATTGACTAAGACATATAAGCTTCAGTCAGTCTTTCATCATTTTGTCTCCAGTTGATCATATTTAGAAACAAGTGTGTATAATTAATTAATTTGTAAAGGGCTTGACAATACCTCTATACAATGTCTATTAAGCATTGTTTAGACTTTGCAAAACAATTACCCCAGGACCACGAATTTCTGCAGCTATTAAAGTTAGCTCTAACATGCTTTTTAGCATAAAGACTGAAAAAGACTGAAAGCAGGGGGAAACAGCTAGCCTGGCCATGTCCACCTACCAGCACCTCTAAAGCTTACTTACTAATTAACACGATGTATCTAGTTGGTTTAATCTGTATTAGATCAAAGTGTAAAAATGAAATGTTGTGGTTTAACACACAAACCGTTCCTGGGTTGGTCACAGTGACTTCCTGGAGTCTTGCAGTCACTGTGAGGTTTCCAGGCAGCCGGCACAGACTCTGGGAAGTTAATAGACAGACTTGAACAACATCAATCTTCTCATCTAACTCCCACCAAGAAAACGAGCAAGTGTATTTCCCAAAACGTTGAGTTATTCCTTTCATCTAAAAGTGTAGAGTTTCTGTTGGCACACGCTCTGAGCTGGAGAGCCTTATAAATGTGGCTCAGAATTGGCCACATGGTGTTTCATTACTTTATATGACTTTATATGAATTAATTGTGATGTCCCAGTGCTTCTCATTTCTTTGTGGTGGTCGATACTTTAGCTAATCATTCAGTCATTTTGTTTGCTGGTGAATCAATCAGGATTTTTTTGTCTCTGTAATAGAACCTCTTAAAATTATTTTTGCATTTTGTGGCTGAAAATTCACTTACCTTGCTGAATGCATCTACTGATTGACATACTCTATACTACAGCAGCAACACAACATTTGGCATTGGCTTGTTGTTCACATTGAACGTCTCTGCCTGTGCATTCTGTATTCCCATGCTGTTTCCAGAGCTTTTTTTTTCAGTATTTTTGGTTGCCAGCCTTTCGCCTCTTCTTTCCCCTTGGGTGTATATGTTTGCTTTGGGGAAAGGGGGAAATGAAGGGGAGAGCTGCAGCGAGCTAACTCTGTGCAAGACTTTTCAATGGCCTACCTTGTTGTATCACAAACTGTGTTTCTGCCAAGCTTTAAAATGTGACTTTTCAGACATCTTTTCATTGCTGCATTTAATGTCTCTGCATGATTTTTAGTCGTATTTCTTATAAGGACTGTACTTAGTTTGACTTGCATGATTTTACTGATATACATTCATTTTTGAGACCTCTTGGCTTACTGACATCTGATTACTGTGGCTGAAAGTAACTGGAAAGACTAAATTATGGATTCTTGCAGCTACCATGTGAGTCTTGGTTCCACAAGGACCATTCCCTTTTTGGAAGGTTGAGTCAGCCTTGTTGGGCGTGAGAGTGTGTCAGGTATTACCTGTGGCGGTGTGTGGGGGTTCATTGCCCTCGTCTGGAGAATTATAGAACTGCAGGTTTCAGCAAACAAGAAAACATCAAAGAGCAACAGCAGTGACTTTAAATGCAATTATAATATACCTGTAGCTTTTAATGAAGGAACCCAAATCAACTGTAATTCATAAAGCTTGGGTGGTTTGGCAGAGTCTTTTAATTTATTTCCCAACATAAAATAAATGCTGGCCAACTTGATAAATGCCAAGACTTTACTGTTTGTAAAGTAATTTGATATTTTAAGATGAGGTAGGAAAGACATTAACATGGTTGGTATTCAGTCCTTGGATGTACCCTATGTAGTTTTTCTAGTTCTTAAGTTTATCAAAGGACATCCTAACTGACTCCAACCAGAATGAGCACACATTTCCCAATGTGTTAAAGTATATATGTAAAATGTTTAAGTTTATAACTAAGGACATGTAAATAAGAGTTCCTAACTTTAAATTGTGTCCCTGCTAGATTTGTCGTTTTCTACAACAAAAATGTCCTCTGTGTCCTTTCAGTGAAGATGCATCTGAGTGGTTTTCTCTGTCTCTACTGTGGATACTTATTTTGGGATACTTTGCTGCCATCTAGTGGTAGAAATAATGGAGCTGCAAATCTTCTCATGGTTCTTGTTTTGGTCCTTGGTATACAGTGACATAACCATCAGCTCTGGACACTATTCCTGTTGTTTGATTTCTTGTTATGCCTTTTGACTGGTTTGAATAGAATAAAGTTCAAAGAGATAGAGAAAGAAAGATCTGAGAGGTGATGAGATGAACTAAAGTGCCCAGGATGTGACACCTACATTGCACCCAACATTCATTAGTGGATCAACTTGCTGTGAATGGAAATTAATAAAAGAGAAAAATATCAATGACTAAGGCTAAACTTTTTGCCTGCATTGTATCAATCAATCCATCTTCCATTTTCTTAACAACCATTTTGGAAAATGTAAATATTTTTGGGGCCGCTGTGGCTCAAGAGGTCATTTACTAATCAGAAGGTTGGCAGTTAATCCCAGGGCTCCTCCTGCTGCATGTTGACTTGTCCATAGGCAAGACGCTGAACCCCAATTTGCTTTGTCATCTGTGTGTGTGAATGGTTATACCTGTGTGAATGGGTGAATGTGACATTTAGTGTCAGAAGACTAACAAGGTGCTATATAAGTACAGTCCATTCACCATGGCCTAAAAGACATGATAACAATGCCAAATTAATACACATCATTCTGTATTTGTCCTATGATGATCACAGAGATCATGGATTATTTTTAGCACCATATCACTTCTTATAATACATGTAGAGAGAATGGTTGAAAGTTATATCAATACTTTTGCTGAGGATGGACTACATAGCAAATGGTATATCAAGGGACACTGGTATAGTATGAATAAGCCAGAATCCAGCCGTAGTGAATTTAATGTAAGTCAAACCACAATAATAAATGTTATTGAGTCTATGCTGACATGTCATGTATTCCGCCTCAAGTGGGTTAAATGTGTGAAATCTATTCTTCCTATCCTCTTTCTTGCACCCAAAAGGGAACATAGTACCAGAGATTGGCTCTTTCTTAACTGATGTTACTGCTAATAAATGATAATTGGTAATAGATTTTGATAAATTTACAGATGCAAAAGATTTATATTGATAGACAACATTTATGTCATTAAAATCCATTAAACACCCTGACTATTAGCATCATACTGCCACTTTTCATTTAATTGTCAAACATTTTGCATGTTGCCTCCATGATTCAGAATACGGATAAAGTACTTCTGTCATATTATAAAAACAGTCAAGAGATGATGCACTACATACTGAAATCAATTATATAAGGAGTTCCAGTTTTCTGACTATTCTCTGTCATTTGCTCAGAATTGTGGTTAATTATGTTTTATTCATTATTACACTGGTCTACAACTTTCAGATAATTCCTTTGTTTCAGTGGCACATTAGAGTTAGGTTAACTATTTTATTTTGGAGGAATTGTATTTTTTTGATAAAGTTTGCTTACTTACATCTCTCATGTGTTTTTGACTCACTGCTGCTGTCTTTCCCTTAGATAGAGATTGGAACACTGGCCCCACCCGACTATAACTACCCTGTACCCGAGGCCTCACTGGAAGAACAAGAACAAGAGGAGGAGGAGGAGGAGCAGGAGGAAGAGTTGCCCCTAAAACCTCAGCTCATCCTTCAGGGTTCAGGGGGATCTGGGGTTCTCATGGGCCCAAACACACAGAAAGGTCTGAAAAAGAACACACATTTAGGTCTGCACACCCATAAATATAGAGTTACTTGATATCCAAAGTTCACTTAAGAGCGGGTCTTGCTCTTCCTTGGGCCTGTGGAGCAAAAGCAGCATTAACCATAATGACAAAAACACCCAAAACAAAGATACACCAATCTATTCTTTGAAATCATCATCTGCATCTTCATCAATCCTCTTTCCCGTGTGCATGTGTTCCATTTAACTAGCTGTTAATGGTTAAATGTGTCATTTTCAATCACTGTGTCCATTTGTCTCTGACTACTTAACCTAATCATCATTGTGGGTCCAACCCTGATTGATCCATTTCAGTTTCATCTGTCTGTTTATTAATACCTAATCTTGTCTCTAACAAGAGGTGGAGCTGCGTCTGACGCCCATTGACATCCTTCATGTGTCCGGGGATTTTGGGGGCTCCGTAGGGTCTGGGGCCTCAGGAGCTTCTGGGGTTTCTGGGTCTGGAGGCTCAGGAGACCTACTGGTCTCCAGCGGCTCTGGGGGTTCTGGAGACATTGTCCTGATCTCTGGAGCCTCTGAGGAGCTCCTTAGCTCTGGGGGATCTGGGGAATTCTTGGTATCTGGGGATCTCTTGATTTCTGGGGATTTCTTGATATCTGGGGATCACTCAGGATCTGGGGATATAATGGGATCTGCAACTTCTGGAGCCTCTGGGGACTTGGGCTCTGGAGGGATTTCAATTGAACTCCCCCTCGGCTCTGGAGGGTCTGGGGACCAGTCTGGTTCTGGGTTCTCTGGAGATCTCTTGATCTCAGGGGCCTCTGGAAGCTCTGGGGTTTCTGGGGACTCTGGTGAGTCCGGGGACTCAGGGATAACATTGATATCTGGAGGTTAGTACTTTTAAAGAGCAGATGTCTGTTAGTAAGGCTTATGGCAACTCTATTTCTTTAGCAATAACCTGCCTTCATCTGTGTGATTTATGTTGATTTATTGTCTTAAATTCCATTTAACTGTGTTAAATGTTGATTTGTTCTACATTGTATTTGTGTTACTCATAATCATGCTTCTCCTAACCTCTTGTCTCATCTAAAAGAGTGTGATTGATTGTCCATCTCACCCCTCACCCTTCTAATCTCATGTCTCCTAACCCCGATCCTTGGCTCTAACAAGAGGAGGAGCTGCCCCTTCCTGAGACTATCCCCAGCGAGGCATCAGGTGCTTCTGGGGAGTTCTCAGGAGCTTCAGGAACCTCAGGTACCTCTGGGGATCTTGGAGCCTCTGGAGACTTAGAGTTATCTGGAACCTCTGGGGATTCTGGTGTCTCTGGCTCTGGAGACGCAGAGGTCCCTGAGGTAACTCTGGTCCCTGACACTGATAAAGGTCAGTATCTAATCTAGACTTGTGTGAGATATGTTAAGGCAGGGTAAAAACGTAAGTCCATATCTCACACACCAGAAAGCATACCAACTAGTGAATACTTTGACCGAGGTGCCTGTGCTGGGCCAGGGAGCCAATGAATCTTTTTATGAACTCTCCCTTGCTAGTCAGTTTTGTCTAATTACTCCTGTTAAGTCAGCTTTGACAGCTTTGGTTTTCTCTTCACCGAGTTTTAAAGGTTCCCTGTGGAACACTTGTAGTGCTATGGAGCATTGATACACATGTAGAGAGATTGTAATGCAATGTAAGCCTGGATCTATTAAGAGAGCTTTGCTGCTACTTTATCCTAGTGTCCACCTGTGGTACTGCAATGGGGAAAAAAACTGGCCCAAAAACATTTACCTCATTGACCATCATTATAAAAAATACTTTTGTAAACCTTTTGAAAGGACACCTCTAACTGCAAACAATGTCAATTATTACTCTTTTAATCCGCAAAGGTGTTATATTTGTAAAACTTGCCTAGAAAGTGTGATGTGAAGTCTATGGCCCAGGTGGGAATGTGTAGGTTGGGCCAGAAGGAGGAACCCTAATGATTATGCACAATCTGATGTGCAACGCAGAAGCAAGCCGAAAGCTAGAAAACTTTTTTGGCAAATTTAAGTGAACGGGCACTGTTTTTGAGTCTGTTATACAGTTCCTATAATTCATTTGTGACGTAAACATTGCATTATTTTAAAATACTTTACTTAACTACTAAAAAGTTGCCTTGCAAATGGTTTATTAGAAAGGAATTTAACTAATCACGTTTGTTAAGTCTCAGGAATACACAATAAGCATTTTGGTGAGAAACATTGGTCTCCACAGTGCACAACTAAAGTGCTAGAGTGGAGTCAATTTTCCAAATGCTTAAAAACCGGTACTAGATTTATTGTGGGAACTGGCTCCAGCATTGGCACCTTTTCTGCAGAGAAGAGATAGCAGTTACTTGAGAAATTGTTTGAGTTATTCACTATTCCTACATACTGTTTATACAAAGTCCACTGCTATCTAGCCTCGTAGCCCGTCGTGGACGCAACTGAAAAGACCAAACCCATTTCAACTGGCTTCCCTAAAAAGTGTTTTTTGTTCTTCACTAACTATTGTTTGTGAACACTCAGCAGATTACATTTCATGTTATTAACACAAAAAAGTCATTTTCATTTAACTTCCATTCGTCAGTTAAATGCCACAAACACTTGGTTAACACTGCTAATATACTGTAACTTATCACTGCGGCAAACAGTGGGCTACTGATTGCCAGACTTCCTGTTCCATGTCCATGCTGATCTAACCTGTTTCTTTAATACCTAATCTTGTCTCTAACAAGAGGAGGGGCTGCTTCCGACTACAACAGAACCCCCCCAGGAACGTACTGACATTATAGAAGGGTCAGTGAGCTCTGGATTGCCAGAGCCTGATGAACCTGATGAGCCTTATAAGCCTGACAGGACAGGTTAGTATTGAACAACACAGGAATTGAATTCAGGCAAGCATGATAAAAGCATCAGTTGTCTTTGAATCTTATGATATACTGAATCCTGATTTGATGGACTCTGCCCTGGATTAGGACCGGTCGGGTGTTTTGAGTGTTAGAGGCTAATTCCATTAACCACCAGCTGCTCTCTGAAATACCTTCTACCTCTTACTTTTTCATATTTCATTCCCTCCCTCCCCTCCCTTCTCCTCCTTTCTCCTCCTTTCTCCTCCTTTCTCCTCCTTTCTATCCATGTGCTCCAGGTATGCCCACTTGCTTGCTGTGCACGTGCCTTGGTGGTTCGGTCTACTGTGATGACTTGAAGCTGGATAGTGTACCACCTCTTCCCAAAGACACCACTCACTTCTACGCACGCTACAACAGAATCACCAAGATCAACAAGTCTGACTTCGCCTTCATGAGTATGTTTCCTGTTTGAATGAAAATGTATGAATGTTAGATAAAGGTGAATGTCAGGCATTTAATCGTACCTTTAACTTTGACTGATGCTGGAGGGATAGCCCTATCAATGATATCAACATTTCAGAGTGTGATTTATTCGCCTCCTTCCAGACAAGCTGAAGAGGATCGACTTAACTGCCAACGAGATAACGTCCATCGATGACAAAGTATTTTTGGGTCTACCTGAGCTGGAGGAGCTGGTGATTCGAGAAAATCATATCTCAAGGCTGCCTGCTCTTCCAGAGACCATGAGCCTGATCGATGCCAGCCATAACAACATTGGCACCAAGGGTATTCACAACGAGGCGTTCAAAGTATGTACAACTTCCATACTCGAGAACAACTAAGAAATGCCGATATGTTGTTGAGTTGTGAATTCCTTAATGTTTCTGTTACAACGGTGGAAGGCCTGAGCCGATAATAATTTATATCTCTTCTCATTGTATCCAGGATATGACTAGCCTGCTGTACCTGTACCTAACAGACAACCACATTGATTACATCCCTGTGCCTCTACCAGACAGCCTGCGATCTCTACACCTACAGGTATATCTGCTCGGGCCTCATGTCACATCCCTCACTGATGAACATTTGAAGTGAAAGGTTCAAACCATAATGTAGGCTTTTTGTATTCCTGGGGTTAAAGGTCTTTAGAGTTCTAATTTGATATGAAAATAAGGTAAAACTTGAACTGAAAAGGCAATCAGGAATGATAAATGATTACACTAAACATCATAAATCAATAAGAATCAGAAAATGTGTAACTTCTGGCACCCAAACAGGTGTAACAAAATCAACAGGAGGACCAGGGAGATCAGGTCAATTAAGTGGCCCACACTGTCCTAACAAGTAGTCTAATTACACAAAGTAATTGAAAAGACCTGTGTGGAAGAACCATGGGTGTGCATGGCTTTTAAGCAAACAAACACTAGAGGTCCCCACAGGATTGGTATCCAACCCTATTGAATTTCCTTTTAAAGTATCTTACTGAATCTATTAAGGTTTTGCTTTCAACAAATGAAAATAAGAATGTTACAAATAACTTAATATTTAAGAATTACTTAAATAAACTTAAAGATTGACATTCAAATAACTAAACCTACCAGATAGATGATATATTTGATACCCAACTGAATGACTGACTGAACCTGTCTTAAACAAATCCAGATAACTCTACTCTGAGGGGACAGATATTGTTACTGTGTGACTTGACAGCATTTCACTTCTATTCTAATTTATAATGATCCAAATTTCTTCATTATGACAATTTGTTTAAACAAGTCTAATATGTATATCTCATTATGTATCCTCCTCTATCTTCTATTGTAGCGTAACAATATTCAAATGATGCACGAGGACACATTCTGCAACCTGAAAGATTTCAACTACATCAGGAACGCACTGGAGGACATCCGTCTGGACGGCAACCCCATCAACCTCAGCAGGACCCCCCAGGCTTACATCTGCCTGCCCCGTATACCCATCGGGGATCTCATTTAACCACACAGACACATACTACACTCTTGCACACTGACTCCCACAAATACAACCACACGCACACATCTTTGTACATATTGACACACACAACCACACACGCAGACATGCATACCATTTATCACCTCCTAAAACAATTAATTAAGTACAAGATTCAAAACTGTCCTAAATGCTGCTGATGTTTTCTACAGATCAGTAAAAACTGTGTGGAAATGTATGATTGATAAACATTCACAAACGCATTGATTGAGTCAGATTCTGGCGATAAAGCACATGTACACGTCTCTACTGCAACTTCTTCCTGTTGTTCAGATCTTTAGGGAACTAACTCACCTACCAACATGCATGTACACACATACAAATACACACACATTCACACACAAACCTAAGAACTCAAAAGCCAAACTGTTCCGCAACTTGATTAAGATTAAACAATAGGTGGCATTCGGAGAAATCAGTTAATTAAAAACCCTCAAATGGCATGTTTGTTTCTGTTTAGTGTCTGTTCATGACTGGCAAAACAACCGGTAATATTGTTTAAATATGTTTGTTTTGTAAAAATAAAAAATAATAATATTAATATTAATGACAAATCTAACACTTTTGGAAATGTATACTAGCATAAACTTATTGAAGCTGGAGCTTAATGAAAGGAAAATTGAGTATCTAATGCAATAAAAGACGCATTTAAACACAATCATTTGTTGTAAAGTCTGTACTGTAATATAAAAATATATATTCTAAAAAAAATGATTTTTTACATGAACTGCAATATTTGGTATATTACATTTCAAAAAGTGATGTTTTAACCGTGCACAATAGCCTATTCCAAAGACTCTAATGTCTAGAGTTGATCAAATAAAGACTATTGTTTGATTTGGGAGGGGGGTTGTTGATTTTGATTGTGGATGGGGTTAAGAATAATGCTAATAGCTTGCTATTGTGTGCTCTGTATGGAATAACCACAAGTGAATAAAGTTGTTTTGAAGACCTCTCCGAACTAGGAGTGGCTCAACGTTTTTATTGACAACTTGTAGGTTAGTATAAAAATAAAATGTGCATTTTGAATTATGTGCAGACGCAGCCAAGGTGGAAACTCCTCAGGAATATATAGCCTATATATTCTTAAAATGTTTTGTCGGGGAAGGTTTTCAAATATGAATGAATCAAATATTTTTAATGAGTTTTTCAAACAAGTTGAGGAACCGCTCCTTCCTGTCCATGATATCTGAGTCTCTGTCCTCGCTGCTGTCCTCTGAGACCTCCTCAGTCCTTTCTCTGTAGTGCACAAAGTCCCTCCAGTTTGGCTTTCTCTCGCTCCAGAGCCAGCCCGTCCCTGTTCACAGCATCTCTGTCCAGCTCCACCATGGCCCTCTCCCTCCCTTTTCTCTCACCATTGTCGCCCTTTCTCTCTCTCTCTCTCTCCAGCAAGCCCCCCCCAATCCTCATCTCCATTCAGGGACACCTCAATCTCTGGGCTATCTGCTAACAAAGCTGTACTGGAGTTTACCACCACGGGTACCTTCCTCTTCTTGGGTTTAGAGATGGGTCAGAAATCACCATTGTCTCTGTCGTTGGGGAGGGCCTTGAGGATGGGGGCGTTGCCTTCCAGGCGACCCTCCACGGCGTCGTCCATCAGCCTGAAATAAGGCCATACTTCTGGAGACACTTTTACCCAATCTGGAGGGTTTCTAAGCTCCTGAGGAAGCAGACAGAGGGAAATAAATCAAGAAGGAAATTTGTTTCTTGATAAAACTAAATGATATTTAAAATAAAAATTACCTTGTATCTTTTCTTCATGTTTTCCCATTTTTTGGATGCTTGACTATGGGTCATCTTGTGTTGCAAGCCCATATGTCTCAGAATGACCCTAAAAAGATAAATTAATCTTAATATAACACAAATGAACAATTAGTTGATTTATCTATTAGTTGATCTGCAGAAAATTCTACTATTCGACCGTTTTAAAAGTAAATAAAGTAAAAGTCACTGGTTTCAGCTTCTCAAATATTAACAAGCATTTTGAATATGTCAACTTGGGCTTTGGGCTGTTAATACTATTTTTTATATTATATAAATATTTTATTTAAATTAAATAAATGTTAGTTGAAGCCCTGGAAAAAGATTATATTCACTATCTCCTTGTAGTATTAGTCATCGTTATCAATAAAGGCTCATGTTCATCAGGTTAACAGAGCTTTGTGAATAAGACATTTGTTACTAACTTTAACCGTTCCAATTGGGGAAACACTAATCTCTGTAGAGGGAAATACTGAAAAGCATAAACCAAGAAAATAAAAAAAATATATATTGCAAAAAGTTATTAAACAACTAACAAATTCTTCACTGGAACATGTTGAGCAGAGTGTTAAAATATTAAAGGTACAGGAAATAAAAAAATATACTGCCTTATTGTAGAAAGACTAATCTGAATGGAAAATATCCCATTATGGTACTTCCTAATCATGCATACATGCTTCTGTCCCTACACATTATTCCCTCTTCAGAGCTTTAACATGCCCACATGGAAGTATTTCTTCTTCCAGAGAAGAGGTAATTATTTGAAACCCTCAGCTTCACAACGTCTTCCATTTCTTTTGAATTCACTAAGACAGAGAGAAAAGGGAGTTATATATTTCATTCTGGCTGTTGTGCAGTGTGAAGACTGTGTTTTAGCCTATTGTGGTCTCATTATTTCAGTATTCAATGGGATTATTCCTTTATTATTATCATTATTATTATTATTATTATTATTATTATTATTGTTAAATGATAAGGCTCTTCCCTTTATAATTTAGGTGGGGAACTAACACCATCTTACCCCTACAATGAGCTCACCCACTTTTAGATGAACTTTACAACAGGTGTTGGACTGTTAGAATATTAGTTTTGTTGTTGTGTTTGTGCCCACACTGCAACAACCTACACTACCAGTGGAGACTACATTGCTGTTTATTGTTTGTTTGTTTGTTTGTTTGTTTGTTTGGCACTTCTCACCGTGGAGTCCACTTACTAGGTGCCTTCTAGGTTCTTCGCGGGGTTATAACCGTGTGGATGCGGACGCGCCAATGGCAGAATGAGCTCACTATCGCCACCCAGCGCCGTGGAGGTTTAGCGCACTACAAAATAAGTCTGACCGCTCCAGTTTGAGGGAAACACAAAACTTATATTTATATTATTATTATTATTAAGATATTAAGAGTCAGATTTGGTGTTCCACTCTGTTTTTACATTTTAAGTTCTTTGATTTATTATTTTATTTAATCTGTTTACCTATTAATTACCTATTCTAACACATATTCCAGCTCTTTTTGCACTCCCACTTGAAATATTTGGAAATCTTCATACAGTTTACAATAACCCGTACATACAGAATGTATCAGGCCTAATTTTTATATTTATTTTTTTACCTATATACCAATATGTTTACTTATCTTTGTTGGTTATGTTGTCCTCGTTATAGCTGCATGTCTATGTTTTATCATCCTGTACACTGTTCTTGACACAAATACATGGTCAAGAATCTCAGTCTGTTTGTTTCTATTTATTTATTCTTGTATTTCTAGTACATTGCAGCTTACTGTGCTCGGATTATTACTACAGACCAAGGGTTTTAGACAGATACAATGCATATCTGTTGCTTTGAAATGTATGTTGGTTAATAATTACTTACAGATATGTTCTAAGATACAGCTGGGAATCTAAAGTTATGAGAGCAGCAGTCTTACTGTAGGGGAAACAGCACAAGTAACTTCTTGACAGACAGTGCCTGGGTGTGGCTGACCTTATATGAAAGTGGTATCATAAACGAAAGCACTGCGAACAACAGTATGGCGTCTGCGTCTAGTAAGTACACTTTAGACATTATCACTCTAATATATGCATTACTGGTTATCTGCTGTGTTTATTGTGTTTTAACCAAATGCGGCTTTTTTGTTACCCTCATAAACAGAGCTGTACGTGACTGTACTGTCTATCTCTATATGTATTTATTTTTTTGAGACATTAGAGTTGTAGTAGATTTTGATATCAACTCAAAACCTAATAGGATTGCTGATATTTGGCATATTAGGAACATAACGATGGGATTGACTCAGGTCTGAACTCTAAAATACACAGATTTATCGATCATGTGGCGATAATCGTGTAATTTACAGTTTCAGTTTCGTTTTTTGGTGAATGAAACTTACTTTACAGGGTTCACATGCAACGACAGCCCGAATCTGTACAGTACAAATGATGCTTCACTCTAATGTTTCACTTTCACGGCGTTAAATTGAAGGTACGCTTATAATCTTTTATTTATCAGTCACTTTGCAACGTATGGAACCATAACACAGCTTGTAATCAGCCAGTAAAATCGATATTATCCAGCAGGGGGCAGCAGATAGACATATTAACGTATGTGTTATTGTAGGTCTGTTTTTACACTTTTGTTTAAACTGTATGGATAATGTCATAACTATGGTATTTTAGGAAAATTTTACTTTAATGATTTGTTTAGCAGTTTCCCACTGAACATATATCACTACAGGAAATTACTGTAGCATGATCAGAATCAGGTTTATTGCCATGTGGGTTTTTTTACATAGGCCTATGATACAAGGAATTTGCCTTTAAACATAAAAAATATAAATAAAGATAAAATTTAAAAACAGAATATAAACAAGTGCAGAGCTGTACAGAAATGTGAAGAAAATAAATTAAAATCAAGGGAAAGTGCATTAATGTATAATGTAATATATTCAGGTTGGGTGGTCGGTTTAAGAGTCACTGTCAGTGGGGAGTCTTGTTCAAAGTGGCACAGATAACACCCCAACAACACAACATAGGATTATGTCCTTAAATGGTTGTGATACATATTTACTGACACATTGTTACTCATTTATTTTAACTCCTTAAGGTTAATTAAAAAGGTTCTCTCTAACAAATGCCCTGCACTACATGGCCCAAAGTTATGTGATCACCCAAACATTAGATGTTTCACAAGGACTCGCAAACACAGTAGAACGCTGCCTTTTAAAATATTTTTCTTTATTACGTTTGGTTACGAGAACCATATCTCATCCCAAAAACAACATAAATATGCATCTATAACAGGCTCCAGCGTTCAGGGAAAGGCTGTGTGTCACTCTGTGGCCAAACATCAAAAAACAGCACTTATCTCCCTATACTTTTGGCCACATAGAGAATATTTGTATGCAGGAATGTATTGGATGACCCTTTAGGAATGAAGACCATGCTCAGTGTTTATCATTGATACATTTGAATAAGTATTCACCAAACATGAAAACATTTGATATGCATCATTAATTCTCTCTCGTTTTGTGCAATTTATTCCAGAGTCTGACGAGGAAATCGTTTCTGACACTGAATCTATCCCCACTGGTTCGGAAAGTGACGGAAGTTCAGATGAAGAAACTGATTGTCAGGTTTGTTTCTGAACAGAGAACTATGTAAATCGCTGCAAACCTACTTTTTACACAATGTTAGGATTCTGATCTGAATTTACCACCATTTATTTTGTACTGGTGTAGAACCTAACTATGTGTACCTCTCCAGTGCTGACAAAAAAAATCCTCTTTATTCTCATTTCAAGTCTCAGGTGGGCGTGCCCTGCAAGTTTTACAACAGCAGAGGTGGCTGTCGGGATGGTGCCAAGTGCTCTTACCTGCACGTCTGCAAGTATGCCCTGAAAGGAAACTGTCGTAATGGATCCAATTGTAAGCAGAGTCACTCCACAGTTGGAAGTGCGTCGTCTGGTGCAAGCAACAGGGCTTCGGTCCGATCAGCATCTAGTGAGGAAGAAGAGAGAACAGGTTAAATGGATGGTCCTACCTTCTGATTCATTTTTGTTGACAAATTTATGATTTTGAGCTATATAGATGAAACTGACTTTACTTTACAAAACTATATGGTATGAGTTTAGAACATGACCAGAGCTGTTTGACATTGTTATAAAGTTTACATTATGAAATATTACTTCTTCACTACAGTAGATGTCTCTTATAGAGCCCTGCTATAATTAATTAGCTAGTAAAACAATAATATAAATAAGTTTTAGAGTTATTAATGAAACAAAATAAGTACATACACATGTGTGTGTTAGATGAAAACAAAATATTTGACATTATCACCTCATGAAGGTGTTTGGGCGGACGTGTTAGCAACCAGTTGCCTATTAAAACATCCACCGTGTTCAGTGCCTGTTCAGTGCCTTAGCTTGCTCAATTTAAAACTCTTTAAAACTTATGTTTTTTTAACCAGCCCCAAAGCTCACCGATGGCAGATTCTACCAGTGGCAGCTGAATGATGGAAACAGCTGGATGGATATTGATAATGATCACGTCATCGAGGCCCAGTACTCGCTGCCCCACACAAAAAGCATTAAAATCTACAACACACCTTACGGGTAAGAGCTAAAAACACACAGTGCTTTCACATTTTCGAAACGCAGATAGACTGAGGAGAAACTGGTTGATGATGTATCTGTCGCTCTCTCTCTCTCTCTCTCTCTCTCTCTCTCATAGGGCAGTGTGTATAAATTTCAACAGGATTAGAGTGTGTGGAAAGAGTCTGAAAGTAAGACGTTTGGATGATGGAAAAACTGTGTGGAACTGGTACTGCACCTTGCGTCGTAAGTGGATCAAGTATGGAGACAAGGTACGTGGAATTAAAACTATTGAACCTTTCTTTTTACCCCAATCCCATCTTTGTCTTTAACTGGTTATGAAACATTCTCTATATGATCTACATAAACAAATAGGACCAGATTAGTGAGAACATTGGTCAGATTCAGTTGGATTCCTCTTGAAATCAATGAAACAAGGAAAATTAAACACTACCGCTTTTGTCCACAGGGGCCGCCAGAATCCAAAACAACTTAGAATGAGTCGTTATTTACAGATGGGTAAATGAGGGTTGCCTTTCATGGAGTCTGCCATGTTGAACCACAAAGTTTATACAGTAGCCCATCTCGTTCCTGGGTCGTCAAATACAGATGTGAGCGGTGTTTAGTTATAGTTATAGTTTCAATCTGCAACGGCTAGATGTAATTTTGTTAATGAATATTGATTTTTTTTTTTTTTTTTTTATAGGATTCGAAGGGCAACACCAGTCCTGTGACGAGCTCTGACATAGACAGGAACTTCCAGAGTGACCCAAAAGGTTCTTTTACTTTCAGCGTTGGTGCAGAGACCTTAGAGATTAGATTCAAAGGTGAAAAATACTCATAAAACCCTCACAAAATAGTCTGTTAAATTCCACATGCAGCACACTGTAACACTTTATTTTATTTGTGTGGTTTGTTAGAAATGCGACAGGTGGGTAAAAACAGGAAGAGGAGAGTTACTCGTCGACCAGTCTATCGACAACAGCAAGCAACGGCAGCAGGGTGAGTTTGGATTTTGTTCATTTGTCAAGCTGGGAAAATTTCACTCCTGTCAATAACAAATATTTAAATATTATTGAGATACATTTTCATATTATTTTGAATAATTGGACATTTTCTTAAATTTTCTTTTTCTTGCCAAGTGTTAGATTAGAATTGATACAACCAGCAGCCGGTTAACTTAGCTTAGCATAAAGACTTGAAATAGGGGGAAAGGCTAGTGTAATTCTGTCTAAATGTAACAAATCTGCCTACAAAAAAAGATACACATTTTAAAAAAAATGATATGTGATAAACTAAGCCAACTGGCTCTGGCTACATTTTTGGCATCAAAGTGGTCTTCTCATCTAACTCTTGGCAAGAGAGTGAATAATGTTAAACTGTTGCTTTAAATGTTGTGACAGAATCCAGAACTTGTTGTTACAGAGTTCCTCAAGCAACCTCAGCTGTCCGGACTCTGTCTGTGGGCACCAGCCCAAAGTGGCAGTTTAAGGGAGACAACGGAGGATGGCATGAGTTCAAACACAGGGTAGGCTCATCTGCAGAGTTACATTTAGCTGAGAAACTTTAAATGACTGTATTTAAATAAGAGTGCTGATGATTTGAATGTCCCTGTTTCGGCAGAGAGGTACTCCCAGTGAATGCTCAGTAAATAGTAAAGACATCGAGAAGACGTACCAGCAAAACCCCAGCGGCACCCTGTCCTTCACAGTGAAGGGAGACACTTACAAGTTGGACTTTGGAGGTTGAGTTATTATTTAAATACTGTGATGAAGTTGATTATTTTCAAATAATTTAATGAAAAGTTTCTGGAAAGAATTTGGTGGAAAAATAGAGACATTTAAGTTAGTTGTGTTGAGTAATAAGCAGGTGTTGATTCCCAAAGAAACATTTAACCCCAAGTAAAATATATTATTAGAAACTTTATTCCTCATGTATGTTGAATTGTGTGCTAGCCTGTGGACACATTTCAGATTTTTGCATGTTCAGCTGCTGTGCACTGACTCTCTACGTTACAAATAGTTGGATTATTCTGGGAAATAATTTCGATTAGAAGATTGATATCACTCTCATGTCTGTCCGGTAAATATGAGGCTCAATAAAGACTTGAAACAGGTGAAAACAGCTCACCTGGCTCTGTCCATATTTAACAAAAGGCCCCTACCGGCACCTCCAGTGTTCCCTGATTTAATTGTTATGTCTGGGGATTGCTGTTTCCAGGAAGTCAGTGCACCCAGCCAAGAAACAGGTCGAGGAGATAGCACCTTGTAAAACTACAAATTCATGTTTACACTTCAGTTTTTGTCTAAATTTGTGAGGCTTAGAGGTCCTTGTAGGTGGATTTTGTTATCCTCAGACAGCGCTGTTACATATTTAGCATACAGATGTGAGAGTAGTGTAAATTTTTTTCTTCTAACTGCGAAAGTATTACTATGGAAGTATACCAATTTAGCTCCATAGTTCTTTTCCAGTAAACTTCAGAGGAAATAATGAGGAATGTATGGCCCTGTAAAACAAAGCATTGAAACATGAAATATAGAGCATTTATTAATTAGTTCTATTTATTTATTTTTCCCCACAGCGATGATGCAAACCAACCTCAAGAACAACCATACACGCAAGATCAGACGTCTGATCGTCTGAGCATTAAAGGGGATTTTGAAGCCATGCATGAAGAAAGTCTACAAACAACTGTGCAATACTGTACTATCATACAATCATTTTAATCTTCATTTCTTTTGGGGTGTTTTGGGGCTTTATAGATTTGGCTTTTTGTTGGAAATGTAATGTTGTGTTTACATTGGAAAGGAATTCAGGATAAAATGTAATGTATAATGTAGTGTATTATTATATAGATTTTTTTTTTTTAATCTGTGTCAAAATGGTTTTTCTCACACTTAAATGCTGCCAATGTACTGTACCAACCTGCCTTTTACCCAACTGTTGTTAGACACATACATGACTGCCATAGTAGGGGATGCAATTATTTTTAAGAAGAAAATAACCTGTGGGACAAACCTCAAATGATCAGACAAAATATTTGGTATTTAAACACTGCCTGTTCTAATATAACAGAATTCATTAATTCAGAACTAAATCTGATTCAAAGCCATTTCTCAACCTTACAGCATTATGCTACCTTTGACGTGCTGTATGTGACATGAGTTACATGTTCACACTATGCAATCAAAATCCATGATTGTAGACCTGCAATTCTTTGGTTCAATTTATAAATGTTTTTTTGCTCTAGGTCGTCAATTCCAGTCTTGGATTGTAAGGTTTATGCTGCTTTATAGTAGTAAAAAAGAATGCAATCAGTTTGTGTGTGTGTGTGTGTGTGTGTTCTTGTACAATCAAGGAAGAAAAAAAGTTTGAATGGTGCTGACCAATCAAAAAAAATGTTTCAATAAAAAGAAGCAGCAGTAGTACATTGTTACACAGTTTAAACAGGATGTGTTTTACATGGCTAGGTTAAGCAATGTGCATCCATACAAGTTATCACACTATTGACAAGAAAAAGTGCTATTGAACTATGCCTAATAAAAGTGATATAACTTCCTAAAATGTACTGTGTTAGAAGCATCAATAAATAAATAAAGCGTTCTCTAACTTGTTTGTTGATTGACTGCAGTTAAGATTCATGTCATAAACACAAAATAAAGCCAACAGATAACAAGCAAACCTATTTTTAATGACATAAAAACCCCATTGCGGTGCAGACCATTGCTCTGGTTTCATTGCTTTATTTTCGGGGCGTGATCTGCAGAGAAGCGAAAGTGAAACACGATCTGTTTGTGAAATGTGAAGTGGAACATCTACATCGGACTGTTGAGTAATAGTAAGTAAAAAGATATTTAATGAAACTATAAAATAACGACAGTTCTCGCTCTCTTTACGTGTGTTTAATCTGCTTTATGTTGTTATTGTTACAGTGTTTTCCCCACACAACAACATGGTGAGTCTTACCCACGGAACCACTTTGGATTTATACAGAGTGCCGTTTAACAGCTGATCGTTATATGTTTTTATTTGTTGTTTACAGGAAAATGGAGAGGCTTTGGACTATTTCTGGGGGGCTCCAGGTCTGTATGACACGACATTTAGTTACAGTAGTTGTATTATTGAATTACTTTGTACGTGAAAGTCTGGATTTTAGCCTTTAAGATGACTCTTTCTGATCAAATAGGTCGAAAATCTAATGTTTAAGAATAATATTTATACATTTTATGTATGCAAAGTGACTTCCGGAACAAGCACATAGCCTGACTTTCTCAGACTAATTTGCAAATGCAGAGCTATTGTAACTTACATAAAGTCACGCATTACCTTGAGACATATTCACTGTCCAGATTATGTTCCTCTTTGTTCCATTTTGTCTCGTTTTTATGGTGATTTTTAGAAATATAGTGATAACAATACATTGAACACAGTGGTGGAGGAAGTATTCAGATCATTTACTTTAGTTTAAGTACTAATACCCTCAGGCTACTATTACTGAAATTGTCACTGAAGTGAAAGTATGTAAGTATGATCAGATAAATATACTTAAAGTATTAAAAGCTGGAGTACTCAATGGAGAAAAATCCCCTGTGATTTATATTAGATCATTAGATTATTGTTCCTCATGCATTAATGTTGTAGTTTGTGCAAGTGAAGCAAATTGTATATATCTGCAGCTACTGATTATTTTCCTTACGGATTTATTTCCTGGTCCTTTTTCCATTAATCAATTGATTATTTAGTTTGTAAAAAAAAAATCTGAAAATAGTTAGAAATGCGAGTTCTCATAACCCAAAACATCTTGTTTTCTAAGTTCTTATCTTTTTTGGTGCAAAGGGTCAGTGTCAGCGTCAAACATTAGCCCGGCTTCTACAGCTGGTCAGTTGTCAAGCTGTCAGATCATAGCTCATAGAGACATATACACATAACAACATTCCATATTCTTCTATTTTCTTTACAGCAAATTTGAAACATTATGAGTGGCAGCTGTTAGTTGGAAATCAGTGGCTGCGAATTGAGAACGACCACGTGATCGAGACCCACTACTGCCATGCAGGAGCTAAAGGAATCACCATCAACACTCACCACGGGTCAGTGTTGGGGATTTTTACTGGTCTCATCTTTAGCCGTTATGCACAGAAAGGGTTTTTTTTTCTTTCAGTTTCTCAGTTTTTCCTCAGTCTGGAGGTATTTGAATGGAAAATGTCAGATTTAGATTATTAATGGAATAAAACTGTCCAATGAAACTGAAGATTGTGACATAAATGATAATATTAAGACAATGAGTAACATACTGATACAATGTGTGGATGAAGGGTTAATTAAAACAAAAAGTGAAGTATATAATATGTCAAACTGAATCATATGTGTTCTCCACAGGAAGGTGTTCATAGACTTTGATAAGTTACAGATTCTGACTGGACCTCTGAAGGTGCAGAGACTTAGCTCCCTACCTCCAGGCCAGACGGAGGACGTAGGCTGGTACTTCAGAGATGACCAGCTGTGGCGTGAATATGGATCGCAGGTAAGGAAAATCTCTACCCTCGAATTAATTTGATTCTCGTGGTTTTTCACACTCTGAATGTAATCTCTCCTCCTCTTTCCGCAGACCTCCAGCAGGTTGTCCTCCTCAATCAGCAGTAGAGATGTTGAGCATCAGTTCACTCTAAACCCTCAGGGATCCCTCACCTTCACCGTGGGTTCAACAAGCTACAGACTTGACTTCTCCAGTATGTGGTGTTTCTATCATGTGTGAGCTTAATTTCAATACATTTTTATACTGCTAAATCTAACTGATGGTATTTGTCTCTGCAGCCATGACTCAAACAAACTGCACCACAGGCCTGCGCAGGAATGTACGCAGGCGACCAAAATTCGCTTCCAACACAAGGAGGTAAGGCAGTAGGAGTCGTATATTTGTCTAGAAATGTTTCTTTCCTGTGTTCAGACAGGCAAAATGTTTGTATGTTATGTACTGAAAAAGCACCGAGCCCCTGTGTAAAAGTTTGTATGAACACGCATGATGGTCTCCTTATGTTTCTGCAGCCTTTACTCTACCTCAGCTCTTCCCATGGCTTCCTCCTCCCAGCTCACCAATGGGGGCTACAAGTGGGAGTTCATGGGAGAAGAGGGGGAATGGACAGAATACCAAGCACACGTAAGTAGGACACAAAACAGTTTCAGGTGGTTATAGAAGCTTACTAATGAAACAAAATGAAAGAATGAATACTTTTCATTTTACTTTCAGCTAGAAACTACTGACTTTTGATATATTATGGTACTTATTCGTATGCTTTAACATATTTAACTTCCATTCTTCATTTTCCCAAGTAAATTATGTCTAATGAATTTAGTATAACATGATAATGTGCATTTCTCTATAAGGTGGACTTATTCGTGCAATTTGTATTTGTGTGTAGGTATGTTCACTTGACAGCGCTGCCATTGAGACACAATACCAACTGAATCCACAGGGCAAGCTCTACTTCAATATCAGGAGATTCTCATACACCCTGGATTTTTCAAGTAATGCACACACAGAAGACTACTAAGCTGCTCTAAAGCCGCTAAACCAATACAATCCATTATTTGAATTTTAGTTTAGTTGCAGTTTAAATCGCCACTAAAACTGTGTTCCTGGTTTATCTCAGCAATGTGTCAAATCAACAACCAAATCGGGACTGCAAGGGCAGTGAGGAGGACTGCTGACAATGGGAGTCAACAGGACAGCAGGTCAGGAGAAACGTTTCCCTTCAAATGCAACAAATGAATCCTTAATTTACCCTCTAAAAACATACCAAACACCTTGACTTTTGAGTTGAATTGAATTGATCTTAAACTTAAATTCTTCTTTTTCTGCAGTTGGGGCTCACAGCCACGATGGCAGTTTCAAGATATCGGTGGAAAATGGAAAGATTATTGCAAAGTAAGACGTGACTTTCTTTTGTTGATGCATATATACCACTATTGTGGATCAGTAAATCCTGTGTCTACAGCCATGCCGCTCTAAGAGGCTGAACTTAGGCACCGCATTGAACTAAATGTTAAAGTCGGCATGCTTATATGCTCACAAAGACAATGCTGGCATGTTTAGCCTTGCCAACATTGTCTAATGCAACATACCTTAAAGCTATGCTAGAATTGCTAAAGAAAAATTTGTATTAATGTGAACAAAAAGACTTAAAATTGACGATTTAATTCTCTTTTTTCTTTGTCTGTGTCATGTAGGGTCGTAGGCAGTGCAGCATGTCCAGTCAGGACATTGAGCTCGAGTACCAGAAGAACCCATCAGGCAGCGTCATATTTACCACCAGCAACTTTAGCTATGAGCTTAACTTCTCGGGTGAGCTGCAAACATCAACAGTTAAAATCTGTATTGCAGGTTATGTAGGACCTGTTTCCCATTCACAAGGCGGTAATGTTACAGGATCGGATCAGTCTGTATGTTAGATTTACATGAAATGTGTCTTTTGCAGCCATGACTCAGATGAACCTGTCCACAACCACCACCAGATCAGTGCGACGGCTCAACCAGTGACTGTGGGATCCGGTTTGATGTCGATCTTCAGAAATTGCCTCACTGCTTGCCTGCAGGTTGTCTCTCATGTTAGACTGATTCTGTGCTGTTTTTCACAAGCTGCCGTGCTGATTGGATGACCTTGCATGACTGTTATTCAAGCACGGACAGACATTTACTGAAAGGTGTGAGGGATTCTTTGTTCTTCTCAGGGCCTATGATTACAATTGCATTTTTTTTTTTGCCAATTTGTTGTGAATGCACTAATATTTTGTACCTTTTTACAAGATAGTGTACCTTGCTTGTGCCTTGAATAGTATCTTCCTGTAGCCTCTACCATCTCCGTTGTTGGGTTTAGGGCTTGGGCTAGGTTATCAATATAATTAGATTATGAAGATATCTGGCTGATAACTGTTTGGTTCCACCAATTTTACACATAGCGTTGTGTTTACAGGTCTTGGGGAGTACAGTTTCATATGTGAGAAATCTGATAAACTGCCTTAAATGAGGGGAAACGGACTTTGACACGCCACCTCTTTTAGCCTGGGTTCTTTCACACACAGCAGCCCACTTCTTGCAATAACTGTATTAAATAGATTGCAACAACCCAAAACTGCCCAAGATCCATCGGGGGAGAATGCAGTGCCGCCCTTTTTTGGTATCATATAAATGTTTTTGTTATTATTTTATTCTTAATAGTGCTCCACAAGTGGAAGGATGCATTGTTTTCTGCAAGTAGTAAGCAGTCGAGAGTCTAGTACAGTGCTTAATGTAAAATAATGGAATGTTAATGTAAATAGTAATTCATGAATACTGCCTTGTAATCAGTGAATTTCAGAAGATACCTCTTTTAACCTCAAACCAAAGGGAAGTTAACTTTCATGTGTAATTAATGGAGATGTTCATTAAGCTGCTATGCAATCGCCAATACACTTGGGTTTTTTGTTTCTTTTCTAAATGAAAGTGCCTGACACTCCTCCGTCTGATGCAGTATTTTAAAGCCATCACATAAATAACAACCTGCCTTTTGAGACTGAGTGTGTACTTTCCTTTACAGATTTTCAGCTTTTTCCAAACTTTGTTTTAGGGGAGGTCACAGTCTCAGACTTTAAAAAAAACCCTGACCTATATAATATTCCAGCACCAATATGTTTATCTCTGTTTAGCTTTGTTGTCCTTGCTTTAGCTGTATGTCTGTATGTACCACGCTGCACACTGTTCTTGGTTGGTTTTGAATTGTTTATATATTTATATTACAGCTTATGGTGCTTGGACTATTTGCTACGGACAGACACAGTGCCTATGTGTTGTTGTTTTTTTTCAAATGTGTGTTGGTTAATAAAGATTATTAACTGGATTTTGGAGATTTGAAGTACATCTATTATCTGCAATCACTGCTGCCTTCATTATATTACCCCATTATATAATTTCTTCCTGTTTAGTTCAAGACACAGCTGGCAGAACAAACATCTTGACAAACAGTGAGTGGGTGTGGCTAACCTTAACATAAAAGTAGGACGGTAAAAATGAAAGTATTGCAAACATAATGGCGTCTTCCGGTAAGTACACCTCTGGTTACGCATACTACTCACATTTATGCGTTCCTACCTCTCTACTATACATTTTCCCTCATAAAAAGACGATAGAAAGTAAAGGGGGTTAGTGTTTTCCTGTGTTAGGATAAGAGGTCTGCTGCTTCCTGTAGTTACCCAGGCCTGGCGGCTTACAGGAGCGCACCGCTGTTGGTGCGTCCTGCGCCGTCCGACGAGGCCGTGGTTCCCGCTGGGGGGAGTCGGTCTCTGGCACAAGCCTAGACCCCGGGGGAGCTGGACCACGCATGTGTAGCAGTATATAGATTTTAAAATGTTATATCTAGTGTATTTTTGTGTATGTTTGAACATTGTGCCGGGACAGGTGAGAAGTTAGGGGATTTTTTTTTTTATTATTGGCCTCACCTTTATGCATGTATTTGGAAGTGGGGCTCCACTGTGTGTAGTGTGTAGTGTGATGGGTTTATGCGTCTCCATCTCCCAAGTTTTTAGTGATTTGTTCTCAATATGAGGTTTATTGTGCATCTATTGGTTGTTTTGTGTGTATTTTAATTCTGTAGTCAATTTTGGTGCCCCCAAGTGGGTGTGCTCATGACCCAGGTCTGAACTACATATTTAATTTTAATCATTTATAATAAGTGGCAATCATGTGTGTAGAACTTGGAAACAGCTTCTTTTTTTTTTTTACAGTCTACAAGTGGGAGTTCATGGCAGACGAGGGGAGATGGACAGAATACCAGGGATATGTAAGTAGGACATCCAGCAGTTTCAGGTAGTTGTAGACTGGTTGTTGACTTTTGATTGATTTGAGTACCAAACATATGTAAGTTACATTTTAAGTAGCTGTATAAGAAGGATATTAACGAAACCTACCGAAAATGAATACTTTTAATTTTACTTTCAGCTGGAAATAAGTAAACTAAAAGTATAAGATATTTAACTATTTCATTATTTCCTAGTATTTAAAGTCAATAACATTCTCATGAATTCAGTATAAAGTATGCAGGCCTACATTTATGACTGTTTAGGTGCTTATTTGTATTTGTGTGTAGAATGGTTCATTTGACAGCAAAACCCTTGAGAGACATTACCATCTGAATCCACGGGGCAAGCTACACTTCACGATCAGGAAATTCTCCTACACTTTGGATTTCGCAAGTAATGCACACACGTACAAAGCTGCTCTAATGCTGCTTCACCAGCTAATCACAGTACCACTGAAACTCTGTGTGCACTGGTTTAACACAGGGATGGAGCAGATCAATCACAAGTACGGGACTAGGAGAGCAGTGAGGAGGATTGTTGATGGCACTAGTGAATACGATGGCAGGTCAGGAGAAACATTTCAATATGAGATAAGAATCCCTTAAAATGCTGCAAATGATCCTTAATTTAACCCTGAAAACAAACCAACTGAATTGAATTAATTTGGAAAAAGCATTAACCAAACTCCCTCAATTCTACAATGACAATATAATCCCTATACAAGAAATGATGTGCAACTTATGGGGTACATAACTTCCCCCCAATTAATACATGAGGCAAAAACCTTGATAACTTGATTTTAAGGGGTACTTCTCTCTTATTCCCTTCACATTTGTAAATTAGGTTGCTGTTACATTAATATTACATCTGTTTTTGTCTCTCAGACACTATATCTGCATAGCAACACCAGCTGAATTCATGTGTCTGTAATATGTGAACAGTGTACGTATGCCTCTGTAAATGTTTTAACTTTGATTCTTATCTTCAGTGCGGCCACACCCACGTCACAATGGCAGTTTCAAGATAAAGGTGGAATATGGAAAGAATATACCAGAGTAAGACATGTCACATTATTTCTTCTGGTTGTCGGTTACCAGTAATGCCACTAATGTGGAGCAATAAATCCTGTAAATAAGTCACTGAGTCTACAGCTAGCAGCTCTAAAAGGCTGGACTTAGGCACAGCAGCGTGCTCATAACGACAATGATCTTTATGAGGCAAGTGTAAAATTAACCATCCAATTGTTCAACATTTTGTTTTAGTATATTAACATGCTAACAGCTTATTGCCATCCCTTGAGCCACGCCACTAGAATTGCTTTAAAATCAACTGTATGAGTCCAGAAGAGGACATGAGACTTCAAGGGTTCACTCGCTGTCATTTTATTACAGTAAAAGATACACACAATTTACTGAACTAATAAGAGTTCAGATCTACATTACTGAAATATAATGTCTTCGATGTGTGTTGTTGCTTTTTTTGTCATGTAGGGACGGTGCAGCACGTCCAGTCAGGACATTCAGAGCCAGTACCAAAAGAACCCGACAGGCAGCATGATGTTTACGGTCAAGAACGTCAGATATAAGCTAAACTTTGCAGGTGAGCTGGAGACATGACATCTACAGTTTTTGTCCATGTATTACAGTGCTATATAGGATGTATGTGGTATGTTTTACAGCAATGGATCATTCTTTCTGTACATCAGAAGCACAGATTTAATTGCCGAATGTGTCTTTTGCAGACATGACTCAGACAAACCTCTCCACACGCACCACCAGATTGGTGAGGCGACTCTTCCGCTGACTGTGGGACCTCAACAGATTTGGAGGTCTCACTTAATGTTAACTCAATGTTAACTTAATGTCGAGCCTCAAAAATAAGCTCAATGCCTGACTACCGTTATCTCTCACATTAGAATGATTCCAAGTTTTAATGACCTTACACAAGAGTTTGTTTTTGCTTTAATTTAGCCATTTTTCTTTATTGCTACCTTCGACCTTCTCCAATATTTTTTGTATATCTGCTCTTATTTTGAGTTTGTTCTCCCTCAGTGCATTTTCAGAGGATTGAAAAATCAATAATGATTTAAACATGGGGCATTTAAGAAAAGCAGGGAGGGATTTAACTTTTTTTTTATCAATTTATGATTGTGATTGCATTCTGGATTTTCCAAGGAAAGCTTTTTTTTTTAACCTTAAAAGACTGTAAGTGTTTCCGACCCCTTTGAATTAGAGGGGCGTATCCTGTGGTACTGTAAATCAGCAGATAGCTCTACAAATTGTTTGTGATCAAGTTGCATTGTGGGTAATGTAGGCACATCCTTTAACCTAAAACCAAAGGAATGTTTACCAAAGTTTCATATATGCTCCTTGCTTATATGCTTGTAATCATCAGTTGAGTAAACCTTAAAACGTCCCTGATTCATGCATACTGCCTTGTAATCAGTGCATTGTGAAAATAAAATGCTTCCTTTGACCTAACGTTAACTTTGATGTTTCATTTAACGCTGCCTACCAGTTAATTGTGCCTGTAAATCTTAAAAAGTTAATTAATGCTGCCATGTAATCAGTTCACTTTGGCTTGTCTTTCTTTTCTATATTAAAGTTACATTCTATGCACTGCTTTAAAGCCATCACACAAGTAACAACCACTCTTTGACAGTATTAGATTGTGTACTTTCCTTTATATGTACAGATTTTCATTGAACCACCTCAGAGACTAGCACCTTAACACAAAACAAGGGCCACACTACACATATATGACAGCAGTGGTATACAAACAATCTTGTAGAAGAATAAGCTTTAGTTTTCTGCTTTGGGGTTCTGCCAGGATCACTTCCACTTTGTGATGAAATCAAAACTGCCACATACTGTATGCCGATCTACAGATGAAAAAGCTCCAATCACAGACACATTTGTAGTCTTGTTTGACAATGTGGAAATTAACAGAACCCGACGAGTCAGTCACTTGCGAGTAACACTTCCATGCGGCTGGAGAGAGCTCACCTTGTATAGGTGGCATTAATATATAAAAACAGAAAGTGAACCCAATAAAAGACGTTACATTTCAGCATGTTAACAACAATCATTGTCAGCAGAAACACAGTGTGACCAAGGTGCGTCTAAAAAACCCAGAATTGTGTAATTCTCTTCAAAAATGTAAGATTTAGAATGAGTACACATTAATGTTAAGCTGTTTAGAAAATCTGACAGACCTATGTAATTATTGTAGGTCAGTGGAGATGAAGGTAAGGACACACTGACGGCTGCTTAAGCCAATCGATATGCACCCTTAACAACCAATAAGGATTATTGCACACAACTCATCTAAGGCCTCTTAACCATTATCACAAGGACATAAAAATGCCAAGGCCCTCACAGAGCAATCCATTTTTAAATAACTATATATTTACACTCCATAATAATATTTCACCAGCACGGGTCCTCGGACAGCTGAAAAGTGCTGAAATCAAAATATATAGAGAAAATCTTCATCATTGTACAAATTGATTAACAGAAAATGGTGCACAGGGAGGATTTTGAGTCCCTTAAAAACTTCATCAGAGCAAATCCAGCTGGACACATGAAATTAAATGTCATTGGTCACTAGAATTGTTAGGAATCATTATTAGAAAAAATGCTAAAATCAAATGGTGGTCAATTTCAGTAACATGCAACAAATAATGTAATTTGCGAAGCAAAAGCCAGACAGCTGATTAAAAGGGAAAATATTAATACTTTAGTAACAGATGAGTGCTGTCTGTCTAGTTTTACACATGTACCCATGTAAGGCACAATAGCCTAAGCAGTGCATATGGTCCTTCATTGCCTTTAGTATTAGCATCTTGTTGAAAGGACACTGCTGTTATAGCTACTCTACACATCCTACTCCACTTTCATTGTACACAGATAAGTCGTTCATACTGAAAACGGACACAATGTTTTTGTGAGATGAAATGGTCGTCAACAAACTTTGACCAGACAGAATTAACCCTTCCCTTTTCAACATGCTTGTTAAGATGTGAAATTAAGTAAAGGGGAAAAAAAGCCGGTTTTGCAGCCTTATAACCTGATGATAAAAGAATGAGACCAAAGGAGGGAAAAAAATGAAGACCAGATTGGATCACTAGTCCAATTTGTGTCCACAAAATGGAGGTTTCCGGTGCTGCAGAGAAACAGTTACCATGGAGACAGCTGCAGTGGGGCTACTTGGTGTTCCCCATCTAAACCGCGACGGTGGGCCTGTCAATTTTCTCCACCCCCTTCTAGATTTTCTCCACAGAGGAGCCTCCTGGATGCAGATCAGTGACTGCAGGCTTGTCGGTGCTACACTTCAAGCTACCTCCCTCCCACTGGGCTCAGACATTTTGGTGTATGCAGTATTTGTTTTTAAGCCAACTCTTTTATCACTTTAGACATGCAGCAAAAGTTAGTCTGGAGAAGCAATAAAGGTACAGAAGCCTGAAACTGAGCAGATGTGAAGCATGGAAGCCACGTTTTTCCATCATTTTCTGACCATTTTAAGTGGTGATTCTGATGCAACTTGTTTACCAAGTGAAATCCACTCCATTCAATCATTCATGATATGAACACAAAACCTTCCTGAATAAATCGAGTTGGGATTAATCTCAACCCATGTCATTTGGACTCCCAAGAATGTCAAGTACAAAACAGTAGGAAACCCCCAGCATTTAAAGAACACAGCATAGAAGAATTTCCCACCCCAAACCTTTTGTCCTTCTGGTCAAGTAGAAATGGAATTCAGGTGGAGGTTAATTTGCCAGCTGAATGTGAGCGAGACTCAAAATTTAAACCAGGTCGGATTAAAAATACAGACAGTAACACCCTTGAGAGGATTTTGTTTTCAGTGTTTTGTTCTGTGAGAATTCAAGGCTCTTCTGCCCAAAGTTATTTAAAGAAAATACTTAACCTGGAATCTATGTTAAATTTACGTTTAGCCGAATAAGTCTTTCAGATCATTGTTGACAGATGCACTATGTTTAATTCCACTTTGGTTCAGGCTAGGGGCAGCAGGGGTTTGAGAAAAGTTCTGCGGGCTGAAAAAAGGGTTTGCTTGCATCCCAAACCCGCTGGGTACTCCTCCCATACCCACTGACGCACCCTGCATCTGAGTCTGAGCATTCTGGGGTGAACCAAACTGATTGAGCCAAGGGGAGTTGGTGCCAGGTGTAGCCTTTGGACCCATTTGGTTGAGTGTGACTTTGGGCTGGCTGGGTGTAAAAAGACTGTCCAAGGCTGACATGTCGTGGGCTTTATTTGTCTGCCCAATTGGTCCTTGATTCTGCGTGAGGGCTCCAAAGTTTGGGGTGCTGGTGGTGGTGGCCATGCCGCCATAGAGGCCGGGGCCAGTGGGCCGCATGCCCATCCCCATACCTCCTGTCTGAAAGGCCATGGGTGGGTTGAAGCCGTTGGAGACTGGGGCACCCATGGGGCCCAGCATGGGGCTGGAGGAGGGGAAGGCAGCGATGGTGGTGCCCTGCACTGGGGCTGGTCGCGCTGTGTTGGCCAAGGACATGTTGTTTAGAGATGTCATGTTGTTGAGAAGACTGCTTGTCAGATCCTTAGTCTGCAACATTAAATTGGATGAGATTTATAAGTGTTTGTGTATACCAGTGGTCATTTTGTTTTTCCTGGTATGCACCCCTTCAGAATCTGAACCACACCCCACCTCCCCATCATTTTTACCTTTGTGTTGGAGGTGGAGGCTGGTTTGATAGTCTGTGGTGCTAATGGCTGCTGGCTCCTCAGTTTGGCTGCCTGCTCCTGCTCCTTAGCCAAGCGCTGTTTCTCTTCTAGAGTCAGAGACATCTGCAGAGGTGCAAATGGAGAGAGACCGTGAACAAATTGGCCTGCATGCTAAATGGACAAAGGTGAAGATTTGTGTAAATTACAAATGACATTATTTCCATACTCTATTAGGCTGTGGGGCTGGTGCTGCAGATCCATTCTCTTTTCCATTAACCCTGGTGCTGCCGAAGATATCATCAATCTGAAAGCAAGAACAGACTAAATGGAATCACTGCAGCACAGAGACATAAACATAACATTTCCAGGCTTTTTCAGGAACATTTATGGCAAAGAAAATACTTCTTGATCTGTTACATGGCTTATAGAATCAACCTCTCACCTGGTTGCCAGTGCTAGGCGGGCTCTTGGTCTCCTCTGATTGGCTCCCTGGGTTTGTGATGTTTATACTCCTGTTAGAAGAGATAATAAAGAACAAAATCAGAAAGTGGAAAAGAAATTTGAATAGATGCATTTATACGAGCCTGGTTAGTCATACCATTATCATATTCATGTGGCCAGAATCAACTGCTAATTGCTTTCTAAGACAGTTCCAATTTCCCTAGATGTTCTAGGGTATAAAAGCCCCATTAATATGTATAACCATTTTATATTTAATCAGACAGAATAAAAGGGAGGCTAAAGTCCAGGGTGATCTAAAATTGTGACAGACACCTCTGCTGCTCCTGCATAACATGCAGCTGCTCCAACTTGGTCTTGTGTTCAGCCTCCATGCGACTCAGCATGTCCCGTATGACCACCATGAACGAGTTAAACTGAAAAGTGGAATATATCAGATAAGATAAAATAGTTAAAAAATAGAAATCAGATTAAATAGAATTAAAACAATGCTGCACAATGTGTTGCTACAGAATAAAGATGAAGAAAATAAAACACATTTTTCACAGATTTGCAGGTAAAAGAAATTTGTCTGTGTAGTACCTGATTAAGGTTGAGGTTGTTGTCTATACTAAGAGAGACAAGGTGGGGCAGGCTCTTGGTGGCAAGGTGCTCTTTGGGAATGCCCAACTTCTTGTGGCTGAAGGTGCACTTATAGATTCCTAAAGTGAGGAGTGAGAAAGCCATTAAGAAATCCAAGAGGTTGCTCAACTGTTTCAATCACACGAGTAGGAAGTGGGGAGGAGGTTCTTTACCTAGAATGCCCATGAGTACTGCTGGTTCTCTGGAGGGGATTTGTTGTAAGAAGGGCAGGATCTCATCAATGACAAACCACTTGTCCATATATTCCAAAATTTTCCCCAGACACACTAGAGAGTTCACTCGTACCTACACAGTAACAAAGGAAGATGCATAGATACATAGAATCAGTCAAAATGCACATACAGTATCAAAGAGGCACCATTTTGACATGTCAGCTGTAAGTAGATGGTTACGGTTAGTCAGTGTCAGTGTCACTTAAAAGCTGAAACTACAGAAAATTGGTATTTATGCATGAAAGGTACAAGGTACAAGCTGTCAGCAAATGATGGCTGACGGAGACTCACAGCAAGTGAGGAGGTCTGTAGGCAGGCAGATTTGATTCGAGGGATGAGGGAGTTCTTCATAGACGGGTAGTCAATCAGGTTGGCGAACGTCGGGATGATGTTCAGGCACAGCTCCTGCTCAACAGCAGATATGATGTTATAAAATCTGACATTTTTATGCCACCAAGTGTATTTATTCTTGAAGTGCTCTCAAAGTAGTACTAAAAAGGGAACGAAGAGTACAGCGGGTGAGAATTATAATGTTCCAAGTGGTATGCTAAATATATACACCAATGAAGTGAAAATTATTGTGAGGATAACTTTTCTCACAATGTTTGTACTTGAGAAAAAAATGAGATAGCAACAAAGCAATCAGACCTTAAATTATTTATGGCACAGCATATGGTTTTTTCAAAAACTTAGTATACAGTAACTCCTCTGGTTTCAAAGGTTTACAACTGACAGATTAAGTTCATCTCCACAGAAATACTAAATACTAAGCAGCCTCATTTCCCATTGTACCTGGATCTGTACAGAAGGGGCTTCCAGAGCTCTGTAGACCATAGGCAGCACAGAGTTCTTAATGTCCTCCGCTGGTGTCTTGGTCAGCAGTAGGTCCATCTTCTGCAGGAATATCAGCAGGATCTGCACAGCACAGACACCCAGTTAGGAAAATAAAAGTCAAAAGCAAGAGAATTCTATGCTATTTTCTACATATAGGTACGGAGGTGAGTGGAAGTTAAGAGACAGTCCTTTCAGTGGCTTTAGTTTTAGCTTTTAGTGCTATAGACAACACAACGCACAAACTAGCTGATGTGATTGGTGTGTATTCACAGCAGAGACCACTCACCATATTACTAGCCTGAAGAAGCATGGAAAGAAAAATACAGAGAAAGACAAGTCTTGATAAAGTGACAGGCTGAGCACAAACAGAGCCTGCTCTTTATTTGGTTATATTTATCTGATTAATCTCAAACACACAAATGCCAAAAGGGAGAAAACATGCAAAAGGTTTAAAGAGGAGAATCACACTTTTCTGTGCATTTTTTAAAAAGTACATGTCATTACTTAAAGTGTATTGCTAGCTTACCAACGCATGCTTAGTCTACAGTAGTAATGTTAACGCACAACAAACAACTTTGTTTCAGACATGTGCATAAGCGTACTTCATGTGCAGAGTTCTGTGTTTCTGCGTGTGTTTACCTGAATAGGCTCTTGCTGCTTGAAAACAGGCGTGAGGTCAGGCAAGATGAGGCGAATATACTCGTCCTTAGTGCACTCCTCAGCGATCAGCAGCACGTTGGGCAGCACAAAGGGAACCATGTCCGGGTTGACAAACTCAGAGGTGAGTGCTGGCAAGATTCGATACACCACCACTCTCTGAGAGAAAGAATTATAAGAAAAAGAATGGGTTTCAGAAGCCACTGAAGACCTTAAACTGTGATTCTAATAAATATCCAGTCTTATACTCAGATTTGTGACAGCTTAGCTACTTAGTACCCTGTACACACTGCATTTGCCTGTATATAATTACCTTGGGTAGTTTGGGCAGAACTTTGGGGAGGCCTTTGTAGAACTGGGACTTCTGTAGGTTGTCCCTTTGGAAGAGGGAGTCAAAGTACTGCAGCGTCACAGCACCCACGTCATCAAAAAATGGAATCTGAATTTCACACAAAAGCATAATAAAAATTAATTGCAAACATTAGAACAAAAATATGCTATTCTTTGTATCTTCATGCATCTCGTAGCAATGCAAACCTTTGTTATTTGGTCTGCATCTGGTCGGACGTTTGGTGTGACGCTGAGCAGCATTTTGACGTGCTCCCGCACCTCCTCTGGTATCTTGTTCAACAGCGCTGGACTCATGGTGCTCAGCTACAAATGAAAAACACAGAGCAAATGAATGTAACAGAGCAGAAAAGAGGAGAATACAATCAGTGTTTGACTGGTAGCAGACAGTAACACACCCTTGAGCCACAGCATATAATTAAGCATTAAGTGTTTTCTTAAGAAGAACAAATGTCCATCCTAAGTTCAATTGCTATTTTATAAGATCTTACAAAGAACAATTGTTATGATCTAACAAAAGATTTAGGATCCTTTCAGTCCATCATCCGTCATGCACATTGTGTCACACCTCCACTCACCTGGTCCAGTTGCCTGCTGAAGCTCTTAAAAATGTCATGCTTGTTGACTTGGAAAACAGGCTTGCCCTCATTGAAGACGGCATGCATGACCACACCCAGGGAGTACATGTCGGAAGCAGAGTCACAGCTGACTGACAGGATGTACTCGGGAGCCAGGTACTCAGGGTTGGGGAGGCAGAGCGGAGGGAGGTTGGGCTCCCACTCTTTACATGTGTACTTAGGCTGAAGACAATGAGAGAACATAAGGATATAAAGATGTGACAATACTGCTAGGCATTATTATTATTTTTGAATGCTCTGCAGTAAGCCCCGCCTGGCAGATGGGACTAAGGGAACAAATGTATTCCAACAGACCTCGGCATCTGAGGGGTTAGCCGAGGAGATGCTGAAGTCAAAGCCCATGATCTTCCAGGCTCCGCTCTTGTTGAGGATGATGTTCTCTGGACACAAGTTGCCGTGAACCATTTTCACCCCACTATGAAGGAAGGACAAACCCTCCGAGATCTAAAGAGATAGAAAAATTAAACTGTCAGGATAAATTAGAGCAAGAAAACAGATGGTGTTTAATAGACTCTTGGATAACTTCACAGTCACTATGGTAGACTTTGCAGGCATTTTCTAGTCCCGTCATCTATATCTCCTTTCAGTAACTTCAATAAGCCGTGGAAAAGGCTAGATGACAGAAATGAAGACCGATGTGAGTGAATGAGACAAAAAATGAGACCTGATGCTAAGTTGATTGACACTTTACCCTTGTTGGAACAGCACTGAAAGGTGAGGCATGGAATTGAGCTGGTTCAACTGGCTTTGAGAAGAAACTGCATACAGTATGAGTTGGACTTCCAAATGTAGACCACATGGCACTAAAACCAGCTAGACAACTAAGATTTAGCATGCTCATAATAACAAACAGGTAAACTCTCATTCATAAATTGTTGGATTATAAATCTGACCAGTGAACAGCAACTAAATTGTTACTCAGCCAAAGAGCAAAAAGTTTTATTACTGAGTCATAAAACGTTGAATATTTCTATACTAAATACAATTTTTTGTAATTAAAGTGTTACTGTCTGAAATATAGGTTGTGTGATAACTAGTGTTTTGCAGGAATAAAGTATCTTTCTATATAACTTTCATCGAGCAAAAGCTGGTCCTTTGCTAAAACACAAACTCCTGACTCATCAAACTAGATCTGAAATGATTAGTTGATTCATCTATTAGTCGACTGACAGACATTTAATCTGCAATAATTTTCTGGTTTCAGCTTCTAAAATGTGCATATTTTTGGTTTGGACTGATGGTCAGACAAATTTAGCCTTTTAAAAATGTCAGCCTGTAATATATAAAAAAAAACTAAAATCATTCTTAGTTGTAGCCCTACATTAAGCAAGCTTAGCTGTCGGCACCCTCACCTGTAGCAAGCCATACTTGGTCTCCACGTCATATAGTTTGTACTCCTTGATGTCGTTGGGCATAGGGGTGGGCAGGTTCTCCCACTGGCCCAGCACGTTGGACAGACTGGCAAACACCGGCTCCGTACAGAACGCCAAGCAGTCTCTGAGGGCCAAATACAAAAATAACATTTGAAACAGCTTGCTTTTTAAATGTCGAGTTATTCTTGAACAGAGTGAGACAATTAACATGAGCAAAAGCAAAAAACAGAGACAGAGGTGTGTTTTTGAATCGAGAGCTGCCACAGGTGAAAGTTTTAAAAGAGGAAAAAAGAAAGTAAGCACAAGACGGCCTCAACCTTATTTTGCACTCAGGGGACATACATTATTCAGGGAGCAGTCTAAAGAGTCTTTTGATCATGACAAGCTTCTGCTCACATATGCACAGAGAGGCAGACAAAAAGATTTGTTATGCAATTTCCCCTAGAATGTCAAGCCCCTCTTTGAGGTCTGACTCATTTTATTTGCCCTTGTTATACGTGTGAGTGTGTGTTTGTGTGTTACTCACCGTGACTCTTCCAAAGGATGCTGCACAGTCAGGAGACGTGGGTGACGCAGTCTGGTCAGCTGTTGCACCCCTTTTTTCAGCGAATCAATGATTTGATCCTTCTCAAATTTCTGATACTTATCAATCATCTTCTTATCAAACACAAACACTGCCACTTCCTGGAGGGTCAAAGACAAACTACCATTAGCAACAATTGAAATCAGGTTTATTAAGTCCAACAGTTGTCTATCTATTTAAATGTTAACTTTAATAGATTAGAGCTGGTCTGGTCAGGATATAACACACACACACACACACACACACACACACACACACACACCTGTTTGGTGGACTTCTTGGTGCCGTTGTAGATCCTCCAGCACATGCCAGGACCCCCGCTGGCAATATGTCTTCCAACCTCAAACTCCCGTGTCACCGGGTTGCCCATGACAGCGCTGGTGACATCTGCCGTCACCTTGGTGACCGTGCTTTTTAGCTTGTTCAACATAGACTCCATGTTCAGGCCTGACCTCGCAGCTGAAGTGAGAGAAGTGGATGACAGACCACCCAGGACAGGTAAGCAGTTAAAAAGTAAAATACAGTTTTTATTAAGAGATGTAGTTTTTACCAGTCAACTGAAAGAGGCAGCTGTACTCGAACCCTTTCTAGAGAAGCAAAAGCCTTCAACAATCCATTAGACATTCACTCTAATGCACCTGCTTCAAAATTTGCACATCAAAGTGCCCATCAGTGTCCTGCCTGTGCTGGCTGAGGAGAATAAGCATCTTAACAGCCCAAGCTGTCCCCAGAAATATAAAATGACTCAGAGCAAACTAAGCCACACCACATTAAGGCTCTCTTTCAAAATACTTCTCAGTGACTTGACAGCATGTTGGGCAACCGGAAGTCAGACAAAGGAACATGGCTGACGGTGATATAGCCAAATTATTTCTATGCGAACGGTTTCTAAAAGGTTTTATCTGTCTTAAGTGGGCTCCTAGTAGTACTTTGATGTTTATTCCACTGCACTGCAATGAGCCTGAATAAGCTATTTTCTAGAAACTGAAACGCACACAGTACAGTTTGCATAAATAATTCCCACATAAGATTCCCACATAAAAAAAGCATCAGTATTAAATCAGATGAAAGCACACACACACACACACACACACACACACACACACACACTACAGCCGACTGCTTTAAGTGTATGTGAATATCCAAACTGAGGGTGCCCCAAAATAAGAAATCTATCAATCTGATGCTGTCAGCTGTGTCAATGTTGATGCCAGTGTGTCAATCTTTCTCAGTCCACTCAATTAGCTCGCTCTCTACACAACCAACAGACACATCTACTTCTTGAGCCAAATCCAAAACAATACAGCTTAATTTAAAGAAGTGGAGCTGTGCCGAGATACATTGCAGCATTTCTGGCCTGATTATAAGACAATCTGCTTCAATCAGTTGTCAACATTGCGGCATAACTGTGTCATTGCTCACTGTTTACTTGGCGGTCTGAGGCAAAAAAAAAAAAATGCATGCCAAAGGAATAAATACACACCAGCCATAAGGATTAATTATTAATCAACATGTTATTAAACATAACCCCCTAGGATGAGGCTGTTCCTCTGCAACAGGTTTGAAGGATGCATTAGCCCAAAGAGCACCGATATTGTTATAATAACGTTATCTCATGACAGCAGTCGGTTTACTTTAACACTTTATTAGTTATTAACTAACTTAGGTAATGGCCAGACAAACAGAGGTAAACTGAAAGCACCGTGTTGGACACTCACCTGCACAGAGCCTACCTGGTACAACAGTTAGCCATCTAGCTGTCAGGTACCAGGGCAGTTTAATACAATAACATTATTTGACAAGTTATTCGTGTGAGATTAAACTGTAATTTCAGCGGGGGAATAATAATAATAAAAAAAAAGCACTTCCACACTGTCTCTGAGCGATGACGGTCATGTCTGATTGGGAAATAGCTTGACGTTAGCTAACGTTAATCGTCTTGTTTTAGCCCGTACGCACACATTAACACAAACCTTATCGCTCACAGATATCTTCCCACACCTCCTCTTAACCCTTTTATAGCTCTAGGAGGCTGACATCATCGCTGCAGTGTGCTGGCTACCGTTAAACACTTCTCTTTTTTTTTTTTCCAACACAAGCACATCACGGTGGCTACCTACCTAAGCTAACTAGCCAACAATGCGCCAGTCGACAGTGACGTTCCTGTCATTAAGAGTGAAGGACGGTCTGTTTTTACCCGAAACTGTCCCACAGAAAACCCCCCACAGCTACTTACCTTGATATGAAAACGGCTCGCAGTTTTATTTCTTATAATAAGTGGGCTCTCAGCGGTGGCGCTGTCAGTTGTGGCTGTGATACACAGCCCCCATGTCTACCAGTAGCATACGAAATGAGGTAGCTTTAGGATGCTAGTGAATGAACAAGCCTACTTCCGGGTTTTTAGCTCACCAGTGAGTCAGGTGCATCGACGTCACCTGTGTGTGTTTTGTTTTGTGTGTTTTTTTTTTTAAGTATCACTTTTTGTGCAAATAAACTCCACATTGAGTCTTATTGATTCACACATTTATACCCTGGATTCCCTCAAGTGCTGCGCATTTTGTAAGTTATATAACCGCGCTACAGGGACACAAATCAATCAATCAATCAATCAAATCGAATTTATTTATAAAGCACATTTACGATAAACAACCCTTGTTGACCAAAGTGCTGTACTAACTAGTGCAAAGAACAAATAATGCACTGATTCATGAAACACACAAGGTTTTGTGGCACAGTTAGGAACTACAACAGCACTGCAGTGGATTTAAATATTAACTTAACCACAAGACCAAAACCATGGTTCCTAAAAGAAGATGTACAAGAAATAATATCTAAAATTCAACCGTGTCTCATACAACCTCATCAAAGACCAGCGAGGACTCTACTAGTACACATACACACAAAAAAATGGCAGCAAAGTCTTGTGAGAGTACATCAGTTAAACTTTTATCAGATGCGTTATTCCAAGAGAGAAAATAAAGCATGTTTCAGCATCATAAAGTGCATTCTAACATGATTTCAGTGTATGTAAAGAACAAAAGATGCTGAATGTACATTACTTCTGCATGATTATGGCTTCATGAATTAAAAAGAAACAAATCCAACTGAGGCATCATGCTTAACCAAAAAGAGAATTAGTAAAATATTCAATCAAAACACATTATGTCCAACTTTCAAGTAAAATCCTAAAAGGTTACAATTAAAAAGACATTTGGAACTAAAAGCTTAAAACCGCTAAAATTATAAGTCATTATATTAACCTGAGTTATGGTTAGCACTAATAAATTATTGTAGCCTTTCTGCTTTCATTTCATATTAGTTTTCATTTTAAGATCTTCACTGAAAAGTCTTCATCTCTAACTGTGTTAAAAACGTATTCAGCTACATTAGTGTTAACAGTTTTCCTTACCTGCACTACAGCATGCTACATTTAAACAGAACAGGACAAAAATCGACAACACTTGCGGCATTCAATCAAAGTGGCTGCTATAATAGTGTTATTCATCATTAATATTAATGCCTGATCAAAGTGCACAACATCACTTCTACAAATCACAGATCCATTTCCAAAGCTCAGATAAACCTAATTTAAATATCTGTTTATTTAAAGGCAGTATCCATACCTGCAAGAAATACATTAATTAGTCCACAAGCTGCAGCTCACTAATAGTCATTAATCCCTTTTAGGTTTGTATACTTTACATATACAGTATTATAAAGTAATATCTGAACAATGTAGTGCACAAAAGGAAATGCCCACTTTAAACATTATTCATCTTTACAACATAAAATTAGTGTCACTAAAGTATAATTAAAAATGAATACCCCCCTTTAGGCACCAAATATAGATGAGATGATATGTCATTCTTTATAAACTAGTGCAATAGAACTATAATTACACCTATGGCTTGAACACACAATATTTATCAGACAGATAATGCATCCAGTGCCATAGGACTAAAAACAAACAAGACTATCTAAAAATAAAACCTCAACTATTATAGGCCTCTTGTGACTTAAAGGAATTTGGGGAGGCTTCAGTCATGCCTTCGCAGAATTAATTATAGAAGAATCTGTGCTGATTGTCACCTAAGGTGTCAATTCCTCTCTACAGCTAGACATTAGATGAGATCAGAGCTGTGACTTGTATTCCAGTTTTTAAAGTATCCAAATTTACAAAAACAGCATTTTGTGCATTAAATTATTATTCTTCTTCAGTGTAAGCGCCGTACCAAACAAACTGGCTTTGTGAAGTGCACCTAGGAAGTCAAACCAATACTCTTCAGTTGTTTCAGAAGGTGCTGGACAGATGCTGGAGGAAGACCACGGGGTGATGTTTTTCAAACTCTTTGAGCAGCCTCCTCCTCTCCTTGACAGGTATGGTTTTGCTTGAAGAAACGTCTCGAAGAAGCTGTTTGAGGCTCTCCAGGGTGGTAGCCTCCCGCTGGTCCTCGTACTCCTGTGGCGTCACCTGCTGGCAGAAGGTGAACGCTGCAGCACACAGCAGTGAAGAGGACATTAGCAATAGTGCCACCATGTGGGCATTTATGAAGAACTTTACATTTGGGACATAACTCCTCATCGGCCCCTCGTACAAGACATTTTGTAGCAGATCTGGTTACAGATGCAGATTAAAACTTTGGGACAGAACTGTCTGTTGTACCTAATACATTGTCAAAGTCTGAAGAACATAAAAGCTTCAACAACCTGTATGTTTAACCAGGGTGTAGTGCAAAAGATTAGGGACCTAAACTGACATTGTTGTGTTTCTATGTACAGTTATATACATATAAAGTTTTAAGGGTTCTGTGCCTGTGTGTGCATATTTAGTTGTAGTTGTATTTCACTTACTGGCAATTGAGTCAGGGTCTTTTCCCTGCTGCATAGTCCTCAGTGTTTTCCTCACAGCTTCAATAAGGGATGTAGGAGTCTGCATTCATTACAGGAAGAAAAATAATGTTAATTTAAAAAATGTTGAATGCAAACTTTAAATTGACCACACAGTAGGTCTTTTTTTGCTATACTGACGAAATAACAGCTTAATAAAACTTCAATTAAATGTTCTATTAAGAGGTACAGGTGATGTGAAACATTCCCACTGTCTTTAATACAATACAATGTTAGTAATACCTATATCAAAAAAATAAAAGTGTACCTTGAAGAGCTCACTGCAATTGTCCATGAGAAAAAGCACCAGGGTTTCGCTTTGGGATCGATTCAATTCATGATTCTGGACAATTGCTCTCTGAAAACTGCGGCAGACCAAGGCCCTGTTATCAATCTGAAAGAAAACACACGAGAAAGTCAACGATAGATTCAAACACACTGACCACTGATACAACCTTAACACACCGTGAGTGATACTACAAAATAAATCTACAGTTAAACAATGTACAGCATAGACACTCAAGCTGGTTCTGAACTGTGTTCTGGTCTGTTGCCCTGCCTGTCAATAGTCAAATACTACATAAAAAAAAACGTTTCTACTATTTTCAATAAATTGTATTTCTTATTACGACACACTACAAGTTTGCGCAAAAGCCTAGAGCTGTCAGTGTGATTTGTTGAAGGAGGTGAACTACCTGTTTCTGCAGACGACAAGCGTCCGGGTTAGCTGCTGTGGCCATAAAGGCCAGTAGTCTCCTGAGTTCATCTCTCATGCTTGTCTCCAGCAGTCGGAAACACAACTGAGATGCTTTGATGGCCTCCTGCACCTTCCCTTCATCTAGAAAGAAACAAGGTGTGGTCAAGACAGAAGTCAGAAAAAGACAGAAGTCAGAAAATGAATAACAAACCACAGAGGCACAGGGACTTATGCTTCATATGCACACACACTTCTGCTCTGCTGTGAAGTGTGCAAGAATGGGTTGTCTATCTAGTCTCACCCAGCAAATTCAGAACTGCAGCATGTATGTCCAGGTGTCGTCCTGAGAGAAGTGGAGCTTTTTCCTGTCCACTGTAGTATTTAGCAATGGTGTCAAAGAGCAGTCTCTTTTGGCTTCCCATCTGCTCTGCCTGGCTATCTTCTGAAAAGGCTTTGCCACCTTGTTGTCCGAGCTGTTCCCCTGCAACCACAATCACCTGGTCGGGAAAGAGCTCCAAGCAGTCTGCTGCTGCCGACAGCCACCCATCCAATCTGTAATGGTGACGAAACCAAACATAATGCTTTTTACTGTCACTGCATGGAAATTCTAATGTTATCTCTACTGTGCAAAAAAAGCTTGACAGTATCCATCAGAGCACTGACTGGGGCAGATTAAGGGTGTCTGGCAGCTCTCTCTCGAGGCACGTGTTAGAGATAACCAGGTCCTGGGTGGCCAGAGGAGCTCTGCAGGCCCGGAGCTGAACTCTGACAGGAGAGGTCAGGATACAATCCAGCATGGGCAACTCTACTATCTGCAGCAGCTGCAGCAGCGTTTGCTTCTTCCACACCTCATCCACCACTAGAGAGGAATGAAATTGAAACAGTCATGGGCTGTTGTTCCTTTGTACAGGGCACACACCACACTGACAGACTACCATAATCTTACCAGCTTTGGACAGAAAGGTAGAGTTAGTGTGTGCTGTGTTTAGAGCTGGTGCCAAGGTTGGTCGCAGGTTGATGGTCTTCAGCAGCCTCTCAACCCTCCTGTCTGATGGTCCAACAGCAAGTGGATTAGAGATCGTCCTCAGTTCCTTCAGCCTCCAGAAACAACAGGAAGCATTAGGGTGGTTAATAAACACTCAGGTCAGGTGGATGTGATGGGTTATAAAGCTGCGCAATGTTGTAAAGGTATCAGAACGTTTACAACAGTGATGTTTTGGGTATGACTGGATAATAATGCATTATTATATCAGTATTATAGTATATATATATATATATATATATATATATATATATATACTGCTGTGTATGATTGTTTGTTGTTAATTTCAAGGCAGTGTTACTTTATGTTGCAATAAGGCTACTTTATTGAATAAAATTAGTCGGTTAAGCACGACTACAAGACTTCTAAGTAAAACCAACCTGGAGCTCTTCTTCCTTTTTATCTCCTGTAGCTCTGGTGGCATGTTCTCTGTGTCACTACTGCACTCCTTCATGGGAGAATTGGGTAACACTTTATACTCCAGAAAACGATAAAGGCTGCAGCCGCTGTCCTCAAAGGTCACTTCCTTTTCTCTGCGAAACAACTTCGTACCCACTGGTTCGAACACCTTGGCCTCCATCAGGGCCTGGCAGAGACGAGCAGCTTTGAGGCGAGACACTTCACTTGTGCAAAACACCACATTTTGCATCAAATAACTGAGGACGGCATCCACAGCGTCCGAGCCCGTGAAACATTCGGCATGAACGCGGAGATTCCTTCTACAGCGGCGCACCTCCACCTGGGTTTGCAAGGCCTGGATGATGTTGTGCCATAGCTGGGTAGCACCGAAGGGCCCAGAGAAACCTGTCAGGAGACACAGAGATAAAGGAAAGGGCATCAAAACAGGATGAACCTTGGGAGTTAAAATGTTATGTTGAACTTTGCACAGGTCCAAACTGGTTAGCCTATTTACGTACCTTGAAAAAGTATTAATACAGTGCATTAATGAGCTTGTTATGTCTCAAATTAAGGGTGAACATGAAGCACACATATTTCAGGGTGAAAAAAATCTTGCCCCACTCCCAGGGATCTTTATCTGAGGTTTGTTATCATCATCATTTCACTACTGGAAACTACCGTTTTCTACTGGAAACCAGTAGGGAAATATTTGCAAAGTTGAGGTACTTGTTCTTCACTTGAGTATTTATATTACATGCTATTTACTTCTACTCTACTAGAATCCAGAGGGAAACATCCTACTTTCTACCTCACAGCATTTATCTGGCGGATAGATTGTAGGTTAATGCAGAGTCCACGTCGTACGTTAAAAGCACGTAAAGCAGTCACGCCTCAACTGCTAACACGGTAATTAACGTAACTTTATTTATTTTTTACAAATGGGGAAGGGGTTAGCTAACTCAAAACGTATTAAGCGTTAATACTTAGATCTTACCATGCTGTATATTTTCACGAAAACTTCTCGTTTGGCTGTTCAACCTTCTGAACCGAGGAGTCAAATCAACCGCCATCGTGAGCTCTGCGTCTGACGTAAACATCCTTTTCTTCTTCTAAACGTAACCGGCAGGCAGCACGTGACTGCCCTCTGCAGGCGGTGACAGGTACTGCGACCCCGTTTTTTTTTTTTTTTTTTCTAATTTGTGATAACTTGTGAAAACTGTGCTCCATAAGTTGCTTTTCTCAATAGGTTGATCATAGTTTTTTTTAAATGAAATATATCTTCTATATAAGTTTTCTTGATTTTTTTTAATAATATCTTTTAAACGCCCCGAAGAATGATTATACAGTTGTTGAATAGAGTCCTGCAGTGACTTCATCTGCCACACATAACCATCTGGATGTTTTCTCATGATTTCTCATGGATCCAGGCCACAGTGCCCCACTTGTAAATTAATTTATGTAATGACATTCTCCCAGCTAAGACGGTTTTCTTTTTATAGTGACGCATTATAAAAGGGCACAGCAGAAGAAATGTATGATCTGTGATGTGTCACAAAATTATTTGATTTGTTTACTGATTATTTTTTCACAAACACTCTTTTTGACATTTATCATATAATTAAATCATTTTAATTCCTTTTTACATACTTTTCCATGGCTGCCGCTCCAAAACAATGGACAAGATGGAATGTTTTCGCAGTTCAAAGTGTTTTTTTTACCAATTTCAGACACACATCTCAACACATATAACTAATATATATATATATATATATATATATATATATATATATATATATGCTAAATATAACTATATAAGACACCATGCAGTTAATTTTACACACTAGTTTATTTCTATGTAGACTTTAACTGTGTTAACATTTGCACATATTAGTGTTTTTGTCACTTGAAAAAACATTGCATTGACTCACATTAATCACCATTTCCAGGTCCTGGTCTTGTGCATACACCGTCTTACTGGGAAACATGAATGGAACAGAGCCATCCTTACAGTTATTAGCTATTTAAAATTTGTGCTTAAGGCAAAATGTCTGCTTTGAAAAAGGCCCATTGGCCAAACCATAGCTACTTGTAGTTTACTTGTAGGCGTCTAAGAGACCTGTAGACACTTTTAAACACATATTTTTAACATTATTTGTCATTTTTCAATTACATGTAATGGTATTTTATTTATTATTATTATTATTATTATTATTATTATTATTATTATTATTAAGTTAAGTCGTAACCCAAAAATGAAATTATTTACCTTGTCCTCATAATACCCTTAATAATACATGGTGTTCGGAGCGTACCATTTGAACCAAAGGTGGATTCAAGGTAGAATATCGGGTTACATTTTCTTCCCCGTACCAAATGTACACATTTACTTTAACCTTTACCAGTTTAAAACTTACATTATAATCTAAACACTCGAATCTTAATCTTAAACCCCGTGTTCGCCATTGCTCGACCTTTTGAACACCCCTGTGTGTGAAATGGTTTCGCCTGTTTGTCCTCGGAGCCAGCTGGGTAACGAAAGACCTTTAAACAGAGAGACAAACATTGCTGCACGACGACGGATCCTTTCCTTTGAGGGCTAAAAAAAAAAAAAATTGTTTGGTGTCAGTCTCCTTTTCCGGAGACTTGAATGAGGTAAAAGTTGCCTTTTGTTGTTGTTGTTGTTGAAATTATAAATCTCTCGGCTCGTTTTGTTGACAACTTTTACGTTTGAGTTTGGCTTTGTGCTGGAGCGGAAACTTCGGCGCAGTCGTCGAAGGGTTCAACTAGCGAGCTGCTTTGTATGACTAACCCATGTCACTAATATTATTCGGTTGGTTAAACAACAAAGGACTGCCGTGTATTCGCTGCTGACATTGAGTACGACATCTTTAACAAATGTCTTCTTGCAGTAAGAGCGTTAAACATTTAGTCCTACCGCGCGTTTTGTTGGCCAGAAGAATAAAAAATGGACTATTTTAAAATGTGCACGGAGTTGTTGTTTTGGTCTGCTGCTGTGATCACGTGTTACCCACTGCTTACGCGTGTGTGGATGTTTTTTTTTTTTTTTTTTTTTATCCATGTGCATCGCAATGTAAACCAGACATTTTCCATGTAGGGATGAGGGACAGGGGGCTGCAGCCAATGAGGAGAGTCCCCGTGTGGTTGGCCCAGCCTCCCTGATCCACTGCTTTGTTTACATTATACTGCAGTCAAATCGGGGTCCCAGAAGGTTGTCTTTGTTTCTCCAGGAGTCACTATATGTAGCAGAAGACCTGCACACAAAGAAAGACATTCACTCTATTTGTTCATGTGACATTCATCCTGAGCATCTGGGGGAGTTATATATGGGTATTCATGCAGATATCATAGTGTTATCGTGCTGTATTTTCCAATATGCAATATATTAAACGTCAAATGCTCAGCTTTTATCTTTATATTTTCATACTGGATTTCATTTTACCTAACATTTTAGACTTCTTAAAGAGGATTTCTCAAAGTGAAGCAGCAGATGACAAAGTAGACCTAATCCGTAATCAGTTTTCTGGACTGTACTGCCCCCCTCTCCAGCCCTCACTCTAGATAATCTCTGAAAATTGGCCTGCTGCAATGCTGTGACCTAGCTGTCAAGTCTAGCAGATGATGTAATGAATGAGCAGGGGTACATGGAAGTCACCCACTCTCACCCCCTTGAGCTATCTTTAAACCAATAGAGCAGCGATGGGAGTGTGCGTTCATTTTTGGCAGCAGATAACTGAGACCAGGGACAGGAACACCCAAGGGTCACCCTGACTGTACGGTACGTCTTAGATAATCTTAAAATGGCAGAGGCCTACTTAATTAAAGGTGTTTTGTTTATGTGTTTGTATGTGCTCAAGTTCCACAGTTCTTAAAGCTTGAATTTCTTAATTTAATCTGCTCATATTTGCTCTTATTATTGCTACAAACAGTAACTTTCTTTATAATGCTAATTCTGTTTGCGCAGAAGGCAGACGAGCACAGGGACAGGTGTAACAGGATCATTTTGACGGTTGAGAAGCCCCTCTGTTGTTCCATGTTGCCCTGGAGACAGAGCTCAGATAGGCCTCGACACACAGTGTTCCTTTTATCCTCAACCAATACAAGCTATTGTTCAAACCTAGTTAGGGAAATGGGTTCTGTTTGCATGATGTTGTCAACCCCTGTGGCGGTAAACACACAGAATCATCAAATATTTTCCAGTGAATTACTTCAATATTAATACAACAAGATGGTGGTATTCAGTACTGTACTGCCGGTCAGCTATCGCTGTTTCCATGGAGACTGTCCCACTAACTGTTTTATTGAGTGTGACTGGTGTTTTTGTTACGCTCTCTTTAACTGCCTGGCAACAGCAACTATTGCTAAAGTGAAAAATGAATGCTCTTCTCACTCACTGATAGTCACACACTCTTTCTCCCTCTAACACAGGCACAGGTAAAACTAAGGTAAAGCGTACTTGATTTGGTTTTATGTATTTGTCAGCTTAAAGTTTTGTTATTGTCAGTAAATCCCAGGAAAAGATGAAAAAAAACTGCAAGGCATCGGTCTGTAAATTCCCCAGCTTTAAAAAAAATCGGGTTATAGATATCTAGTTTTATTTTTTATAAAGGCAAAGTCATTCTCTAAAACAGCTGGGCATTGTAATTTTAGCAGATGTTATTCCAACAGGAGTAAGCAGCACGTTTGTCGAGGACTATATTCATCTGTGGAATTATACACATTTTTTTTAAGTGAGTAGTCAGCTCAAAATTAACTACAGCATCTGTAGTCATGGAAAAGTTCACCCAGTGCAACGGTGTGGCACATTTAGTTGTTTTTAATAGTTTTTTTGGGCAACTATGGCACTGAAATAAAAAGGTTATGTCACACTTTGGCAACACAGACAATCATTGTTAGTAGGATTAAGTCATTGTTGGTTTTGGTCTTTTTGTGGGACTTGCTAATTATAAAAATACAGAATATCACCAGACCTCAAATGTAAGAGATCTTTTCACTGTTTGTTCAGTTCCTGTTAAGAACTACAAATAACTACAGTTTTCTTGACAACAGCATCCAAACAAAGGAGGAACAATAAACCTTCTATTTAAATTCTAAACCTGTTTCTTATTAAATTAGTAAAATTCCCCCAAAAACTTGTGACTTGAGTTAAAGAACACTGCTGAAGTCAACAAGCTAAGGGTTAAAACCAATTTCTCATGTGCAGCTGTAACCCAAGATGCCTCTAAATGATGAACGACCTGCCTCCACATCCAGCGGTGAGGACCAAGGCAGTGATGGCGAGTCTTCATCGAAGCGCTGCGACAGCATGATGTCGACCAGCGACCTGGACTGTTCCCGTGAAAGCTTCACCAGCGACTGCTCCAGCAAGCATTGCACGCCCTCCTGTGAGTCCCCTATGACCTCTGACTTGCTGTTTATGTTTCGGGAAAGGCACGCCAGTTAGTGTGGCTTCTAACTTCATTTTGAAAAATGACATTTATATCGCTGTTTTGTTCGTACTAGTTCCAGAGCCTGTATCTCTAATCACATTCCAGGAATAACCGCCCTCGCCACTGTCATCGTGCAACTTCAAGAGTTGTTTTTATGCTCTGACTTTTTTTGTTCAAGCTTTTATTTCTTCCCACAGCAAGCCCACCCAAAGTCTTAACCCTGGATGAAGTCATGGAGTCTGCCAGAGACCTGTTTCACCTCAGCTTAGCCCATGAGATCACTGTGAACGGCAACTTCCACATGGAGCCTGCCAGCCTACCTCAGGACAGGTATACTATAAAAAAAAGATTTTGGGTCTTTATTTGTTCACACCCTGACCATGTTTTGGGGATTATCAGTGAACTTAAATACCAAGGAGAGCTGCTTATTGTGTGTATACTTTGTATAAAGTTTCACAGTATTGACAAAGTTATATGTACACCTCATGGAAGATAAGTTTTACTGCCAAACACAAATGGGAGTTTTATGTTGACTGTGGAATAGCTGTAAAAGGGGTCTGGCAGTCGACACTGATATGTGAGTTTTCAAAAGAAACAAGACGTCGGAAATCCAAGGAAACACTGTTATATGTGCCCAAACTGCAAGTGAATCAAACAAAAAACACTGGGAAATGATTAAATAAGTTCCATAACAGCCTCTAACAAATACAGAGAAACTGCATCAGAAAGGAGGAAGTGAAGTCACAAAAACATGATGTACAGTCTGTAGGGGCTTGTCTACTAATACTTGATTTGTGTGCGGTGATGGCAGAAGTACTCAGATCTTTTACTTAAGTAAAAGTATAAAACTGTTACTTAAAGTACTCATTATGGACCATTTAAGAATAATGTATATATTATTGAATTATAATTATTGATGCATTAATGTATGTACATTATTAATGTTGGAACAGGTGGGGGTTATTTATTACTATATATACTGCTTGGTAGTTTGTAAATATAACCAGGGGATCAATAAACTCTCATTTTTATCCATAACAATACAACCTCCTTTTATTTTTGATTATATTTTGTTAATACAGTAATTGAGTAAATGCACCATCACTGTTGGCATGCAACCTAAAATGACCAACCCTTGTTACATTATAGATACATATATCAACAATATTACAGAAATTATATATTAATTACCCCCACCCACTCAAATAAATATATTTATTTTAATCAGAAATGCATTTTACAGTAAAGAGAGAGTACATCGTACATCACCGTTTCTGCTCTGCTCATTGACGTCTGTCTGTCTGTGTTTGTCTTTATCACAACTCTCACTGAACTGAACAAGAGTGTAAACAGGACAGAGACTGCGAGAGATGAGATATAGGACAATTATTTATTAAGTGGAAGAGTGAAGAGATAGACAGCAGCAGATAATATAGACCGCACAATGCGCTCAGCAATTGGAAAATTAGCTTCCATGCTCAATGATAGGAGTGTTTTTTAATTTTTTTTTATTCTTAAGATGATGCATGTTGGTTATTTAGTGCATACGGCACTGGGTTTTCTCCTTCAGTGTTTGGAGAGGTGGAAGAACAAAGCCCATTTCACAAATATATTATATTTTTCCTGACCTATGATATACTCAGCAAAACTAAATCCTCTATTTCTTTTTTTAGTATATGGAAGTTAGTTAGAGATAATGTCCACAAGGCCTTCTGGGACATCCTGGAGTCCGAGTTGAACGACGACCCACCTGAGTATGGGCAAGCCATCAGATTATTGGAGGAGATCAGAGAGGTCAGCACACACAATCTGATGTTTACAGCTTCACTCGATCTGGAGAAATGATTTAATTTAATAATAATAATATGTAAATAATAATTTATGATTCAATTGCTTTTGCCTCCTTTGTGACTGGTAGAAAAACTGTAACAAATACAGAATCATCACTGATTAAATAAGTTAAATAACAATAATTCTCCTCTTTGGACAGATCTTACTGTCATTCCTTAATCCGGGTGCCAATCGGATGCGGACCCAGATCATGGAGGTGCTGGACATGGACCTGATTCGTCAGCAGGCTGACAATGATGCTGTAGACATCCAGGGGCTTGCCTCTTATATTATCACCACCATGGGCAAGTTGTGTGCACCAGTTAGGAATGAGGAAATCAAGAAGCTCCGCGAAAGCACGGATAACATCGTGACACTGTTCAGGTCAGTACACACAAAGACAGGATCCATTGTTTATTACCAGAGCTTGTATTGTTTATCTGTTAGAGTACATGGACTATGTGAGTTGTATTTATATCTATTTATTGTTTCTTTACACACCAGGGAGATCTTCCGTGTGCTGGACCTGATGAAGGCGGACTTGGTCAACTTTACAATTGAAAATCTGAGGCCTGTGCTGCAGAACCAGAGTGTTGAATATGAGAGGGCAAAGTTTCAGAGCATCCTGGACAAAACACCTAGTGAGTGAACAAGAAACACATTTTCTCCATAGCTTTTAATACTGTATGTTTTACATAGTTACAAAATGTGTAATCTACCTATAATCTATCATTTTCTGGACGTTCTGCCTTTAAAGAGTTTTAAGAAGAAACTCCTCAGCCATTATTTCTGTGATAAACGTCCTTAGGTGCTTTGGACCACACCACCTCGTGGATCAAGTCGGCACTGGAGGAGCTGCTGTCGGCTACCGTCTCCACAGAGCAGACTAAAGGTCAGGGGAAACAACAGCGAGCAATGCCTGGGCCCTTTCAGATCCTTAACACTGCCTTCGTCGGCATCCTTACATGGGATTACGAAAGGAGTCCACTGCCTGAGGTGAGTGTGTTTTCAATATGTGTATCTAACTGAGAGAGAGAATATATATATTTGTGAAATATACAAACAGTTAGATTAGGATTAGATTTGTGATTTTTAAGGGCTGTAATTTTCTTGGTGGAAGTTGTGAATTTCTAGCGTCTTGCTGTTTAACATAAGGCAACTAAATAGTGAGCTTCAGAGGTACTGTAAGGTGGTTATCTCAACTTTGGACGGAGCCAGGCTACCTGTTTCCCCCGTTAAGATAAGATACTCACCTCTCAGCTGTAGCTCCATACTATGTCTGTTTTTGTGGTTCTCTTTTAGACCTTGGTGACTGATGAGGGCCGTCTGCGAGAGATTCAGTGGCAGCTCCAGAGGTGTCAGGCAGTGAACGAGGTGCTGCTCATTGTCTGCAGCACCATCGGAGGGCCTATCCAGGGTCTGCCCTCGCTGTCTGACCGTCTGAAGAGGATGACCAGTGTGCTGCTGGATGGGATGCACAGCCCGTCAGTTCACTCTTTGAAATCCATCCTAAATTTTTGCCATTTGTATTCAAACACACAACTGGCTATCACAGGTTATTTACTATATACATTGCATGAAATGGGTGCTTAAACCTCTCTTCTCCTTCTATTGTGTAGGAACTTTAACCTAGAAAAGGCACTAGAGGGCGTCAGTTCTCAGATCTGCTGTGAACTCAACAAGTCTTTAACAGAGAGGAGCTACCCTGCACTGACCCCAGAACTGCAGGCCACCCTTAGAGGCCAGATCTGCAGCATCACTCAGAAAGACAATCCCATCCGTACTCTCGTTGGTAAGACAGTGGGCAGGAGGGACTGTGTGACTTGAAGATTTGTTCCTATTACTTAATTGGTGTATATGTTATTAAACATTGGTGTGAGTGGATTTGTGAGTATCAAGAGCAGAGCTTTAACTCAAAAATGGAGCTGATGATGAAGCCAGAAATCCACGTGGTTGGGAGTGTTTTTTTTTAACTTCTCTTTGCCTTTTGTTTCTGTGCAGAGGACCGTGTGCAGCAATACTTCATGGCGCTCATCTGTGATCCCAAACCCAAGGTCAAACTTGAACAGGTGCCAGCCGGCCTGACCGCCATCAAACCTGAATTAGCACTGATGGGATCTAAGTTTATCTCCCTGGTCAACTACAACAGGACAGTCTATGGACCTTTCTACGCGAGTATAATCAGGAAGCTGATGTTCAGCGACAGCCCGCCAGCAGCAAGCCCTCCTCAGGACACCACTCATGAATCCGTCACCTCCAATTAAAACCAAACTTCGGCTCATTTAGTCTAAGGAGTCCTTTTTGCCATGAGACATAGCTAAAGCTAAGGAGGTACTACAGTAGCTGGGCAGTGCAACTGCTTTGCTAAGTCAGTGTGCTCCAATAGTTGGAGTTATCTTCACCATATTATAAATGTAATTTTTATCACTACATTTAGCAGTGAAGGCACCTTGTGGTCGACATTTAATGTGACCTGAGTCCTTTGTGGTAAATGCTCCAAAATATGCTGTCTTGTGAACATTTACAGCTTCAACACCGTAAAAACCAGTGTTACAACAAGCCGTTTCTAAACCTAATAGTGATCCTTGTATTGTACATTTGTCTGCAGTCAAACTCCTGTTATCGTGGAGGGAATCCGCAGGGGGAAAAGGGCAAAACCTTAGTATGTCTAAAAAGGATACAGTAAGTTTTATGAAGCAAAGAGGAAGAAGCGTATATATTTAGAAAAGTAGCAGAGTAGCATATTAGATTCTTTACATATAACAAGTTATTTATCATTGTTAAATTCTAAGGTAACTATATAGTATAACTACAGTTAACTATGACCACCTTTGAATAGACAATAAAGATAGCCCTTTTCCCATGGAATAACTCCTTTTGATTGTTTCATCAGCCAGAGAACTAAACTTTCCGTTGTCTGTTTAATCCACTGATATTACTATACAGCAAAGAAATAGTAGAAATAAAACAAAAAAACTTTTTATCTTATTTTGCAAAGAAAGAATTAAAAGTTGTCTGCATGAGTAGCTTTGTGTTGGGGTTAGGTCATTTGAGTTTTTACTAGTTAGTATTTGTCACATGTTGTATGTTCTGTAATTTTACTTATTTACTGCCAGTGGAATACTTGTTATATTGATTTAGTTGCAATGTTTGTTACATTTTGAGGTACTGTAGTTGCTACAGTATTGCTGTGTTGGCTGTTAGAACCTGTGTGGAAATGAAAGGTGCTGCACTCAAAAGTGATTTTGTGTCCAAAAATTTCCAGTGGACCCAATGATGCACAAAGAAAAGCAGTTGTGTACTTGACATGGAAGTTTACATGAAAATGTGGGAAGTTATTGTACTTTTCTTGTGTACCACAATTAATATAATAAAACTTCAAAGAGAAATCGACCATATCTTCATTTATTTGAGGACAGATTTGAAGTTTCCAAACAGAATGATACTAAAACATAAAGTCTGTGTTTGAAATATACTGTATGTTGGCTTGTCAGTGCTCATGTAGGAGCACACCCTGATATGTAAATTATGGATGGGACGATATACAATTTTATCCCAAAGCGTGATTAAAAAATACTATTTGGATTATACATACTGTATATATATATATATAGTGACTTGAAAACGTTGCCTGGGTCGTTAAAATACCAATGCTTCGCCTATCTGACCTATACGATCTTTAAAATACAAATATTTGTTTCTTAACCATATGTAAGGTGAAGTGATTTTAGTGTTTTAGTGGCATTTTAGTATATTTTGATAATTATCGGATAATCAGATAATACTATAATAATTATTTTGGCCAGGATAATGGTGAATGCCTAATATGATATATATATATATATAAGGCTAAATGTGGTCTTCTACATGGTCTGCCTTACACATTGTCTGAAATATTAAAAGTACACAACCAAAATGTAAAAAATTGACTGTACTTACAGTATGCCCTGACACAATGTACAATGTAGGCATGTTAACCTACAAGTGTTTTTTTTCATGATTTTTAATATCATCTTAAAAACCTTCATGGCTGTATTTTGCAAGTTGTAAGGCTATTAAATAAATAAATGTATATAACAAAATAGACATAAAAAGTGTGGTATATGTAGGTAGGTAACATTTAAACCATAATACATCATATTAATGCAGAGGGATTATTTGCCTTTACAAGGAAGAAATCAATAAAAATCAGGTATATTATGATCAACAATCAGGAAAAACATTTGTGATTTACATACTTATGAATTAAATAGGGACCAAATTCAGTAGCTAATATTTTCTATAAATGGAGATGCAGTGGTGGGATTTTTAATCACAGACTTCAATCGTATAAATTTTGATTAAGAATGTATTATTTCTGAACAGGCTGACTTTCTTTTGACACAGCATTGTGCAGGTAATCTATTTATGGCTCCTCATAATTGCATTATCAGTGCATCACTGTACTGTGGAATAAACAACATGCTCTCATCTCTTGTTGTCACTAGGCAGCAATGTTACCTTTAAATACAGTCCGGAAATTTATAAACACAAATGGATACCTCTTGAAATACCAAGTGATGTATTATTGAATTCAACACCCGTTAAGCAATGAGACTACATCACGAATTTCGAAGAAAAATGTTGCACACAACAACTTTTGATTAAACATCCATACAGATTAATAAATGTCAAACGTAAGGGCCAATTCTCCAATTTAATTGCAGCAGCAGTAAACAATAGCCCTGTGTGTTATTTTATTTTACAAATTAAACTACAAAATCAAAACAAAATCTTCCTAAGGGCGTACTTTTGGTTATTATTACTTAAACAAAAAGACATTTAAATTAGCAAGCTTACTTATTTCCGAGCACAGGAGTAGTCTTTGAAAGCAGCATCAGTTTGCCCAGTTACCGAGTAGTCAAACGCATGACCTCACCAGTCACGTGGTTTAAATGTCGATACGTAATTGGCTGTCACACACCGGGGTAGTTGTTTTTGTTATGAATGAGGAAGCCAGTCTTTCAAAAACTGGGCGTGCAGCGCAACGTTAACACAGAGAAGAAGAATTACCTTTTATTTTTTTTGTACTCGTTGGATTATTTACAACGCGACTTCACCTGACAGCCATCTACAGTTCAACAAATACCTCCCTAGGTAAAGAAAAGGAGACATTCGTAAGTATCCACTGGTGGTTGCTCTCTTTGTTTAATTTAGCAGCAGCTCAGAATGAGAGAACTTGTCGAGACAAGTATCGAAAAAGAGCAAAGTGTGTCAGGTTAACGTCAGTAACTGGAAGTGATAAGAAAGGTCGCGATAACGTCGGTGAGAGTTTAAGTTTAGCTCTGACTTGCAGTTTTCTTATTCACTTTCACATTCAGTGAGTGACAGCTGTCACAGGGAGAAGTTAGCTGTGGTTGTTACTGGAAGCTGTTCAGGAGGAAGGAAATCGATAAACGGTAAACTATCTAAACCTTTGACTGTATTTTGTGTTTGTGTTTGTGTTTGTGTATGTGTTTGTGTATGTGTTTGTGTTTGTGTTTGTTTGTGTTGTAGAGTTTTATCTCGGTAAAAACCTCTGTGAACCGCTGATGAACTCTTGCGGTTTCATTTCACAAGAGCTTCTTGTTCCTGTATTTCGTTTTACAAGAGCAGCTAACGACTGTCATTATCAGTTATCAATTACTTTCTAAATTGATTAATTATTTTTAAATGTAAAGTTTACCTTTTTTTTTAGCAAGAGAAGATAAATAACATTTTACAATAGTTGCAGATTACTTTTATGTCACTCAATTGGTTAATTGTTTGATTTTTAAAAGTATTTATTTGGGGTGTATTTTTGCCTTTTATTTGAGAATAGACAGTAGAGATATGACAGCCATTGGGGGGTGAACAGGATTTTCCATCAACATGTTTAGACCTCTAGACAACCTGGCTGTACAAGGATGTTTTAAGCAATAGTGTGTTTTGAATTGTGTGAGTCAGTTTGGGAAAGTACATTTCCTGTTGTAGTATGACAGTACTCCTGCGCACAAAGTATTGGTTTACCCAGGTGTGGAAGAATGTGACTGAAGAATGACTCCAAAAAAAGACACGTTTGCTGTTTCAACCATCATTAGTGGAACTTGAATGGCGTGCACAACCCTAACCCTAGTCTGGACGCAGTGTATTGATGTACATTGTTTTTTTTTTTAATGAAATATTCAACAATTACATGTGGCTGTAATGTTTGGGCGTCCTCATACTTTTGGCCATGTTGTGTATATGACTTGAAGTTCATCAAATGTCCACGTGTCACCTTCATTCATCTACAGCGGGACAGGATCCTGCATGGTTGGTGTGCTGTGCAGAGATGGCAATGGAGGAAAGGGCGCGGAGCTGTCTGCTGCGCTTTCGCCACAGACTGGAGCAGGACATTAAGCCCTCTTACCTGATGGACCACATGGTCAGTGATGGCGTACTGAGTGTGGATGAGGAGGAGAGGATCAGGACCCAGGTGAGCATCTGCTGGGAATGGGAAGGGAAAAAGATTCATAATTTGGAACCAATGTTATGTATCACGTTATTTTTTTTGGATGTTGGTGCTTTTTGTTCCTGCTTCCTTCAGTTGTGTGTTTAAATTTGTCCAAGTTTTAATCAGTTGTAAAACTGTTCTTTGTTTACGCACTTACGCACATCGTCGTATTAATCTACCTCCTCCTCTTAAACTCATTGTGCACGTAGTGAGTCACCGTCCTCCTCATTCACCACCATAGCCACTTAGCTGGCATTGTTTTTCAGAATGACACAATGAGGATTGAGCACATTTACTTTTGGCATCTTGCTGGGGGACGCATTAACAGAATACACATTAGCTGCTGTAGGTGATAAGTGATAATTTATTGTGTTGGTTTTGTGGCTCTGACCTTTGCACTTCATATTCCTGGCTGTAACTTCACTGGCTTCTATGACATGTTTAGTGTATGTTAAGTGTGTGGAATTAAGCTATTTTTATACATTGTTATACACATTTAATGGAATCATGGATATTTTCACCACCTCATATGAGACTCTTCACAGTAGCAGCATGTAACATACATATTTTGAAGTCTCTAATATCTCACTCTCTCTCCAGCCCAACAGGAAGGATCAGGCTGTGGCTCTGCTGGAGCTGCTGCTGAAGAAGGACAACCGTGCCTACATCTCCTTCTACAATGCCCTGGTCAAGGAGGCATACGATGATTTGGCCAGTCTGCTTCAAGATGACCTACCTCAAATGTTGCCTGATGCACATAATAAGTCCTCTGATGGCAGCGTAGCTTATGGTGAGAAAAGGGAGCCGTGGGATGTTTTCACTAGTGGAGAGAATGGAGGTAGTGCTGTCAGTGTGTGGGAGTCCTATGTGTTATTTTGCTTAGACATATTAGGTTACAACAGTAACTCAGCACTTTATAACATAAAAATATAAAATAAAAATATTGACAGGCTGCCTAACATCTGGAAAAATGTTACGCATGTGGAAGGTCAAAAACACACAATTTATCTGCCCTTATTATTAACAGTCCAGGCAGTCCTCAGTGAAGGTGGCGTACCGCAGAGGCCCGTGGTGTTTGTCAACAGACCAGAGCTTGTGAACCGGGTCAGGGAGAAACTCTACCGGCTGCTGAAGGAGCCCGGCTGGGTCACTGTCTTCGGCATGGCTGGCTCGGGAAAATCCGTTCTGGCTGCTGAGGCTGTCAGAGACCACAGACTCATCGAAGGTGAATAATCTTTGACTGGCTCAAACAGTCACAGACTACGGAAAGAAAGCATTCAAAAATTTAAAAATCTGTAGTAATCCTGGACTCTCTGTAGTTTCTTACCTCTTACCTCTCTGACCTCTGTCTTGTCCTTCCCCCGTGTCCTGCCTTTATCCGCAGAGTGCTTCCCCGGAGGGATCCACTGGCTGTCCATCGGCCAACTGGACAAACCAGACTTGCTGGTTAAGATCCAGTCATTGTGTTTCCGTCTGGAGCAGAGCCTGGATTCCCAGTCCCTCCACCGTCCCTCCAACTCTCTGGATGAGGCCAAGGAGCGCCTACGCTTCCTCATGCTGCGTAGATATCCGAGGTTTCTACGCGTACATGTTTATACACATGATCGGCTTTGTGCTTTTTAGATGGATATAACTGTTTAAATTCTACTGTAGATTCAAGAGGCAAATCTGACACACACACACACACACACACAAAGCAAATTGGCTTTTGATTTAACATGGACTATAAATACAGCTGGAAAAAACAGCAGAACTGGATGATGTATATTATTTCCTCTTTTATTCAACTGTGTCTACGTGCAGTGCATTCTACAATCTATAAAATCTGTTTCCGTTTTGGTTTCAGAGCTCTGCTGATTCTAGATGACATCTGGGACAGTACAGTGCTCAAGGCGTTTGATATCCACTGTCGGATACTTTTGACCACCAGAAATAGAAGCCTTGCTGACTCTGTTAGTGGTATGTACCTTATATTTTTTACTCTGGTGACGTGAATAAATGAAATCTTTATTTATGTGCATACAAAAATGTATGAGCTGTACTTGTGCTTTTCTTTTATAGGTGCTAAATATGAGGTGGAAGTGGAGAGTGGTCTGGATGAAAACAAGGGACTGGAGATCCTTGCTAAATACACTGAACTCAACAGACTCCCTGAGGAGGCTCGCAGCATTGTCAGAGAATGCAAAGGTCTTTGAACTGAAGCATACTTTACATGCAGTCCATATGTTTTTCACAATATAAATTACAGCTGTTGTTAAATATACAATTTGGCATATTGATCTGAAAAATGTATCTTCAGATCTCCTGATTTAATTTTGCATTCATTAATATTGGTGATATAAGTGACCCTTTAACAGCATTAGAAACAATTAGTAAACCAGATTTAGTTGTATGTCCCTATGCTTTTGCTCCCAAATTGTTCCTTTAACACGCTTCTTTATGCCACATCCAGGTTCCCCTCTGGTAGTGTCCCTGATTGGGGCTCTGCTCAAAGAGAAACCCAACCGTTGGGATTACTACCTCCGCCAGCTGCAGCAGAAGCAGTTCAAGCGTATAAGGAAGTCGTCATCTTACGACTACGATGCCCTCGACCAAGCCATGGCTGCCAGCATTGAAGTTCTGCCTGATGAACATCGAGAGCTCTACAAGGACCTTACTGTGCTAGAGAAGGACATCAAAGTCCCTGCAAAGGTTTGGCATCACAACAAAAGCTGTGGTCACATGACCCTTTTTATGTGTTTGTCCTTAATTGAGGCTCTCGATTTTAGGTCATTTCGTAAACTGAAAAGTGAGTTTTATTATGTACATTGCTGTTTTCTGTCTGCATGTTATTGTAAGTAGCCTTAAGTATCATTCTAAAAGTGTCTCTTTTTATATTTTTTAAATTATTTTTTTTAAGTTAGTTTAATTCTGCTGATGTTGCTTGAACAGGATGTAACCTTTCACATATATGATAGAAAAAAACATCCCACTATGCTCCAGTATTTGGACAAATTCAGGAATCAGGATACTCTTACATCAGGATACATAGGTTAAAATGTTATTCCTTCTTCCAGGTACTGTCTGTTCTGTGGGACTTGGAGGCGGAGGAGGTGGAGGACATTCTTGAGGAATTTGTCAACAAATCTCTGCTTTTTGTGGACAATCACAATAAACCCTACCAGTACTACCTCCATGACCTCCAGCTTGATTTCCTGGTGGAGCAGAATCGCACTCAGCTCGAGGTTAGTGTGGATTCAAGCTAACATGAGCTAAAGCTGTTACAAGTTAAACAAGAAGGACAAGAACGCACAGAGGCCAAAGTGATCTTTACCTGGTGTGTGTTTTATTTTTAGTTTACATCACACCAACAAGCAGAGAGGCCAGAGCATGCAAATCTAAGAAAACAAGCCATTTGATCATTATTAATTCTGACTTTTGTGTGTGTGTGTGTGTGTGTGTGTGTGTGTGTGTGTGTGTGTGTGTGTGTGTGTGTGTGTGTGTGTGTGTGTGTGTGTGTGTGTGTGTGTCCGGGTGTGCCGTGGGGCGTGGGTCCGGTGTGCCGTGTGGGGCCGGTGGGTGCCGTCTGTGTGTGCCGTGTGTGTGTGTGTGTCTGTGTGTGTCTGTGTGTGTGTGTGTGTGTCTGTGTGTGTGTGTGTGTGTGTGTGTGTGTGTGTGTGTGTGTGTGTGTGTGTGTGTGTGTTTCAGAGCCTCCACACTAAGGTGGTGCACCAGTACCAGCAGCACTACAGAGATGGTCCTCCCACCTCAGGAGATGAGGAATGTCTTTACTGGATCAGGTTCCTAACCTACCATATGGCTAAAGCCAACCTCTCCCAGGTAAAACACATATTTTGCAACCTTCTGTAGTTTAAATTAATAACAATTCATATTTTTGTGATCTATATGCTAATAGTGGAAAAAATTAGGAAAAGTGCACAAAAAGTATTTTTCTTTCCTTGCTCACCACGTCTCTGTTGGTGTCTGGCTGTCTCCCTCTGTCTAGGAACTCTACTCACTCATGTTTTCTCTGGACTGGGTCAGCATCAAGGCCCAGATAATGGGTCCAGCTCACCTCATCAATGACTATGTGGAGTATGGACCCATTCTGGACAAAGAGGTCAGCAGACTTTACTATATGAAACAAAACAAATGTGGTTATTTTGTGCGTTAGTTGCTGATTGGTTTTTTTTATTGACCTGAGAAAGATTAGAGTTGTAGCGGGTGAGAGGGCCACCCATTCTCCCTCATTGAAATGTGAACTGTGCCCAGGTATGAGTCCCCCCTCAGGGAAAATGCAGGTTCATAAGTCGATCTGTCATTTTGACCATGGCCTCTCTGTGAAACTTTGTGAATTAAATTAATTGCGTAGCTTGATTATCTTCCCTCAAGTTGTTTTTGATTATCTCATTAACATAAATTTATTAGCCTTTCGTGTTTTTGCTGTCCCCTGTTCCCTTTCCAATTTTCATCATTGCAAGAGGGCAGATCTGATAATTGGCAAATGGTTTATCACACACAGCAGGGAATCATGGGACTACAACGTGTAACTCCCACAGCTGTTTTACCAGGACATGCATAGTAATAAGGCACTGGAAACAGTAATTCATGATTGTTATGCAAAAGTAACAATTTATTCTTGTGTCCAATCTTGTTGCAGGTATAATACAAATACAGTATAATTTAAAAGTTGTATTTATGGACTTTTGTTAGAGATGAAGAATGGAAAATTAGGGTTTACAAAGATTTCATTTATGTAAAAAAAAAAAAACTTGAATTTGCACCAGAAAAAAAATACTTGAATATGGACAAATATAACCATCACACAAAACAATGTGTTGGCATCAAGAAATTAAAGTTTAAACTCCTCACAGTGCTTTGTGAAGAACAGTTGGGCCCTGATGATGAGTGGTAAACCAGAATCTTTAGTGGAACATGCACTGGACTTTAATGTGTGCTTATTTTTCTCCCCCTAGAACAGTGAAGTGCGCAGTCAATTCCAGGAGTTTCTGTCTCTTAACGGCCACCAGCTGGAGCAGCGGCCTTTTCCCGACGTGGTGCAGCTTGCTCTGTCTGAGCCCCGTTCCTCTGAGGTCTACAGACAGGCTCTGCTGCAGGCACAAGACCGGACCAGTGCAGGGAAACTCTACTTTGACTGGCTGTATGCAAGCAAGCAAATATTTTACTGTGTTGTTCTGATATGTGAATGTTCTAATAATGTTTTTTTTACTTGGATTTGATTCATCCAGTCCACAATAGTTGTGGTAAACAGAACAATAACCTGTATATTAGCCTTATATCCAGCCCTATTATAGATTTTACAAAAATACAGTACCAAAATGGTGATCATAGGGTGTCTATCCCAGGCTGGACTTTTATTTGTGGGGGGTTTTTTTGTCCAGGAATAAGAACAGTGTAGAGAGTCTGTCCCGTCTGGTGATCCACCCCCACCAGGGGTCCATCTACTCCGCCTGCTTCTCCCACGATGGAACAAAGATCGCCTCCAGTGGAGCCAGCAAGACACTCAAGGTATCAAAACACAAAGACATTGAGTGTACTTGTATGTGTGTGCGTATGTGTGAGATTAAAATTATGAAGGCCAAATAGTTTCCATGGAGACCAAATATGGAGGGCAACCACTTTTATTGCTAGATGTTTATAAAAAAAATTAAAAGCAACATTCAGCGAGACTTCCACTTGAAGTACACTGCCTAAAGTGTGCATGTATCTTTTGTAACCATTTTTATATTTCAGTTATACTCTAGGTTTATTTATCAATTTACTATATTTTATGTTTTAAATCTTTTTTGTAGTTTAGCTTCCACAGGAAAAGAGTTTGTACACACTAATATACATAGTGTTGTGTAACTGCTCTTATCGTACATTTGCACTCAGGTGTTTAAAAGCACCTCAGGTGAGAAGCTCACAGAGATCCAGGCCCATGATGACGAGGTGCTCTGCTGTGCCTTCTCCCCTGACGACCGTCTCCTAGCAACCTGCTCTAGTGACAGGAAGGTCAAGGTAAGCAGATAACTGTCCACTTAACCACTGTGACCTACTTGTTTACAGCAACAAACAGCGTGAAAGTAAAAATACACACAAAATCCAGCATTTCGTTTCATCATAAAATTCTTCAACCTGTGTGCCTCATAGGTGTGGAACGTGGAGAAAGGCATGCGGTTAAGGGTCTTTGAGGAGGAGCATCAAGAGCAGGTAAACCACTGTGAGTTTACCAACACGTCACAACGCCTCCTGCTGGCCACCTGCTCCAACGACAAGTTCCTGAATGTCAAGGTGTGCAAGTGTTTGTTTTGCATGCAAATATAACTCATTTATAGTTCTTATGTAGTTTTTCCCTACATCGTACTCCTGTGTCCTCTTTTCTTTATTCTTCTTTCTGTCTTACTGTATTTCTCTCTGGTTCTGCAGTTGTGGAACCTCAACAAGCCATCTTCCCAGAACACCATGTTTGGCCACTTCGAGCCCGTCAACCACTGCTGTTTCTCCCCTGATGACACCTATGTGTCCACTTCCTCTAACGACGGTACTATTAAGGTGACTGCCATTAAACTAGATACTTGTAAAGCTGTCCTTTCCTATGGCAGTTCATATCAAACTGTACTGTACTTTATGAGACTGTAACATAGTTATTATTTTTTTAACATCAGTCCCAAAAAATGTTAAGTACAGAAGTTATGAGTTTCGCCAGTAAAATAGTCTACAACTGTACATCTCCTTCAAACTCAAAAATGTTCTGCATCTTCTACACATTATGCTAAACATTATACATCGGCGTGTGCACACAGATGCTTTTGAGGCCACAGTACTTATAGAACTTATCCTCTTCTGACTTTCTGTTTTTTTTTTTGTGTACCTGCATGCCTGCAGCTGTTTCAGGTGTCGTCTGCCAATGAGTGGAAGACGATCAATGTGAAAAACATGTTTACAGATAGCGATGAAGACGTCCTTGTCAAGTGCAGCACCTGGACTGCTGACGGCAAACACATCATATGTGCAGCCCGAAACGCTGTTCTGGTGAGCATTTTGGGGGAATTTGAACGGGTATATTGCAGAGTATTGTTTGCTGTAGTGTGTTGTTGTTGTTCTGTGGGGAGTGCCGAATACACAGGGTGTAAATGGTTTGCATGTGGAGCTGTCTTGTCGTACATGTCTCACCTGTACAGATACAAATCCCAACACCGCAGGCTTGACTTTGTCCTCCATGTCCTTGTTGTTAGTGTGTCATTTCATTGAAGGAGACAGGAAAGAGAGGCTGTTTGTCAGTTTGTCTTCCGCATAGTCTGAAGAATGTGTGTCCTGATTGTAAATGTGAGCAGCCCCTCCTCTCCCGAGCTTTCCAAAATCAGTCAGTCTTGTCCTGTAATCAGTCTGTCTGTGTCCTCTATGTCTTCATTTGTTCGTATTCTGGGAAACAACCCAAACGCTGCAGAGATGTCTGAGCTTGTCTCTTTGGCTTTAGGGAGAAGGAAAATGAGACTTTAATGTTACAAGTTTGCTTTAAAGATTTAATCTTAAGGCACAAGGGAATCATTTTTATTGTAGTACTACTCAGTTCACTTGATGTACAATACCTAATGAATTTATATAGATTTATTGTAGAGCCAACCTTTACATTGGCATGCCAGATATTTCCACCAAAGAGCACTGACAAGTTTATTTCTCAGCTGTCCTGGTGAGAACATAACCAAATGTTTTATGTTATGTTTGTTCAAAAGTAGCAGCCAAATCAAGTCAGATACACAAATATCAGACAGTAAAATTGGCATGTCAAAATTTTACTTTCATATTGTTCCCAGAGCTCGAGTAGACTCTGATTTGTCTTTCTGCTGCTGTTTTTCAGGTGTTTGACGTGGAGACATCGGACATGTTGTTGGAGATCAAAACAAATCGCCTGAGCACGGTGCAATACTGTCACGCCTGTCCTACCAGTAACCTGCTTGCTATTGCGTTCTCAAACTATGCTGTGGAGGTATAATACACACCATACACACACAATCACACTATATATTTAGTGTCCTTTTTTATGTTCACAACATTTATCTATAATAAGGAAATAAGAGATAATAAATCATGATCAGATCAGATTTTAGTATAGTAAAGTTCCTATTTAAGAGCTATATCAGACCGAGGGTGTCTAAAAATAATAATATATTTAAATATATTGCTGAATAAGTGTACAGTAGTCCATATGTGTCTTCCAGCTGTGGGACCTGGAGTCCAATAAGAAGATGGCAGACTGCAGTGGTCACCTGAGTTGGGTCCAGCGTGTCCAGTTCTCTCCTGACGGCTCACAGCTGCTTTCCTGCTCTGACGACCAGACTGTCAGGGTAAGACTGACTCAGATAGTGTTAGTATTGTTCTAATTACCTCTTATGACAGTTAAATCAGAGTTGTTGTATACTAACCGTTATAGGTTACAATAAATAGAGTATAAACAGCTACTGGGTTCTATTGCTTTAGCCTTTTGTCTTTATTATTGATGTGGTGTCTGACCTGAAGCTATTCAACCATCCAACAAGCAGCTCAATTAATTGATTAGTTGTTTGGTCCATAAAATGTCAGAAAACAGTGAAAAATGTTGATCACTGTTTCCCAAAACCAAAGATCATATCCTCAAATTTCTTGTTTTGTTCACACCCCAAAGGTATTAAGTTTACTTTCAGTCATAGTAAATATCCGCATTTTAGAAGCCAAAATCTGAGAATTTCAAATTTATTTCTTTAAAAATTAGGGTTAAATTGGCCAATTTCTGATCCACAAAGAAGAAAAAGCCCCACCTGGCCTGGTAAATATTCTTCCAGAGGATAGGAAACCATCTTGAGCTGCTTAGGTTGTTCTGTTACCAGCGTGTGTGTTTTTCAGCTGTTAGGCCATCTGGAAATTCAGTTTGAAGTGCTAAACAAAAATGTAAGAGACAGATACTGATGACTTATTTATTGACATAGACAGGTTATTTTCCCAGTTTGTCTCTGCAGCATAACAAGAAAAGTCAGACAAAATATGAATAACGAAGAACATCACTGACTATGTAAACTAATTTGTAAACTAACAAGGTTTTTTCAGCCAAGATCAGCTCCTCTGCATAAATATAAAGTAATTTAGGATGAAAAACATAAGAAAAGTGAATGTAACGTTATGTTGAAGCCTGTTTCCTGTCCTGTGTTGCTTGCAGTTATGGGAGCCTAAGAAGGTGCACACCTCCTCAGCTGTCCACCTGAAAAGAGACTCTGACGTTCTCTTCAGTGATGAAGAAATCATAGTGTCAGCTGCAGACAACTGCAACAGACTGCAGGTGAGCTGGAGAGACTGAATTAATGAATAAAAGCCACAGGGCAGAAATGTGAAGCTTGAATGATTGTTTTCTTTGGAATATGAGTTCAAGTGCAGACAAGTATTACTGTGCTATGATGTGCATGTGTCAGCTTCTTATAGAGAACAATGTGTGTGTGTGTGTGTGTGTGTGTGTGTGTGTGTGTGTGTGTGTGTGTGTGTGTGTGTGTGTGTGTGTGTGTGTGTGTGTGTGTGTGTGTGTGTGTTTGTCAGGTGCGTGATGGCAGGTCAGGATCAGTGGTGTTCCAGTCAGAGGAGAAGTCTTCCAGGATCCGGTGTACGTGCATGTTCAGGCAGCCCTCTGCTGTGGTCCTGGGCCAAGAAGATGGCACTGTGCAGGTAGAAAACACATTTAGGTCTATGGCACATGTTCATGTTTGTATGTAGAGTTTACTTTTAATTTCAGGCACCTGATTCTAGTGCTGTGTCTGAGATGACCAATGAACCATCAGCAATGTTTGTGCAAAAATGTCAAATATTAAGTGGTTCTAGTTTGTAAAATGATGCATTTCTGTGATTCAGTTTGTTGTACATTTGAATATGTTTTTGATTTTGGACAAAAAAAACCAATTAATTTGAAAACTTCACCTTAGTTAATTTAGTGTAACCCTAACCCTAACCCATGTGTAGGGCAGCAACTAATAATTATCGATTAATCTCCAGATTATTTTCTTGACTAATCCATAAATTACTTTTCCGTATAAAATGTCAGAATAGAGTCAGAATAGTTAAAAATGGTCAAGTTGAGTTTCTTGTTTTGTCCAACCAACAGTCCTAAAAATATTTAATTTACTATCATATAAGACCAAGAAAAAAATGGTCACATTTTAGAAGATGGAAGCAGCAAATATTTGGCATTTTAGATTTTAAAATGACTCAAATAATTATGAAAACAGCTATAGATTAATTTTCTGTCGATCAACTTATCAGCTGATTGACTAATTGCTTCAGCTCTAATTGTGATTAATATATTTTATTTAAAAAATAAAACAAATCAACACACTTGCTGATGATAAAATGATGATAATTCTCAGTTGCAGCCCTTCCTCCTTCCATTGTTAAGCAGAATCACAAGACAAGTAGTCTTGGGAGATGCTCTGTTTGCTTTCTTGCTCACAGTTAGATGAGAAGATCAATACCACTCTTCTATCTGCGATAAACATGAATCTACAGCCAGGATTTGCTCCACGGAAATCCGCCTACCAGCACCTCTTAAATTAACTTTTTATGTTCTATCTCGTTTGTTTAACAAAAACAGAAATGTGAATATTTCCCTACTAGTGTGCTTGTATGGAGCACAATTAACAATCAAGGTTGTAAATGACCAAGTTTCCACTTAGTGTGTGTGTGTGTGTGTGTGTGTGTGTGTGTGTGTGTGTGTGTGTGTGTGTGTGTGTGTGTGTGTGTGTGTGTGTGTGTGTGTGTGTGTGTGTGTGTGTGTGTGTGTGTGTGTGTGTGTGTGTGTGTGTGTGTGTGTGTGTGTGTGTCTTGCTGTAGGAGGTGTTTTTCAGACCATGTTGAGTCATGAGATCTGACATTAGCCCTGTCGCCCTTTTTATCTGTGCTGTCAGCTGTGCGTCAGGTCAACTCAAAACCCCTCTTTCATCTCCCTCTCCCGCCACTCCTCACTGCTCTGCCTTTCCTTTCACCGGTGATTTGTATTCTCAGCGCTCTTCACTCCGGCTCTCTATTTTCATATTTTACCATCTCTGTCACACTACTTTATTTTTAATCCCTCCTTTTATTTTGTCTCTTTCGCCCTCCTTTTGTTCTGTCGCTCTCCCGCTCTCCTTGCTCCACTGCTCTTTGTTTTGTTGATAAATTGTTGTTTGCAGGCAGCGAATGAGGTCCTAGTCTGCAGTGTGGCAGGTGTGCCTTATTGTGTGTGAGTGCATGTGTTTTTTGCATGCTGTGCACATATTGCAACAGTAGAGGACGTCCCAGAAAGTTCCCGTCCTATATTAAAACACACACGTGCTCACAGTCCCCTGACTCGTCCGTGCTGTGGCCGGGGTAGCGCCCTACAGCAGAGAGCAACTCTAATTAATTATTAGGTCCTGCAGTCTTAATGTATACAGGGGTTAATGATTTTAATTACAGCTCCTCCTCTGGCCCCAGAGATATTAGAAGAAAGGATTAGTGGACACGAGGACTAAATGAACCTCATGTAAACTAAGACAGAATGAAAAAAATATCGATCGAGATACTCGCAGTTACACAAATGTACAAAAATCTATTCTTTCATAAGTTTTTCCGATTGTGGAGCAACTTTTGAGGCAAATCATAGGGAAAAAAAGTTGCTGTGCATCTCTGATTTGAACTCGCTGCTAAGCCAAGATTTTTAAACCAGTTATATTGTAGAATAGCAGTACTAATACATAACTAGATATTAATGGTCAGTGCTGTACCAAAAAGCTACAGACCAATCAGGCAATTATTGACTACACTTGGGTTTGAAACCTCAATACTTTTTTGGAAATGTGTCCATTGAACCAAGTATCAAAAACCGTCAAATACTGAAAGTCTGATCAGACTTATAATTTTGAACTATCTGATGTTTTTATCAGATAGCAACATAAACAGCTGATATGTTAAGATTACCTTCAATCAGGCAGTCAAACAGGATTAATCCGGACCATACACCGTATCTCTTTTTGTTAAGACATGGATTTGTCGGTGAATTGCCTTTGTTCACTGGAACGGGACTTATTACCTAGTCCGTGTCATTGCCTTGCAGTTCAGTTGGATCACTATGATTTGATGGTAATTGTCCCTGTAACCACTTCCATTTTGCTGCTGTCCCGCATGTACAGCATCCAAAATTCTAATTCTGTTGAAATGAAACCAACACTGTTTTGTTGCATTTTATAGTCCCCCTGTTAGAGATGTCCAAATGATTTTGTATTGCAGTCATTCGTTCAAGCCCATTGGACATTACACTTGCTACCACCGACAGATTTAGATACATTTTAAGTGCTTTTTAGTCATCATGGAGTCCATACAGCTTTTGCTGCTGTAGTCCTCTGAGCTAACACCAGAGGGAGCCCCAGTGCTAGCTCGAGGTATTACTGGTGCCAGTGACCACTGCAGTGGAAAGCATTCATTTCCTTTTCCCTCATCTGGAGTTATTTAAACCCAGTTTACTGAAGGAGGAAACTAGTAATAAGTCATCATCTTCAGTCATACCGGCTTTGCATTAATACATATGTGACTTCATGTAATATGTTCAGGCAAGGACGGAAAGTTACTGTGTGTTTCTTTATGATTGGGAAAAAAAGCAGTTGTGAGTGTGTGAATGTGTGTGTTCTGTGACAGGCAGCAGGGATGACAGCTAGTCAGGTTCTGAGGAGGGTTGGCTGCAGGATCCGACGACTGTTGACCTCTTACAGGAGGTTGGTGTTGGCTGTAGGGCTATGCACAGGCAGCGTCCAGGTATGGTAGGGAAAGAGTGGTATATGTTTGTATGTGTGTCTCAGACCCTTCAAGAATCACCCCAAATAACACGCATACAAAAAGCACAGTGTGCATGTTACTAATTTGTTGTTACTGTATGTATCTGTGATCACGTCTTATTATGCAGGTCCACCTTAAACAGTGACCATCTCACTCCTTCACCACTTCTATGAGTTTATCTTTGATTTCAGACTTCTGCAAAGCTTCAGTGACTTGTTTACTCCCTCGGTAGTGGTATCTGAAACAAGTGTTCCCCATCTTTACTCTTTACATTAGCCCTGCTTTTATATTTGTTTATGGGTGTTTTTACCAAACACCCTCAGGCATTTTCCTGACTGCACCATCCCAGAAAACCTTGAGCCGGATGTGTAAAGCTCTCTAAAGCGTTCTCTCCCAGGCTTTGAAACTTACATCTCTTACGTGGAGCTTGACAAACATGGTCGGTGTGCCCCAAGGCTTGTTATGCTCAGACATTTCAACCCTCTCCTCTGAGATGTAAATATTTTAGTGCCTGGTAAAATCCCCAATCATTATGGGCCTTTCTTTTATACTTTAAAAACTACAGGTACAGTGCTGAAGATAATATTGTGCAAATTGTATTTGTTAAGTGGTCAAAGTGTTTTCACATGAGGTACCCTGTGTTTGAATCAGTTTGAATGAGTAAATTATTGTTTTTGTATGACATTCAGTAATTTATATATTATTTATAGTAAGTTTGCAAGGTTGCAGACTCAGCCACAGCAAGGATAAATTAAATCTGAGTATTTATTATATCACTGGATGGATCTATCTGTAGCTTAATTAGAAAAATGAAGGCTCTAATAAATGCCACAAAACATTTTATAAATACAGTTGTAATCTATATGCATGTTTCACTTCATAATACCTTAATTCTTCTTCTTTGTACTAGTCATTGATAAGTAGAAGTAGTTAATTTGGGAACATTGGGAAATTAGCACTCAGCTGAGGGTGATGGCAATTCCATTCGTTTTACAGATATTTTCTCATAAACCAAAATATTGGAGTCAGATTTAGTTCTGATTGGCGCTAGATGAAACGTTAATGCACAACTAAAGTTATGACAATTCATCCTGTGGGTAACATGAATGTCTAGAACCTAACTGCATGGCAATCCATCCAGTCTGGATCAAGTAATGGACCAACAGAGCAACCGGCCATCCCTAGAGTTATACCACTTTGCCCCATGAAAGACTTCTGGAAGTCTCTGGGCTGTAGTGTTTGCAACCATCGAGTTGACCTTTCTGAGGGCATTCACAAAATCTGTCTCAAAATCAGCTTTGAATACTTTGTGAAAGATTTACATCTCAAGAGCTTTATTATAACAGATTTTATGCAGCAGCAGCTATCCCAAGTGAGAATGCATGATGACAATTTTTTCTTCAAGCTGGATCTTTTGAGCATCAAAGCTGTTTTGTTCTCCGACTCCCTCAGTAATGTCTCCAGGACTTCAGACCCCCGTCTGCGGTCTTGACCGGACTGAGCGGCCTCACTCAAAGCTCCCCCTTACTTTCTTTTTGATGTGCTTAGCACCATCAAGCCAGCAGCTGCACTTTTTCTCTCTCCTTCTCAATTACTCCCTTAAAATGTGACTTTCTGTCAGAATTTCTTAGTAAACTTTCTGGGACACTTCTTCCTGAGTATATCTTGGCGAACATAGCTATCATTTGAGGCTTGCATGGATATTCTAGACATGGGGTGTGAACTTTGTGTGACTTCTATGTACAGTAGAGCTCTCAGTGCACACAAGTATACCCATGCCACCGACTAGTCTATAGCCATGCCTGTTCTATGGGCGTAGGTCTGTCTTTCTGTCTGTTGGCTGGTCTGTCCACCACCCAGTGATTTTGGTGATCCCCTGAATTTTCCTCTACTGCAAGCAAGATGTTCAGATTTGTAGTTTTGAGTGAACTATTGGATGGACTGTCATGAAATTTGGTACACACGTTCATGTTTCCCTCAGGATGAATTGCAGTAACTTTGGTGATCCTGACTTTTCATCTAGCGCCACCATCTGGTTAAAATATTAGTTTGTCCAATACTTTTGTTTATGACAGATTGCTGGCATTCTCATCATCCTCAGTTGTGTTTAGTTAATTGGCGAATCCTAACACACTAAACTGAGATGGTGAGCATGGTGAACATATCTGCTAGCATGTTAGTATGCTGACACTAACATTAGAGTTTCTAGTGTGGCTGTAAACTCTTCTTTCTGTTTATGTGGATACTTGTGGTGCTAATGTTCCTTTCTTTCTTCCAGGTGTTGGAGGTGCCCTCTGGGAAGCTCCTAGCCACTCTGCTGGGACACACCAAGACGGTGCTGCACTGCCAGTTCAGCCAGAACGGCCAAACACTCATCACGTCCTCTGAAGACACCACCATAAGGGTAGGCTCCTCTCCTCCCTTCCTCTCTTATGCTTTTTGTTTCTCTCTTTCTGCTTAGTTTTCCTGTTGGTCTTGTTCCCACCATCTCCCTCATCGTCCACCATCTTTTCTTGCCTAATTCATGACACGTTCTTTCACCTCCTCCCCCGTCCCGCTTCCCATTTTTCTTCTCCGCTATCGATTATTTTTCTCCCCCATCCCCATCCCTCACCTTGAGTAAAACTGCCTGCTCTGCTGAATCACTCATCCTGTGTGTTTCAGGTCTCTCTGGTGCTTTCACCTTCCCCTACCTGTTACACTCTACCAGCGTCTCTGTCGGCCCTCTTCACCTCTCCATTCTTCATCCCCCTCTTTTGTCTCCTCTCCTTCCTTTTCCTCTCTCTTTGCCTTCGGCTATGCCGCTCTCGATAGCTCTTTATCTCCCTCCTGCTCTTGAGTTTACCGTGTGCAACTATGTGTGTTTGTGTGTAAGTATGTGTGTGTATTTCAGACCGTCACGCTCTGTCAACCCCCACCGTTCATGCTCTGTTGCTCATTTCCCCTTTCCCCTCCTCCCCTCTCATCTCCTCCTCCTCCTTCTTCATCTTTTCTTTTTGCTGACAGACCTGTCCACTGCAGCACTTCCTTCCCTCTCTCACAACGCAGCACCTTGTTCCGAATTCACACGGCTGCTGCCTATGCACATCACTAGTCTCGGGCCATCCGCCGCTTATTCAGATACTATTCAAATTCATGCTGTTTGACATGTGCAGGCTAGGAAATGGTAGTGTGTATTTAGATGTTAATGCAGGCGCAGAACGAATGTAAAGAGATCTAATGGCAGTGATGTTAGCTGGTGATGGATTGTTTGCCTTTGGACAAATGGCATGTTCTATTCATAAAGAGATTAGGTGCAATGTTGCACGTAAAGGCATGATTGATTATATGATCTGGGTGATTCTGTCTCTCCTGCACACATCTTTGGACTCGGCTGAACTCTTGTCTCTTGTCATTTACCTGCCTGGACTCTGTCATAAAACAAGCTGTGTATACAAATGTGCAGGTCAAGAGTTTTAACTCGACAGATGAATTGATTATTATTAAATACTGTGATCTACTGTACCATTAGCAATGTTGTACAGTTCTAAAAGTTCCTGAAATATTACTGTTGTAGCAGTATATGAGGCTACACTACAGCCTCCATTGCTCCCTGTGAAATGATTGTTGGATGTTGTATGGCTACTGCAGCTTGTGCCAAAGAAACAGACTGTTATTGAAATACAATTTCTCTACTTTTATTTCTGGGATGTTTTTGAGAGATCTGGAAGTTAACCTTTGCCTCTTTCACTTTGTTATTTGAATGGATCCTGATGAGTAATGTTAGTATTTAAAGGAAAAATTCTAGTATTTTTGAACCTCAGTTTTATTTTCCATCCATTCTGACCTCAGCTGTTAAGATTTGGGAAATGCAAATATGACTCCAGCTTGAAGTCTTAAACAAGTCAGACACAATTATGAGAAGACCTCTCCCAAAGCACTGCACCAGTAATAAGTTTTCTCTAAGTTTAAACCTATAAATAAGTGTATTCAAGAGATTTTTATACCTTCCCAAACTTACATAACTTTTTTTATTTAATGGAAGTTCACAGAAGTTTGACTTTTCAAATTTCATTTCCAATGTCCACCCTACGCTTTAAGCTATTAAACCCTCACAGACTTTAATTGATGTCATATGCATTATCAGTGCAAGTGCCTGAGTGAAAGGGGTTTGCGAGGGCTACAAATGCTATTGAGGATTGGGACAGCGCAGACATCACATATTACCTGCATTGCTGGTGCCTAGCAGAGTGTGAGGCTCCTACTAGAAAGCTATGGATTTTGGGTTATTCTCCCAGGAAAGTGTGCAGACTCACAGAAAGTTTGCACAAACCCCTGCTGAATTCACCTATTGGGAAACGCACATCAAAAAGTGTGTAAGTCTATAAGGGTGGATATTGGAAACAGGCTGAAGTAAAAAAGATCAGTGGCTATAATATTAATAATATTCCTTGTCCGTATGTCTCTCTGTTGCCTCTTGTAGGTGTGGAAGTGGCAGTCTGGGGAGTGTAAAGTACTGCAGGGTCACAAGGAACAAGTCAGATGCTTCGCACTGCTCTCCAACTCACCTGCCGAAACGAGATTGCTGTCCTGGTCCTTCGACGGCACTGTCAAGGTGAAACTCATCCACCCACACACACACACACACATACACACATAGACTCACGGTTGAACAGCTTGAAATCAAATATAAAATGAACTCTCTCTTCTGCTCTTACTCACTACAAGATGTGGGACATAGAAAGTGGAGAGAAGCTGCAGGATATCGAGGCACATCGGGGAGCCATTCTGTCCTGTCATGTCTCGCCAGACGGATGCCTCTTTGCCACCACCTCTGCTGACAAGACTGCTAAGGTTCAACACTTACACACATACGCACACGTTCATACTCACAGGATGAGACATATCTGTTTGTGCTGCCAGTAACAACGTGACCTATTACACATCAGCGTCTTCCCTCGAACCTCCTTTGTAACTCATTACTTACAGCACATGCACACGGACGCGTTGCTGCGGGTGATATCTGAGACTAAAAGTTTCTCCGGTATGGGAGGAGAGGGACCTTAGAGATTAGCGTGCAGCAGATGGCCTGGTGAGTTAGCTGCAGGTCAGTCTGTCCTCCTACACCCACGTCCAGTGATCATTTAGTCTGACTGCAGCTCCTGGACCTGCTCACCCACCAGCCTGGCAGGCTGGCTGGCCTGCAACTGACCCACCTCCCTGTCTGGATGCAGTTTTTGCCAGGTTGCAGTTTACCAACGCCACTGCGCTTGACTTTGGCCTGACTTTGACTGACTCAGTGGGCTGGAGATGTGGTTTGTAACCTTTTTCTGCAAACAGAAAAAGCATTTCCTACTCGCCATCCATAGAAAAGGGAACTCAACTACATAGCGCATGTTGAACTGTACTGAGGCTGTACGCTCTTTCACCCTGGCTCCCTCTCAGTGTCATTCATTTACTTGGATCATGGAAACAGCTGCGTATTCTGTGTTAGATTTATAGTTCTCTGTCCAATAGTCAACCACAAATGACAACTGGTGTTCCTGAGTCCCCAGCATTAGAAACAATGCAAAGCCGCTCTCTCAGGCATTTGTTAAAGCAGTTGTTCTGGAGCCACTGCCACCAAGTTTCACACGGGAATTGGGATTTGGTCGACACTTACTGTAGAGAACTGGGTCTGCAGCCAACCTGGCTTCTGTCAATGGATGGTAGTGAGAGAGAATGTGTGTTTTATGGATTTGGCAAAGATGATAATTGAGGTGTGTGTGTGTTGTGGGGCTGGTTAGCTGCCAGTCACATAGCCCTTGCTCTCCAGACCGAGTAGGGGCTTTGGTAGCTCAAAACACACACAAAGTCCCCAGTCTGTATCTATCTAGAGGTCAAAGCAAAAGGCTCGGCCATGAGAACCATCAAAAAGGAGGATTCTCTCTCTTTCTGTCCTCCCCTTTTCCTCTTTCTCTTACTTTTTCTACTGACCTTCAGATGAATGGGACTTTGTGTGCAGACATAGTTATTCGGTTGCCAAATGAAGTGTCTAATTATGAGCTGTGTTATTTTGTGTGCAGCGCAGGATGTGACCAGGGTAGGGAAGGAACACAGGGGGAGGAAGAGGAAAAAGGGAAGACAGGGAAGGCAGGAATATAAAGAGAACAATGGATGAGAGACAGGAGGGTGAAGAAGGGAAATCCAAACAAAGTGAGAGAAAGAAGACAGCAGAGAGTGAGAAAGAATTACTGATGCAGTGCTATAACATTAGCTCTGCATTTGGCATGGTGATTTGTCCTCATAAAACCTATTAACAGGTGATGACTGGTTTGAACAACAGAAATAAAACTTCATTATTTTTACAGTGTATCTCACTTGTGCTACAGAAACAAGTAGCTTAGCCTTATTTGTTACTCTTCTTTATTAAATAAGGGTTAGTCACTCACTGTAGTTGTATAGCAGTGCAAATAAAGTAAATGTATTTCAAAAACCAAGTCAGAATGTGTTCATTGATGTTTTTGGTTGTCATTTTAAAACATTTCATACACGATTGATGTACCAATTTCTGCTTTTTATGCATTACTTTCTGCTCCTAGCTGTGGCACTGTGAGTCCTGGCAGTGTGTCCACACATTGAGCGGCCACCAAGACTGTGTCCGAAGCTGCAGATTCTCCTGGGACAGCCGACGCCTTGCAACAGGAGACGACAATGGAGAGATCCGGGTGCGTGTTCAAAACATTCAGCGTTTTCCTAACCGTTGCATTTCTTACTATCAGCTTCTGATCTAGGAATTTAGGCTCATTCTGCAAATGAACCTGAGCTGCCTGAATACAAAAAGGCAAAGTAGAGGAAGTGGAACATTTTTTTATGGGGAGTTATGGGGGAAAGTTGAAGAGTGGAGTGGATTTAGGTAAAGTATAGAGGCTGCAGATGAGAGGTGAGAAAAAGACTTCCCATTAAGCATCCTGCCTGAAGAGACTCCCATCATACACCAAATTACATTATGTTACTAGTATGAGAAGTAATGACAATGCCTTAAACCATCTGATTTGCTGTGCATCATACAAAAATGCAATTACACCAGTCAACATTTATCCCAGAGATCACCCCATAATTACATCCCATCACTCATTTAGATAAAGTGCTTACTAATACATCATGATTGCTGCAGTGCACATGGGAGGAGTGAGAAGAAAGGAAGGGAGGCAGGGCTCCATCACAGATGAGGGAGCGGGCGCTGGAGGAACGGTGCATGCAGGTTGTGTGAGAAGTTGGGATGAAGAGAGCAGGAAGAGGAGGAGATGTCTGACAGTGGGAGGTGAAGGAGAGGACTTAGGCTGCCAAATTGGATCCCCTAGGCTTTGGAATCTGCAGCGCTCGTACACAAAAAACACACACACACACACACACACACACACACACACACACAAAGTAAATTAAAAGTTAGACTGTGTGAGAGGTAGAGGAGAAAGGCAGCCAGCGCTGATCAGCCTGCAGCAACGGATGTCAGCACAGGATTGGCCAACAAGGGGTTAATGCCCTCTGGTGGCCTCTGAGCTGCGCTGCTCCATTATCCAGAAATGGACGAATCCATCAGATCCAATTACATAAACCACACTGAAATCTCACCCCTGTTTCTATGGAAACAAATGTGAGTCATTCGGCACAAAAGCATGCCAAGTGTTAAATATAGCCGTACGTGTGATGTGTCATTGTCAAATGGACATGTGAACAGTTGCATAACAGCTGCAATCGACATGATGTGGTGAACTTGCAATGATAGAATCACAAAGCATCTTTTCATCATATTTGTGGTGTGTTATGGGTAATTTCTCAGGATTCACAGAATCTGTGTATCTGTGCAACTTCTCTTTGTTTAGCTTTTTTTTTTTATTGAGCTTGAAGGTGCAGCTTGACTTTAGAAATAGAAGGTTTGACAGAAAACTAAAAAAGAAAATCACAAGGTCAACTTGCTTTCAGCCACATCTAATGACCTTCAGGTGGTGGTGTTTGCTCAGTTGTCACGGAGATGGTTTCGGTATTTATCATGTGACCTAAGTGTGGAGTTTTGGTCACATCTGATGCCAGAACCATCCTGGAACAGAGACAAAGGTTACGATCTCCCCTTAAATATGCGACCACCTGTTATCACATTCAATACTTACGTCACATGATAATCAACTAAACTATCTCCATGGCAACTGAGCAATCTCCATTGACATAGGCCACATAATGAGGCAGATCCAAAAATCATGCTTGGAGTGCAGTTTTTTAATCTGTAAGTTGGGTCTTAAGTGTTTAACTTGCTTAGTCCGGCATCTGTGTTTATTCATCAGTGACATTTATTTTATGGTTGGTTTTATAACGTTTGGCTGTCCATCACAGATCTGGAATGTCAAGGACGGCTCTTTGCTGAAGATTTGTTCCCGGGAGAGTAAAGACGGCATGGACTCACTCCACGGAGGCTGGGTGTCCGACCTGCACTTCTCCCCAGACAACTCCCTTCTGGTCTCAACCGGCGGTTACATCAAGGTATGTTAATACATACAAAGGGAGGTAGAAGACACCGTTTTGTAGATACAAAACAGACTGGTAGTTGGCACCTAAATGCACCGTGTGCCTCTTCCTGCCCACGCTAAAATCTCGAGTATATATACTGAACACAAAAAGACACTTCCACAAAGTTATGCAGCACTTCACTCCTTCACTCCGCGTGCCTTTTACTGTCCTCAATACATCCGTGCATATGTGAGCGGGAGAATTGTTGATTGAGATGTGTTTGATGTAAAAACAACAACCTTTTCACATTCTGTTCTATGACATAAAACACATCAGTACATACCCAACCAGGGATTTTTACATGTCCTAAAAATGGCAGTTAAGCTAAACTAGACTACAGAGGTAGTGGGTGACTTTAAATATAAATATACGTACAGTGTTTATAATCGCACTATTCAGAGGCGTACTTCGTTAGTTAGTTAGCCTAACGTTAGCTTTTTACTTTTGCCGATCACATTTTACTCTTTTATATAATAATAATAATTTGTGAAGATTATCTCGCTGAACACAACGTGTAAGTATCATTAACCTTTGTTCACAAAATGACGTCATCCCTGCAGCGCTCTATTGTTACATTAGATAGAAGAGCTTGGCAGTGGTGCAGGTTTACATAAAAACACTCAATACCTGAGAGAATGATATCAATGCCTCCTTGTGACGTGACTGGAATAGCGCGGTGTGTGTGTGTGTGTGTGTGTGTGTGTGTGTGTGTGTGTGTGTGTGTGTGTGTGTGTGTGTGTGTGTGTGTGTGTGTGTGTGTGTGTGTGTGTGTGTGTGTGTGTGTGTGTGTGTGGCTCTTTCTTATTGCCTTTACTTTTACAAGAGATGGGGTCACAGAGCGGGCAGTCTCAGCTGTGCTCTGATTGGCTATTTGTCGGGCAATGATGTAATCCTCAAGGGAGAGCTGTTCTGATCGATGAGGCTTTATATCTCAGATTACTCCTGATACTGTGTGCGGGGTTGTGTCGTGTGCGTGAATATGTGCATGCGCGCTGTTGTGTGTACCTTCTTGTGTGGGTCGACAAGAGATGGTACTGTTAGTTGCTGCTGTTCAGGTTTTTTACAGACAGATGGCCAAAAAACAACATCCCAATCTCTTCGACAGCAGAATCCTGTTGACAAGATCATAAAAATCTGGATGTGAGCTCCAACATAATGAGGGCCCCAAATGTACTTATTATACTTCTTTTTTATATATATTTTATAGTATTCAGAATGAAAGATTTCTCAGAAAACTCAACTGTCAGACCCATAATCTTAATATATACACAGCACGTGCAGTTTAAAGGGCAGCGTAAAAGCCCTCAGTGGGATATTAAAGAAAGACGAGGTGCTAGAAAGTACACCGGACACAGTAGCATGACATCATATGTGAGAGTACAGGTTTGAATTCACTGCCTCTCTAACAGAAAAGAGCGTATGGATGAATCAATGTGAAGTGAACTGCTGAGGATGTAGATAATCGGCTGTATTCCAGATTTTACATTATCTGAAAAGAAAGAAATCAAGAAAGGTTACAGCAATGTTAATTTTATATCCCAATATGAATTAAATCAATATTTCTGCTGACCTCAAATATTCCCTGAACCTTAAAAGGAATAGTTTGGCATTTTGGGAAATATGCTGATTTACTTAGCTAAGCAAAAATACTCAAAGCAAAGTTTAAAAACATTCTCCTACCATTACATCAACATTTTACTGTTAAACTTGCATCTTGTTTGTTTAATCTGTACACAAAGGTAAATGTAAAACTGGTGGTTTTACGGAGAGTTGCACGCTGTAACCATTTCTTGGCTTGGGAACAATGACTTGCTTGAACTTCATAGTTGGCATATAGACAAGCACATTTCCCAAGCTATTAAGGAATATTAAGGAATTCTAACAGAAAATCTAAGTAGATTATGCAGAAGTTATTTTAAAATCTTTCCTACAGCTAACTCAACAGACCCTGCTGTGCATTTCTTTTAGAAAGTGGGTAATCTGTCCCTAAAGGACTGCCATATGATCGTGAGAATGAACAGACATTGTGACAAGTATATATAGTGTATCGTTTCTGTCACCCCATATGTTGATGTGCTATTTTTGTGCCTCTTCCCATGGTGATGTGTTCACAGTAAATATGTAGTTTAATTGATTTTGCTGGATTGATTTGTTACCTTTTTTTCCATTGTTTGTTTGTTCTGGAATAAAATTAGAACTACTATTTCTTCTTTGCTATTTGCCTCCCTTGCCAGGCGTTATATCATAGCTGGAAACCAAATTGTTACAGCCGCTGACATCCACTAATATACCCTTCGATTTTTGTATTAGTAAACTTTACAGACAGGGCAGCTCTGCTTGATGCACTAATGAGCCTTCAGTCATAATTATTCTGGGAATCGGTTAACGCATCACTCCATTACTCTATTTCACAGACTTTTTTTCTGCTCTCCTTCTCTGGCGTTTTGACTTGATGGATCAGCATGTGTATGTGAGGAGCAGTGATGGATTATTATGCCCGTCTTAAAGGGTGAACCCCCCCTGAGTCGCGAGCTTTGATTGATTAATTGTAGTGTGTGTCAGCCGGACAACTATGAGAGGCCATCCTGCCTGTCATGTTAATTACCATGACAGCGTGTGTACCTCTTATGACAGATAATATAGCCTGCAGAGTGAGGCAGGATGATAATAATCTGTCTATCTGTTTTAATGATTATTGCCAAGGCGTGTCACCATGCTCGCCTGTTTGGCAATAAGCAAATGTCTTGAAACGAAAACCTGGCACAATACTTTAAACAGACATGTTAGCAAGTGAGATGATATATAAAAATCCCTCTCTCATACTTTAGCTGAAGTTGAAGATATGACAACTAAAAGGGAATGGTATTTCCATACAAACATGAAGTAAGAATACCAAATGGTTCAATAAAATATTTACTGACGTCTAAAAAATTAAATAAATAATGGAACGTTGTAATTATTCTTCTGTCAGTCTTGGAAAAGGGCTTGGCAATCGTCTGAACGTCTTCTTAAGGGTGTTTGGTTTGTATTTATCCTCAGCTGGTGTAAGTGAGAGATTTCATTATGGGGGATCAGTGGGATTGTATTAAATGTGCATTTGGATCATAGATGAAGACTGATTGACATTGAAGTTTGGCTTGAATACCATAAGAGCTCTGAACAATAGCTGTGCCGTGCGGTACGAACTTTTGTTGTTCTCAGAAGGTAGAAACTTCACCACATAACTTGATGATAGAGTAATAGGTCAGGTTGAAAATAAATATAGCATCTTTATTATTTGAGGAAAAGCTCCTGTTGACCTCATATTCCTGCCACTGCAGTCGCGTACTTTCCACGTACTATTGTCTGTCTGAACAAAAACACTGACGTACCAAATGGCCTCAATTTTGTTTTTGTTTCTGTTTGTAAAACTTCTCCAAACTTACAGTAACTTATTAGAAAATACTCAAAAATGGCATAAATAATTATTATCTTTCTGTTTTCCTTCAGTCTCTTTGGAAAGCACTAACATGCTTAAAGCTGCACTAATCAGTATCTTAAGATTAACAGTGGGTCAAAAGACTATATAACGTGCAGTTCCCCTTTCTGCTAATTCTTTAAGTTTTACGGCCTGCAAGTTTGCTGTTTTTGGTTTGTTTCTGTGCATCGTTTCCAGCTGTTTGTAGTGACAAAGACTGTATGCTACCTGCCCAGCAACAAACAAAATTAACAACAAGCTAGTGCAGACTGTGGCACATTTAACAGTCAGATATTTGATTTCCCTCAGGAGTTGGAGGAGACCAAAACCGAGCTAAAAAGAGGAGTTAATATTGGACTTACATTGGTCAGGTGGCCAGAAACTCCAAATGAATGCTAGTTCACCTGTTTGCTATAACATGTTATCCATTACAAATGTATAAGAACAACAACAACAAAAATCAACACTGGTTAAAAATGTTAAAAGTTGTAGTGCCTCGTTGTTTGTGAGTGACTGTGCTTAATATTTTCTAGTGATGTGAGATGTGGGATTGAGGCTTAACTTTATTAGACAGCACAAATAAACACACGGCTCTAAGCTCCATGAACTGTTTTGCATATACATAAGAACAAGCAAGTAAGAATTTGAAGACTGTGGCAAATCCATTTAGGGGCTATTTGTAAGTACCAGCAAGCTAAGATTAATTTGGATTATGTGTTAACATAAACACAACGCCTTTAAGCACTGTTTGTGTAATTACTACAATGATTATTTCATTGATTATAATCAGTTGAAATTCTCTCCTTTTCCTGAAATACACACCAATTTAGAAGATGTCTTCTAAAATATTCTTACAGAAATACTGACTATAGCGTATGTTAAGTATTGCTGTGACAGTACTGTTGGAAAAATAAACAAAAATAAACAGAACACAGCAGAGAAGGCATGTTTTTCTTATCGTGATGTGATTCAGTGGAGAGCTTTCAGCTATCAGATCCTCTCTGATCGCAGCTCTAAACATCAGAAGCTGTTTCTACAGAATGACTCAGTGTGTCTGCCTCTGCTGCTGCTGAACAGGATGATGTTGTTATTGGTCGGATAAGAGCAGGAGAAGTGACAGCGGGTGATGTCTCCCATGGTTCTCTCTCAGTTGATGGGTTGATATGATGCAACGTGAGGCTTGTAGCGTGAGGAGTCCTTATTGTTTTGCCTCTTTCTATTTGTCTCTTTGGCTCCCTGTGTAGAATGATGTTTTCTTGTTTGTCCCAGTGGTTTTTTTTTACTCGTCTCTGTCAGTACTCCTGCCTTAATCATCTCTCAAGCTCTCTTTGTGTCTGCCTCTCTTTTTCCTCTCTGGTTTATCACTCCCTCCCTCTCTGTATGGTCGGGTGAATGGTGTGAGTGTAATTAAAAGCAGCGGGCTATTGTGTGGGGGTATATGTGCTCATCCAATCCCCTGTTGGGTGTAGGTACCTGTGTAGTGTTTAATTAAACATTTCTAATGCTTATCTTTTCA